TTTACGGCATACTCTTTCGAGATTTAGGTAAAATGCTGTACTGTATTTCCAAAGGCTGTTTATTCTATCCAGATAATCTATTATTATCTTCTCAACTGCCATCTCCATTTCTTTGTAGGGAATATATACACACATATTAGGAGAAATTAGTGTGTGTCCCAATCTTGAATATTCAGATAATTTCAAGTTTGAACACTGTTCCTTATGAGGTGATTTCATAGCTGTCAAATAACTGGTGACAGCAGGTCTGTATGTAGGATTCTCAGGGTCAGGGACAGTCAGCACGTTAGGCTTATTGGCATCCATCTAGTCCAACTACTGACTTTCTTCAGGATATAATCCACAGCATTAGATTAACCCCCACATACCTATTTACTGCTAGGTGAATACAGGCATTAGGTGAAAGGACTGAATTGAACTTGGGACATTTATCAAACAGAATGTTAACTAAAACAGCTGCCGACATAAAACAAAACACCGAGATAGAGAGATGGAGCCGGGGAGAGAGAGAGACGGAGAGAAAGAGAGATGGAGAGTGAAAAATGAAACTAAACAAAATCTTGTATTCCCATAATCAATATAGTATTTGGAGTATAAACTCCTCCATGTTATCTTTCAAATATATATACATGATGAAATATCTTGGTACCAGCAAACTAGGCATAGAAGCCTATGCCTTTGAATTACTGAAATCATTCAACAGTGTTGCCTAATGCCAAAATTATGCTGCAGTTAACTTTCTATAATGCTTAAGTTATTACAAGGTTATCAAAGACTTATATACACTAATCACCTGGACATGATAAATATGGTGAGGTTCATTAAAAATACTGCACTGTCATGCTATACAAAAAGTGTTGCTACATAGCTCAAACAGTACATTTGACATTTAGCAGAGCAACACTGTGCCACTGAGAAGGTTTGGAATACTGCAGAGTATCTAATGCCTGGAACAAAATAGCCAACCAATGACAGACAAAAATAAAAATTGCTGAAAACCAACAACTCCAAGGAAACAACAAATATTATAAAATGTTAAGGCAAAACCTTTTGGCTATTAAATTAAGCAAAAGGGCTATCAAGACATTATATTATCAAGCTTAGTGCATAACTACACAGCTCTTCTTATTTATCCAAATTTATTCGAGGGCCACTGATACTAGTGACCTCGACAAGGACAGGAAGCCAGCGGCTTGTCAAATGGCGCCCCATTTGCTCTGATCTTTTCTAGCTGTATTTTAAAACCTAGCAGAGTTTTACTGTTCACGGCTTCAGTGGGTTGGCGGTTCCACGGGTTTACAACCCTATGGGTGAAAAAGCATCTCCTGTTTTCTGTCCTACCTCTGACCTTTTGAAGAAATTGTCTGGAGCGACATCTTCCAAATTGTTTCTTAGTACTATGTTTTGCGCCAAAACTTTGAAAAATAATGGTCCCCCCAGCTCTATTCAAATTAAATTGAGATCCATTCTAAACAATTCTGACTGTTCCCTCAATCCGCCGCAAAAAGCTCCCTACAGTGTGTGGCTCAGTTGTTGTGCCTATAATCTGTATAACACTGACATTTTGAGATGTATAACATTAGAAGCTATTGACAGTCATCTTCAAATTCTCAAACCGACTGAATCCTATGCCTTTACTGATGGCTCTGTGCAGTTAGGCACTGGTAGAACAGGTTGTGCATGTGCAGTGTATAAAGGGAATGAAATGATCATGACTAGTACACAGAGATTGAACAACTGGGCAAGCACGACACAGACCGAGCTATTGGGTATTTATCTAGCCACTGAATACCTTAAGCTCAATGGTGGTGGAGTTATTTTCTGTGACTCTAAAAGTGCTCTGCAGTCCTTAAATAACCCATCACAATGTATGTCGGAAGTAGCTTGTAATATTAAATGGAATGTAATTTTTGCCAATGATAATAATTCTTGTATAAAATTTGTGTGGATCCCATCCCATGTTGGAGTTGAAAAACATGACTTTGTAGATCAATTGGCCAATGAGGCTTGCAGGAAAGAAAACATTGATTATGACTTTGGACTATCTAATGCAGTTATTAGAAACATACAAATTAAAGAAATTAATTCAGATTTAGAAGAACTAAGAAATGCACAGAGACCTGAAAGCTGCAGTATTAAAAGTTATGACAAGTTCTGTAATAATAGGTATTTGTATGGTCAGCACAGTAATCGGACCAGGCAATGTGATGTAGTAATTGCGCGAATTCGCCTTGGCTATAGACACATCTGGCAGGTTAGTGAGGCTGAGCCACTACCAGAATATTCAGATTGTAAACTCTGTGATAAACCTTTAATGCATTCACTAGAACACTATATTGATGAATGTGAAACCGTAAAGGACTTTAGACCTCCTGGCCTATTGTACCACCAACTGTGTAACTATTTTATTGACTCAGGTGTTCTGGACGACATCCTAACAATTTACCCAAAATTTGCTTGTCCATTTTAAAGAATGAAGAACAATTTTTATTTATATTCTAAGCTGTATCACTTATGAACCCATCCCTGCCCTTGTGTGGCAGTGCACAATAGAAAGTTGTTTTCACATATCCACACATTAAAACATTGATTGTAACCATGATATATATGTGCTTCAGCCTACAGTTTAGACCTATTGTCTTATGTATGACCCTCTGTCCTGCGTGACAGTGAATACTAGCATTATCCTCAATTTAATAAGACTATCAAAATCCTCAGATTAGGCAAAATTGTAATTAATTTTGTCAATAAAGATGTTAATAATAATAATACCTTGCCTGGATACAATAATCTAGGTGGGGGCACACCAGAGAATTGTACAATTGAATGACTACTTTCTTTTCCTTGAAGGTAAAGATACGTTTGATTATTCTCAGGGTTTGGTTTGCTTTTTTTACTGCCGTTCTCACTTGTTGTGCAACATTTAGTGAATGATGGATTCTGACTCCAAGATAATTTTCTTCATCCATCTGTTGTAAGATAGTGCTGTCAATTTGGTAGTTGTGATGTAGATTGTTATGCCCCACATGCAAGGTCTTGCATTTATTGACATTGAAAAGCATTTGCCAGTCATCTGACCATTTGTGAAGTTTATGAAGATCTCTTTGTAAGGTTTCAATATCACTTTCACTTCCCACTTTATTAGATTGTAGTGTCATCTGCAAATTTGATGATGTAGTTTGTGCTATTCTCACCTGTCATTGATGAATATGACAAAAAGGGTTGGCTCCAAAATGGATCCCGGTGGCACCCCACTTGGCACATTTCCCCAAGTAGATACATTCCCATTTAGCATGCCTCTGTTTTCTATGTTTTAACCACTGTTTTATAGATCAAACATGAAAGTACAGTACAACAATTTCAGTTACCAATTACTACCTGAAGTAGATCTATTGGCTAACTAACACACCCCCATCACACAATTGATAGCCAGCACAATTTTGAAAAAGATGTCAACTTTTTTGTAAAAATATAAGACAGTCAGCAAGGCCAATTTACAGACGTCCTGTAAAATGAGAGAACATCTTAGCAAGACATTTTTGTTGCAATACAGTATTTCAAGATTTAATTTCATCATGTTATATGGTAAATGTAGTTAAAAAGTATTAATTTAAGTGGTCTGCTTTTAATACAACACCAAAAAAAACAGCAACTATTAATTTGGCACCAACAATATTCAGAAGCTGGCTGATACCATAGTCATAGAAGCTATATAACGCTATTATCCACACATAACCAACATCTAAAGGCTTTACTGTGTAGCACAATGATTGCATCTTCAAATTCACATCATGAGAATTGTTACTACCTGACACACAATGTTTAATCCTCAGATTCCAGTGAACCTAGCACTTTAACACCAATAAAACTCATGCGAAATGAAACGAAAACTCATACGAAAACGAAACTCCGCCCGAAACGTTTTGCATAATAGTGGCTTTAGGCATTGTATGTACTAGCTCTATCTATAAATCCATCAACTTTTGTATCTTACCTTGTATGTATGTACCTGACCTGAATAAAAATTTATTATTTATACTGGAAACGTTTCATGATGCTACTGTAGAGTGGAACAATGAACCAAGGCTGACTCACTTCATACCAACTCAAGTATAGGCATTACTACATACAGTATTTGATTCTCAAATTTTTACACCTTTAGTAAGTTTTTTAGGGAAAAAATTTGCTGTACTCTTACTATAAATTGCACTATGCACTTTGTGTATGTGGTTTCCTGTGGGTGTCACAGAAGTTCTACAGACTCTGAACTTTAGCTGAAGCTGAAAAGGGCAGCCGGGGCACATCCGATCCCACGATCGTCGTCGCCCCTAAATCAACACAACAACAACAGACTCTGAACACATCCAGGCTATATGGTCTTCCTCTAAATACTAGTATGGTGTGTGACATTTATTTACTCAGGGATTTTAACCCATTTTAACTTTGGGTAATTATAATAGTAAAGTGAAAATACTAAACTTCAAACTGTCCTGAGAGTTTAGTAATCATGTCCATTTTTAGTATATCGAGTGACATCTGGGTCCAGCATTGTGTCCAAGGAACAATGTTCAACTGGAGTTCCTCCTACTGTCACCAGTCAATTTAAAATATGGTCACACAACACTGCCAGTGTCATCACACCTAGTTCTATCCCTGGATCTGTCAATTCATTGGATTCCACTGACTCAGTCCCAAAATTCTAACATGATATAAGACATCATAGTCGCAGAAATCAACAGTATTTTACCAACACAAATAAATAAGTAAAAACTGTTGCGGAAGAAAACAATCGGGAACTGACGAGCTAATAAAAAAAAAATCGCAACTAATGGGTCAGCTGGCGCCAACCCCAGCAGTTAGAGAGAGAGTATCTGGCGCCTCACGCCACTCTGCCTCACGCATCTCACACCCTCGCACCACTGTAACTTCACACAAAACGCTCCTCATTTACGGCTCAGTTCGCGCTAGGAACGACGAATAATAAAAGAAATGTTAGTTACCGGCGTTGAGAGGGCAGATCTCCAGGAACAATGTTTACAGCAACACACGTCAGGAAGCAAGCCGCGTGCTGATTGGCTGATCCGCCGCCTCACTCTACAAATACGATTATGATTGGCTAGTAAATATAGACGACTTAAGGATTACTTTTGGGGAATGTGATTCTATATAACGTCAATTTATTCTACTTTAGACGCGCTTATTGGTTAAATGCAGCCTCGGCTGTATGTAAAAGTCCTCGTGGAGCCACCACAAAATGTATTTTTAACATTACTCTCATATTATACGACCAATATTACAATATTTGATAAATACATTTTCGTTATTGCTTCGGCTTTAAGTTCAAGTAATTTGTGGAACGTCTACGATGGAGATGTTTACATCATCTATTGGCTGCCATATTGGCGTTTCATTGTTGTTGACAGAGGACGGGTTGACTGGCTGAAAATGTCTACATTATCAGAGAGGGAGAAAAACAAGCTCGTTCAAGAAAAATGCCAAAGCATCCTCTCAGATTTACTAAAAGACGAAGATAACAAATACTGCGTGGACTGCGATGCCAAAAGTAGGCAGTTTTGGTGTAACTTGAATGAGTCATGAAGGAATAGATAGATCAGCTGGGGAGGGGGTGGAGGGTCCTGGGCCCCGGGCGCTTCGTACACCTCACTCCTCACCACAATTATTATTCCCTCCCTCTAGACATTATTCCCTCCCTCCCTCCCTCTCTCCCTCCCTCTCTCCCTCCAGATATTTTGTTCAACCTGTATTTTTGCCTTCTGGACCAGTTTTGTGCACCACACTAGAGACGGTATGCTCTGTGCATACTGAACATTTGCCTAGGCCTATGTCAATTTCAGGTAAAAATCCTTATGATAAACATTTGAGGATGCTGGTTACTTTATATAGGATATAATAATATGTTGTATGGATTTAAAATCTTGGCCCAGCTCCAGTCATAATATGCGTTCGGAACGTGCCAAGCATATTGTTTAGATTGTATTTGCCCGAAACGCTGTGCGTACTAGTGGCTTTACAAGAATGTAATTACTGTGCTATGTATCCTCACAATCCCAATGTACCTTGTATATAAATAAATAAATTGTTTACAGATCTCTTGCAAAAAGCAAACTCTAGCTTTATGCATGAGAATTTGAGTGAAACAATTAGTGTATGAAATGCCTTAGTACAATATGATTGCTGGAAATTACTACCCTTGTGTTCTTAGGCCTAGAGTAATATTGGAGGGGGAGAGGCATAGTGTATCGTCAGTTCCTGGTCCTTCGTAGCTTGGGTCAGTGGAGGTTTGGGAGGGGAGGACTAACTCCCGGGTTGTGGAGATTGTGTATGGCAAAACTCCTTCAAAAGTGGCTGTTGTGCTACTGAATATTTTGATTCATAGCAGGTTATGATTTTTGAATGCATGGCTACTCTAGTGTTTTTGGTTAATCTTGGAAATTCCAGTCTCTGACCATCCCAGGAGACCTGGTCAGGGACCGGGCCGGGGGGAACGTTGAGCCCCGAAATCAACACAAGGTGGTACAAGGTAATAGCACTATACTCGTGCTGTTGATTTATCACCATGTTGAATTCAGTTATTTTATGCATTAGAAAGTGAACTATCTAAAATACTGACATAAGAACAAAAGAATAATGGAAACTGCATAAGGCCAATAGACCCAAGCGTGACAGTCCCTGGTCATATTTAACCAAACTCGCATCTATAACTTTCACTCTAAACAATACAGTGATCTTGATTGTTAATGTTATCAAATGTTTTGTTCCCTAAATTAACATCCGTCTTACTAAATTGAAATGTGCATGGTAGATTAATGCTCTTGAATAATTCTGCTGCATTCAGTTTATTACTGTTTACAGCATACTGTCTGAAATAATACAAAGCAAATGTGTTAACAATATCTGAAAAAATAATTAAATCACGATAACAATGAACACAACAAATATGAACATTATTACAACCTAATGAATATGATATTTAGAAGTAACACATAACCAATATATATTTACCAAAGTATTTTCTGATTCAATTTTTCCAAGGTATTTATTGTTTTACTTTGTATTTTGTGGGTTACTTTTTTAGCATCTTATCTACACCTATACAAGTTACCCTTTATTATATCCCACTTACTTGCATACTTCATTCATTTCTAGAGAACTTAAGCTTTCTTAATCTCTTCATAAGTGAGGTTTCCAATTCTTTTGATTTTTTTCACCCTTCTCTATACAAATTCAAGGAAATTTATGTCCCTTCGACAGGATGGTGACCAAAACTGACCTGCATAAGTTGTGGGATGTAGCACGGACAAAGTAAAGCTGAAGGACAACATAAGACAACTCATTGCTGCTGCTTCTATAAATGAATCCCAGTATCCTATTTGCCTTATTCCCTGCATGTATATAGTATAGTACATCCTCACTCTTAACGAAATTCTGGATGGTCCGAACAAATCCTATTTGGTGCAAATTGTTCAATGGAACATGCAAATGTTCAGTTAAATTGGGATTTTTCGTCAAAACCATTGCCAAGGCCATGGGTCAAGAGGCAGCTGTGTTATCATCCAAGTGCTATGTGATTGTAATGGCTTGGTGCTTTCTCCCTTCCCTTTATCCATGATTATGCCAAATGCTAGTACAGTAGTCTCGTCTTCAGGCACTTTAGTGAACAGGGAGGGTACTCTAACATTCTGCAATGGTTTCTTTTCAGATGCATATGTATCTCACAGTAAGTCCATAAGTTGCTTCAGAAATGTAAGGATCAGTGTACACTATGGCATGTATGGTGTCAACACTGTCTAAAATCACTTGGCCAACCTGTTTACAGTCCCCGTGGTGCAGTGGTAACACACTCGCCCTGTACTTCGCGAGCGATTTAGCCTGGGTTCATATCCTGGCCAGGAAGGATAGACTAGGCACCAATCCTTAACTGTATTCCTCTGTTTACCCAGCAGTGAATGGGTACCTGATTGTTAAATAATTTGGTGTCGTATTCCAGGGAAAAATTAAAGTTGAGGACCTGCTCGAAATGCCATGCATGCTAGTGGCTTTATATGATAAAAACTGTTCAATGATGTGTGTGTATATGGCAACTTATCGCCTCATCTGAGTACTTTTTTTTTTATCACAAAGACCTTTAGCTGTTACTTTGAGTTCAGTATGGTGCTTCTGTAATTGTCTTGAGCCTTTAATTCCTCGGCTAAAAGTTCTATTTGCAGTGTATCCTTTGTGGTAATCGTGTGTGTCTGGAGGTTGGGTATATCATGGAGCAGGATTTCTAACACCACCTAATAGGCTGCCTCACCCTCTCTAGACTCAACATGGCAATGCTAGCCCTGGTTTAAGGGCTAGGGTTTAAGGAATTAGTTGGTCCTCGGTGAGCTTGATTCCTGCAAGATTTGGGAAGCCCTCTTTGGGTTGGCAAAGCAGAAATGGGACAATTTTGTACAGGCAATTATTTACATGTACTGTGTGTATGCAAGTACTGTACATGTACTTGCACATTCATGATTGTGAAAGGTATGGTAGGCCTGCAGTACTTGTGGGTACAAGCAAAATAAAGAGGGGCTTACAGTGCTGTGGCAATGCAGCTAGCATGCATATTCTATTAAATAAATGTCACACAAATTTTCTTACCGCCCTATCAGATAAGAGTTGCAGAAAAATAGGGCATCACATACTCTGTATAGATATGGAAATTACACCTTTATTAAAGGATAAATAATGGCATCTGACACGCAAGAATTTTCCTGTAAAAAAAAAAAATAATAATAATAAATAAAAATAAATGGCACATGGACATGTGGATATTCTTTGTACAAGGATATTTAATTTACTTTGGTTGTACAATTTAGTACAGTACTGGTTGTACAATTTAGTACAGTACTCATTTGTTATTTTTCAGAATGAGTAAACAGACAAATGTAGATTACAACTGCCACCATTTTGACTTCAATGCACAGTGCTTGCAAAGTACCTAATGTGTTCATTGTAATATTGTTGATTGCAATATGAAAGACAGTATTTTAGGAACATAATTACTATATGTCAGTTTACTTAAAATAATTATATTCTTGGCTGTAATTTATTATATTGTACTAATGAGCAAAACTTCTTCCATTAGGTCCAAGATGGGCATCGTGGAACCTTGGTATTTTCTTATGTATACGATGCGCTGGAATCCACCGTAACTTAGGCGTGCATATATCTCGAGTAAAGAGTGTCAACCTTGATACCTGGACACCACAACAGGTTGCAGTAAGTGTTTTATTAAATGTATATTAAAAATTTTTACTTAGCTATTGGATCATACTTTTCAACCTGTGATGTTTGGTTTTGAACTCTGGTTTAACAAATTCAGAATCATAGCATCTGGTCTTGAGTTTATATTCTATTATTCATCCATCAGTTTAGTTAAATTTCAGTGAGAATGAATGATAAAATAATTAACAGATTTTTCAAAAGATTTACAACCAATGATCTTGACAGTGTATCCAGCAAATGGGAAACAGTCGAGCTCGTGCCGTATATGAAGCCAACATTCCAGATAGTTTTCGGCGTCCCCAAATGGATTCTGCATTGGAACAGTTTGTGAGAGCAAAATATGAGGCTAAAAAATATATTGCACGTGAATGGGTTCCTCCCGCAATGCCAAATCCAACTTGGGACTTGGAATTGGAAAAACAGTTAAGAAAAAAGAAAAGGGAAAAGGTAAGTAATTTACAAGGTTATTAAATTTTAAACCCTCCAAAGAAAAAATAATAATCTTGTACATATTATGCAGGGATAATTTTTGGGCCTGGCAGGAATTTACTTCATTGTGTTCAGAGGGGCAATAGGCACACTGAAAGAGAACTTGATCAACATCAAAGACGTTTCAACTTTCCTTACACAAGCGGGGCATAGCTGGCCAACCTCTCACGGTGGTCAAAAGAAAACTTGGCAAGCACCTTCAAATGATATCTGATCGACCAGGCTGTGACTCGTACATCATGCTGTGAGCAGCCACATCAAACAGCCTGGTGGATCAGATCAACAACCAGGAGGTCTAGTCAGAGACTGGGCTGCAGGGACATTGATCCTCAAAATCTCCAACAGGTAGGGTAATTTTATATAACATTTCCTGTATTAATCCCCCACCACTCTATACACACATGTAAACACACTAACAAGAGAACTGATTCACCCAGAACCTCCAGTAAAATCCAATTGGCTAAGTAGTGGGTGCCATGACAGCTGAATGGACAGCGCTTTGGATTCGTAGTCCTGAGGTTCCGGGTTCGATCCCCAGTGGAGGTGGCAACAAATGGGCTGACTTTCTTTCACCCTGATGCCCCTGTTCACCTAGCATTAAATAGGTACCTGGGAGTTACAGCTTTTACAGGCTGGTTCTTGGGGATGTGTAACAAAACAGAGGCCTGGTCGAGGACTGGGCCGCGGGGACGCTAAGCCCTGAAATCATCTCAAGTTAACTCTAGTAGTATTATTTGATGTTGACCATGAACAGTTTAATGACCATGAGTGGTGTTTCATACAACATATAAGTATAGGAAATTTGAAAATTAACCGAGATAAATCAAATAATGTATGCAAAAGCGAGTTGAAAATTTGGATATGTAAAGTTGTAATTCAAAACAGTCTCAACAACAAAAATGGTCACCACCACAGGGGAGGACAACACAACAGATGAAAATTTAAAGGGGTTCACAGTAGAATAAATTACAAAAGGGTGGTTTTTGTTGGCAAAGTGGTGGAGATTTAGATCTTGCTAAAAATGTATAAATAACAATTTCTCAAATTAGAACCAGAAAATGAAGGTCTCGAGGGTAAATAATAACTTTAAAAGATTTAATTTTTATTTATTTATTTATATATTTTACAAGAGTTCTAACATTCTTGTAAAGCCACAAGCACACATAGTGTTTAGGGCAGGTCCTTGATCTTAATTTTTCCACAAAATATGACCCGCCAAATCATTTAACAACCAAGTACCCATTCACTGTTGGGTGAACAGAGGCTATAGATAATGATTGGTTCCCAGTCAGTCCTCCCTGGCCAGGATATGAACCCAGGCCAAAGCGCCTGGCGAGTGCTTTACCACTGCGCCACAAGGACTGCGTAAAAATGTACAGTGGAAACTCGATACTCAAACTTAATTGGTTCCTGATCAGCATTGTTGAATGCTGATCAGGTCAAGTACCAAACAATTTTTCTCATCAATCCAATTAATAAATTATATAAATGCAAATACTGTACTGAGGTGGACCCATTATGCAATGAACACCATCAATACATTAGATATAACAAATACAATCACTGAGAGGGGTGTCGACGAAATACACGCAGACTTTGTTATACAAGCCCCTTGAGAATATCTGCCAGCAGACTTTAAGACTATGACTCTTGAAGGAAAAAAGAACCAGATTAATCCTCATATGCTATGTAATATTGCACAGATGCATATAGAAGCAGACTTGGCATCTGACAGCTTCACATACTACACAGATGGATCAGTAGACCAGCAGGGACAAGAAACTGGAGCTACAGTTACAGCAGGAAACTGTAAATAGTTGGAGACTTTCAAATGGATGTTCAACTTTACAGACAGAGATGCTAGCCATTCAAAAGACTTTGGAATATCCTCTTGCTGAACACCGACAATATGTTATCATACATACAGATTCGAGAACTGCCATTGAAACCTTGGAACAAGAACACATATATGACAAAATCCATCTGTTCACAAATGTCATAGCATTAATGCAAACACTCAAACATCAAGGCTGTAAATAGGTACCTAGGAATATACCATACCCACTACTCCACACAGTTTGTGTGGTGTAGTGGGTAAGGTACCAGATATGCAAAGGTGTATGGAGTGCCTAGCTGTCTGGGTTTGAACCCGTCATGAGGATGTGTGTTCTGTTATAACTTGATGCCAATTCAAGTCTTGTCGCATATATATACTGTGTATATATATATTTGTGTACAATCATTTAACAACTATGGAAATGCCAAACATTTCACACTTGACTCCTTGAAAATTACATGGGAGGTCTCTCTAAATGCTAATATTTCTTGCAGTATTCAGTTTAGATTGACCCCAACCAGTAAGTGTCTATCCCATACCCCAGGCCATTTCCCTGAAAAGTTGGGTGAGGCTACCCACAAGCATCAGACCTCCAATCTTAAACACTTTCTCTTATATAGATATAGATAAATTGGAGTATTTTCTAGTGTACACCATCTGGATAAATCGGATAAAATTCTTGTCAATGGTTTGTCATTTATGCCATTTGGTAGAAACAAACATATTTTTTCAGGTATCCATTGTTCACAGACCCATTAAATCATTCACCACATGTACAAGTGTGGTGATCTTTAATAATCATTAATTTCTGATTGCCTGTGGTAGGCCAGCGGGGCAGTGGAGTTGCCTGCACCTATCAGTGGCCGCAGCAGCACAAGAGGATCTAGTGTGTCCCCTAAACCTTTACCAAAAGCTCCAGGGAGCAAAAGTTCATCCCCTTCCCCAGTTACCTCAGTAAAGAGTGCCACCACATCTGCCAAGTCTGCCACAACCACCACCACTACTACCACCACCACTGCCACTAGTGCAACACAAGACCTTTTGGGACTTGGTTAGTATTCCAATTAAATTTTATTTAATTTTTCTGTTAATTAGGGATATAAAAACCTCATCTTGAAGAACATTCCAAAAATTGCTTTTAAATCCAAGGTATATTACTAGTAGCTTAAACAAAGAGAATCAAGGCATTATCCCATTATGGCCTCCTAAACCTGAGATGGCTTTCATCTACAGTACTAGGTCACATCATCTGTCACGCTCTGTTTGGCTTACTGGCGACCAAAACTAGAACCAGGGCCCCTTTGCTTTGAGTGGGTGTAACTCCACCACCCCATCTGGAAAGCATCCAGAAAGTTGGTGAACCAATACAGACCACTGCTGGGTTCAAAGAGACCCAAGGCCTCAAAACTTTTCAAACAAATACTCACAATAACAATGTAAACAAATAATTGAATCTCTTGAAACAAGTAAGTTTGCTTGGGGTTGGAGGCAGAGCTACCGGTGCCCTGTGGTCTACCACATCTATATAGTTCTGTTGCTGGTGCAGACTGGTGTGGACGTCCACTGTAGGGCTCCCGGGTTATTAGTATGTCACAACGAGTCCTGCTGCTTCTTGGCTAGGTGCCAGCCATCCTTGGACTTTGTTCCGCAGAGGCCATTTGGTATTGTTCCTGGGTTTTAGTTCTGCTTCACGAGTTTGTGTTTATCTGGTTTTGTATTATTGTACTTTGCTCATAGTGCACTCTTAATCACAGTATGTACTGCACATGCCATGATATAGAGAAAGGGGGTGTGCACACCAACCTATCACAGTTGTTAATATATCATAAGATTCAAAACTCCCAAGGGGTATACTCATTCTGTTCCTCAGAACTCTATTGAGTTGGTGACACTTATGACCCTGAGTCCATTGGGGTATGCTCTCTCCATATGGAGAAGTTCTAGAGACTCCTAATGAAGTTCAAACTTATCAGGCAGTTTCTGCATTGCGTGTTTACTTCACCCGCCTTCAGTAGTCTCGGTTGGAGGTGTTGATGACTTACACGTTGGTTCCAGCCACACCTCTTCTTGCCCTTTGGGTGTGGTACACCCGGCTTCTGTATATGCCCCCCTGCTTTCTGAAACATCCAAGGGTGCCAGAGTTGCGGCAGGGCCTAGCTCCAGATGCGGCTCGGCCATTTCTAGGAGTGGCTCTTTCCACTTAGGGCACTGAGGCAGTTCAGCCACTTTGTCCAGCTGAGGTTTTAGGATTTTCTTCTTTCCAGCTGACCCTCTCATTTAGGCTCTGCTTTCCTATTTCTGGCAGTGGATATGGCTTTCAGATTTGCCCATGAGCCTGCATTTCTGGGACTTGGAGGGAGTCGGATAGAGGGCCTTGGGCTCCCTTGAACCCTAGTTGGACTTTCATCCCTTCCAATGAGGATCTTTTGCTTTAGGGGAAGGGGTTTTCATATCCCCTCCTCTCCTTGTATGAGTTTGATCTTAATGTGGCTCTTCACAGGGTTTGTTCCTGCATAGCTCTCGGCCTGTTGGATGTGCCTTTCCAGAGCTTCTCTTCCTCTCGGGTTTTCCCTTCAGTGGCTCGGGCAGCTCTTGGAAGGTACCTCCTATGAAACCTGGAGTTTGCCTTTATGATGGATCTTTCCTCTTGAATTTGGGAAAACTTTGGCTATGCTATGAGCTTCTGGAATCTTCCTGGCTAGCAGACAATTCTTTTTTTTTTTTTTTCCTTTGAGGCTTGGCATGCCTTCTGTCATTCCTGCACATTAAATTGGGATGAGGTGTTGACCGTGTTTCAGGAGTTCTTGGACAGCTCTTATTTTGAGCCGCTCAATAACTGCCTGTTTGCTGTTGCTTTTTCCCGGGACGTGGGGTTGATGTCGCTCCATGCTCAGTTGTCCCTGTTGGCAGAGCAATTGTAGGCTCACACTTGTCTAGTCTTGCATTGTTTGGCCCTCATGAAGCTGTGTACTGATTGGCTCCACAAGGAAGTTGTTGAACTTGGCTCTGGGTCGAATGGAGGCCTTGTTTCCTGCTGTGGTGGCATTGGTGGCCTTGCGTGAGCTGTGTGTGCCCATGCTCGGGGAAGTGGTGGCCACTTTCCACTGCCCTTCTTGCATGTCGACAGGCTGTGTTGGCCCAGTCATTAGATTCAGCTTGGGCCTTGGCCCTCTTGTCTGTCTCCCCTATTTGGCTTCTCTTTCCAGAGTTGGTGGTTGCTCGGTGTTCATCTTCATCAGCTCCTGCTTACTGGCCTACTTCTGATCCTGATGTGTTCCCATGGTTTTCATCCTTGCATTTGGAGCCAGTCTGGTAGGGCCAGGGTTTCGGCTACTGCTGTTCAAGGTAGGCCCTCATTGGAGATTCAGCGTCATATGTGCCTCACACAGTCAGTTCATCATCTGCTCGTCTGTGCTACTCTTACGCTTTACAGAGGATTACCGCAGGTTGGGGTTTGTGTCAGCCCTTTCATGGTTTGCTCATTTGATGGAGAGGTTAGGGGTAGCTCACAGGTTTTATACGTACAAGTTTCAGGGATTGGTTAGGCTTCATAGTGTTTACCGCTTGACGAATTTTCCTTTGGCTAAAATCTGGCTTCCCATATTTTCATCAGATTGGTTCTGGTTGTGATGACTCGTCTTCATTTGTTGGGGGATTCTGGCTTACAGCCCACACGACTGGCTGGTGTGGAACCCCCTGTCAGTTCGTCTGTTTGCTAGCCAGAGATCTGGTTCTTTCCCAGCTTGCCATGTTTGGGTTCCTGGTGAATTGGTGAAAGTCCCAGTTGGTTATGTTCCTAGTTTGACTTGGCTGTGGGACTCTTGGTCAGCATCACTTTCCCATCCTCCAGCAGCTTTGTTCTGGCTGCATCACCCAGGACCACCACATTTATTCTGATGTGGTGGTCCTGGGTGATTCAACATTTGCTGGAGCTATTGTGTGGTAGTCTGAGTTATTCCTGCATAATTTTTCTGCTGGGCAGTGTGTGGCTTTTGGGGCTGTTCTGGTTTCTTCAATTCTGTCCTTTTTGACTCTGCCAATGACTGTTGGTTTCTGGCCTCAATCACCCTTCATCAGTTGCTATGTCACTGGCTTTCTCTTCGGCCTTTTGTGGGTTCGTTTCCTTGGTACCTTCCTCCACCGTTGCCAGACGTTTATACAGACACATCAGCTCTGGGTTGGTAGTACTTCATGACCAGCACTCACTAGGCTGACCAGCGTCATTGGTCGGTTCCATTCCATTCCGTTGGGTGCACAGTACAGTACAGTAATTACTAAAGTGTAATTATTATGGTGTAGTTACAGGATGAGAGCTAAACTCGTGTCCTGTCTTCCCAGTACTCTGTCATATAACACCTTGAAACTACTGATGGTTTTGGTCACCACCATCTTCTCACTTAACTTGTTCCAACTTGTTCCAACCATCTTCAACTCTGTCTGCAAAAGTGAACTTTCTAATGTTTTTTGTCATCTTTGTTTCCTCTGTTTAAACCTGTGTCCACTTGTTCTTAAGGTTGCAGTTTTCAAAAATTCTTCTTTGTCAGTTTTATTGATTCCTATTACTATCATGTACATAGTGATTATATCACCTCTTTTTCTTCTACCTTCTATCTGTCGTGTAGTTAATACCGCTTTCATTTCTTCGTAGCTCTTATTTTTCAGTTCTGGAATCCATTTAGCTGTATGTCTTTGCATCTTTCCTAGCTCAGTGATGTGCTGCTTGAGATTTATGGGCACCATACAGCTGCTTCATATTTTGATTTTGATCTCATGAAGGTCATGAATAATTTCTTTAATATTTCACCATTCATGTATTAAAAAAAAAGACTCCAGTTAAAAAGTGTAGTTGTGTGTAGTTTATTTTTGCCTATTCCACATTCCATAATGTGGCATTTATTCATATTAACTAAAGTTTGCTAAATGTTGCACCATACACTCATTTTGTGCAGGTCTTCTTGAAGGGCATGACAATCATCGAAGTTTCTTATCTTCCCTAGCAGCATGGCATCATTGGCAAACATATTCATATAATTCTGTATTCCTTCTGGTAGGTCATTTTTATAGACAGTGAACATGTGCTAGAACTGAACCCTGTTCTGAACCCTCCACTGGTAACACCTCTCCAGTCTTATACATTGCCTCTGATTACTGCTCTCATTTTTCAGTCACTTAAAAAAAATCAATGTCGGTAGTCTCCCTGTCACTTTTCCAGCATGTTCCAGTTACCAGAACAACCTCTTATGTGGAACTCTGCCAGAGGCCTCTTTTTTTTTTTTTTTTTTTTTTTTTTTTTTTTTTTTTTTTATATGTCCAGATAAATGTAGTCAACCCAATTATATCTTTCCTGTAAAATCTCTGTGGCTGTGCAGAGGTTTGCAGTTATGTGGCATTCTCTGTCGAGGAGTCAGATTTCTCTAGGGGCTCTGTTTCTGTTATATTCAGCCTGTTCCCGAGTGGTTCATTTGAACTGGGGGGGAATTGGGAGATTCAGTCTGTTGCCCTTTGGAGGTGGATGCTGCAGAGCTGGTCTCCTGGATTTTCAGAGTTTGGTTCTCCATGATGTTCATGTGCAGGGAGAGTCCAACATTCATGTGGACAGTCTGCTTTTACATGGGACATAATGTCTGCACTTTCTATGGGCCTAATATTCCTATAGTAGAATCCAGCATATTATTAAAACAATAAAATATTCTATTGAAAGCAAATGCACAGTGAAATCATAATACTGTAGTGTTATATTTGAGGAAATCTTGGAGCAGACCTTTGGAATCAAACTAGCATCCTAGTCATGGTTTAGTTTAGTGTTGTCCTTGGGTTTGATGTGTATCTGGGGCAACCCAGGATGGTTCAGTTCTGCCATCCTGCTCTGAAGTCTTTCTCAGATATATCACATTACTGTGATTTCATTGTGTATTTGATGGGAGCATTTGGTGGAGAACTTGGTTACTTGCACCAAAGTATATGTGGGTTACATGTGACCTGCATATACTTCAGGTTACATGTGTTCCACATACATTTCAGGTTGTGTAACTTCTTAGTATATCGTGTTCCGTGGATTAAAGCACTCATCTGGGATAACCCAGGATGCTGGTTCGTTCTTACCTTCCTGCTCCTAAGATTTTCTAGGCAAACCAAAAATTTTAAAATCTGACCTGAAAATGCAGATTTTTCACATTTATTTTTAGCATTTTTACCCTATTAATGGTTCCAGGGTTTTTTGTACCTGTCATGCAGCACATTTACCTGCATCTCCAATAATATGCACACATAAGTATCTAGCCCCATTGTGTTGTCCAGGATTTAGTAGTTGGTGTTCCTACGTCAATTCTTCAAGCTTTCCTATTTTTACTGTTAACAGCTCTGATGTAGAAGGAGTGTAGGATGTAACAGTGACAAGGTTGTGTAAAATCATGATGATAGTTCAATATGGGTGCTGTTTTTAGAGATTATAAGTATAAGTTATTTTAGGAATGAGTGGAAAATATCAAACTGTGTATACTGAAAGAAATGTTAGATAGTTGCACATTTTGTTCAATATGTTAATATGATAGTGAAATTAATCTAAATTAAAGTAAATACAAAAAATATGTGAATGGAGAGAAATTGTAATCTGTTGGTGAATCATAATACCCGAGATGAGTTATTGATTAAAAGTGAAGGTGCACCAGTGAATGATTCCATGAAGGAATGACTATCCACCTTTATATACATGTATGGGCCATGATTGTGAAAATTTCAAAGTTTGCACAGTCCAGATGGATAATCTAAAGTTAATGTTTTAGAAGGATATAATGGGGTATGTTTATTTTTATGAGTTTGGAGTTTTGAATGATGACTGATAATTTGGGATAATTGGAGTAATATTAATTTTCTGGGAGAGAACTCTTATCAACATCAAGAGGGTACTTATCACTGTTCAACATGCTTCCACTACACTTAAGGACATAACTGGCCGACCCCTCATAATGTTCAAGAGAGAGAACTTGACAGACACCTCCAAAAGATACCTGATCAACCAGGCTGTGATTCATACATCAGCCTGCGAGGTTCAACAGTCTGGTTGACCAGTCCAGCAACCAGGCCGCGGGGATGTTCAGCCCAAAAATAATCGCAAGGTAACCGCAAGGTACAAGATAGGAGAATAGGAGGAGTGTGCCATGGTGATGTGGTCATCTTGACCAGTTGGATGAATATAAGTACCATATTATTGTGAATTATTTTCAGTTATTTGTAAATTTATTAATATTTTTCCTTGTTTTAGATGCCCTGTCATCAAATGGCATGAATGCTGACAATGCTGATCCATTTGGCGAATTCCTGGCAGCACCCGCTAGTCAGGCCAGTGCCACTACGGGAATACCCAGTATAGCTGCTTCTATTCCTCCCATCACAAGTGACTCGACAAAGGCAGATGAAGAAAATTTCTTCAACCAAAAATTACCAGAGGGTGGGTCGGATAAATTGACCAAAGACTCCATTCTGGCTTTATATGGCCAAAGTCCTGCACAGCCTCAGCCAACAACCATGTATGGTGTTCCTAGCAGTGTATATATGGGAGGGCCAACACCTAGCCAACCTATGGTGACAGCCCCACATGGAATGCAAAATGGAGGCATTTTGCCACAACCACAACAGAATGTGATGTTTATGGCTCAGGTATGTCAGTGAATGGTTGAGATATTTTGTGTTGTTAAGAGATATATTTTTCTGGGGGAAGCCCCTTCAGCTCCCCGGAGCTTATCCAGGCTGATATGTTAATTGTCAGACTTTGGCATCAGTCATGTGTATGGAGTTCTGTGGGCCTACCGAGGACCACGAGTCAGAACCTGGCCCCCTCAGAGAGGCAAGGGGAGCAATGGCCTATAGAAACCCCCGTGTGGTTGGAAGCATTCTATGTCTGCCATCGACCGGGTCAGGCATCCAGAAAGGTAAGCATCCCAAAACAAACCCTTATTCTGGTTAAGTTTGCTACCAAATGTCGAACAAGTGGATAGAACTCCCCCAAAAAGAAACGAGCATGACATCACACATCGCCGCGCCGCTGTCTGCGCAACTTCCCCCTCCCCAGGAGGGGGGAAGGGGGAGCCCCAGACCCCTCACGCTGGCTATCCACCCGTTGGTTCTAAGGCTGATGCTAGAGGCGGAGGTCGTGTGCTCTGGCTCCAGTGGCCTTTCAGCACTGTGCTTCGGGTGTGGTGGCTGTCTTCCAGGGGTGCGAGAGCTAGGAGTTATTCTACAGTACTCAGGCTGCATGTGCCTAGAGTTACCTTCCCTAGGTGCTCTGTATGTACTGCCCTTAAGGCTTGGGGTTGCCTTCCAGAAGTTCCTTGGGTCCTGCCTCTGCTGGGCTGTTTTAACAGTTTGTTTTTTTGGCCGCCCTTTGGGTGCTTCGGTGTTTTGTCTCCCTTGTTTATCTTAGGGTAAGAGGCAACTTGCCTTGTATGGGGCACAGGGTGCTGCCCAGCTTGTTTTCACTATTCAAAGCGGCCGGCTCTGTTCCTTGGGGTACATTGTCCTCTTGTGGGGTTTTGTTTTTATTTTTGCCTTGTAGGGGAGTCTGCTTTATTTGCCCCTTTGTGCCTGATCTGCGCATGGTTCTTCTGGTGGTTCCCCCTACTAGGTCCCCGTGAGTGTACACGTCCCTGGGGTTCAGCTTTAGACAGTTGTTTGGTAGTTTTGGGCGCCGGTTAGCAGTATCCTGCCTGGGATTCCCTGAGCGTGAGTACCGTCTCAGGACCCTGGGAAACCCCACGAGGGCACGCGGGTCCGATGGATGTGTCCCTGGAGTCCCCACTCGCTTTGTGCGAGTTTGAGGGTTGCTCTGTCCCCTTGTTTCAGGGAGACTGTGTTTTTGCCTCTGTCACGCTGCCTGTTGGGTCGGTGACACTTTCGACCCGGAGTCCTGTGAGTTTTGTTGCTTGCTTTCTTTTGACTCAGTTTACCCAGCCTAATGATGATCTTTTACGGGTACTGGCAGTGCAGGCGTTGCATGTGCGCTTTAGGTTGTTGCAACACACACGGTTGATTGCTCACCTGGATGCCCCGAGGCTGCCCCGTTTTGTTTATAGGGACCCGGACTTGGGAGTGGGGGTCGCTTCAACCTTGGTTTAGTCCGCACCCCCCTCGTCTTCCTGCTGTGGTGCGTCCTGGTCCCCATCCCCTCCCTGCTTCCGGCCCCGAAGTGTCTGAGGGTTTAGGAGTCGAGGCAAGGATCAGTTTGTTCTGAGACTCGGGCAGTTTCGGGTGATGCCTCTTCCAGTGTGGCGACTGAGGCATTCGAGTCCGATCCCACAGCCACTGCCTCCGGGTCTGACCAGTGGGCTCCCTTCCGTTCGGCTTACGCGGCTGCACCGGCTTATTCTTTTGAAGCCGGTGCGTTGAGGGATGACTCAGCCCCGGGTCCCTTGGAGGTGGATCTTGGGGCTGGGGAGAGGCTGACTTCGGGGCCTTTGGCCCCACTGGACCCTGCCTGGGTTTTTCTACCCTCTGAGCGGGGCTTGCCGTTACAAGGAGTAGGCTTCTCTTAATCCCCCTCTGCGTACGAGTTGGATTTGGTGTCTGCCCCTCCCTGGGTTCGGTTCAGTGTTTCCCCGGGTGCATCGGTTCCGTCCTTCCGGAGGTTTTCGGTTTACCGCATCCTACCGTCTTTGGTGCGGGTGGCCCTTGTAGCTTAATTCCTGCGCAACTTGGATTATGCTTCACTTATGGATCCGTCTTCGTTCAGGTTTGGGTCTTCATTTCCTTTCTGGGTCCGTTACGAGGTTCTGGAGTCGTCCTGGCTGGCAGACTGTCCTGTGTTTGCCTTGGAGGCTTGGCATTCCTTCTGTCGTACCCGCTCGCTTGCGTGGTGTGAGGCTTTGACAGTGGTTCAGGTTTTCCTGAGGGGCAATCTTGAGCACCTCAATGAGTGTTTGTTTGCCCCGGTCCTTCCTGGGGCAGAATGTTGGCGTTCTGCAGCTCCATGTGCAGGTTCTCTCCCTTTCAGTGACGCAGGTTGCCGAGGATTTGCGCTCCCGTGGCCTTTTGGCTTCGGCCTTGCGTTTCTTTTCTCTCCTGGAGCTGTCTTCGGACTGGCTTGCTGAGGATGTGGGGATACTTGGGGCCGTTCCTAGGTCCAATGCCATGGGCTTGGCGGCTCGCTCGTTGGCTGCCTTGTTGAAGCTTTTTGCGCCGATCTTGCGGGAGGCGGTTTCCCTGTATTATGCTTGCCTCCTCTCTGGAATCTGCCTGGGTCCTGGTTCTTAGGATGTCTTCACCTTTTTGTCCTCTGCTTTTTTGAGGATTCGGCCGTGGCACAGTATATACAGGCTGCTTAGGCTAATTGTCGTCCTATGTCTGACTTGTTGGTTCTCCGGGGTTCTGGGGGGGGGGGGTTGCCAGGGCTCGGAGTTCTGCTCGTCGTGGTAGGCCACTGATGCCAGGTTTGGGTTCGATCCCGCCTTCATCTGGTCGGCGCGGTGTTCGCTCTGTGCAGGGTTCTGGGTCGTAAGGGCCACCGGCCCTTTCGCGGTTTGCCCCGTTGACGGGGCAATAGGGGGGGGGAGGCTGGCGCTGTTCGCTCATGCCTGGTCCCACAATTTGTGGGTGTTTTGGGTCGTTTCTTTTGGCCTGCGGTGGCGTTGGGTGGCCCCACCTTCGGGGGGTTTGGGGCAGGCCTCTTTCCCTGCACTGTCCGGTCGTCTTGGAGTGGGTGCGCTTGGGCATGGTCGAAACGACGACGTCCGTCAGATGAGTTTCCCGTCTGTTCCCAGTACCGAAACGGGACTGTGCGGACCTGAGGTTCATTCTGGACTTCTCCCATATGATCCCCTGGGTTCATTGCCCCTCTTTTCGGATGACTACGCTATCCCAGGTTCAGCTCTTGTTGGCACCGGGCTCTTGGATGGTGTCCCTGGACCGTCAGGATGCTTATTGGCACGTCCCGATTCACCTGGGGTTCAGGGACTGGCTCGGTTTTGTCGAGAGGCGTCAGGGTTACCGCTTTCATTGTAGCCCGTTCGGGTTAAACTGGCACCTCGCGTGTTCACGCGCCTTACCCGGGTTGTTGTGGCCCGTCTGCGTCTTTTAGTTGTTCTGTTGTTGGCCTTCCTCGATGACTGACTGGTTTGGGCTCCCAGCCGGTCCTCTTGTCTGCTAGCCGGGGATTTGGTTCTTTCCCAGCTCGCCAGGTTCGGGTTCTTGGTGAATTGGAGGAAGTCCCAGTTGGTTCCCTCCCAGGCTCAGACCTGGTTGGGTCTTGTGTGCGACTCTCGGACCACTTCCTTGTCTCTTCCTCCGGAGTCTCTCCTGCGGCTGCAGTCCAGCATGCGTCTGTTTCTGGGGGGCTCCCAGGTCACCCGGCGGTTGCTCGAGGGTCTGTGCAGGAGCTTGAACTTCACGATGAAGGTTTACCCGCCGGGTCGGGTTTGACTTCGTCGGCTGTTCTGGTTTCTTCCAGGACATCCCTTCTGCCTCTCTCGCGATCGCTGGGTTCAGACCCCAGGGGCCTTGCGTTGGCTGCTGTGTCGCCGGCTTCCTCTTCGGGTTTTTCGGGGTTCAGTGCCTTGATGCCGGCCTGAGCCCTCGTTCGATGTGTTCACGGACGCGTCGTCTCTCTTCTGGGGCTTTGTGACCAGTGCTCACCAGACCGGCCAGGGACGGTGGGGTCTGTCGGGCCTACAGCACGGTGCGGGAGTTCGCAGCAGTGTGGTTTGCACTGCAGAGGGTTTGGGTCGCCCGCGGATCGACGATCCGGCTCCATTCGGACTGCTTCCCAGTGGTTCATTGCCTGAACTGGGTTCAATGTGGTCCTTGGACCAGATTCACGAAGCAGTTACGCAAGTACTTACGAACGTGTACATCTTTCCTCAATCTTTGATGGCTCTGGTTACATTTATTAAACAGTTTACAAGCATGAAAACTTGCCAATCAACTGTTATTGTTATAAACAGCCTCCTGGTACTCCGGAGCTCATTAACTGTTAAATAATTGTAAACAAAGCCGCCAAAGATTGAGAAAAGATATGCAAACACTTATGAATCTGTATGTCTTTTCTCAATCTTTGGCGGCTTTGTTTACAATTATTAAACAGTTAATGAGCTCCGAAGCACCAGAAGGCTGATTATAACAATAACAACAGTTGATTGGCAAGTTTTCATGCTTGTAAACTGTTTAATAAATGTAGCCATAGCCATCAAAGATTGAGGAAAGATGTACACGTTTGTAAGTACTTGCGTAACTTCGTGAATCTAGCCCCTTGGCTCTTTGGCGCTGGTTGCTTCATTGGTTGATTCATCTGCTGAGTTCTTAGGGTTTCGCTCTCCTGGCTGTTCACGTGCAGGGAGTGTCCAACGGCCTGTCTCGTTTCGTTCCGCTTTCCACAGATTGGACGGTCGACACCGACTCCTTCCTTTGGCTTTGCCGGACGTTCGGGCGCCCTGAGGTGGACCTCTTCGCGTCGGCGTGGTCGAGGCATCTTCCCATATATGTGGCGCCCTTCTCTGACTGTGAGGCCGTCGGGGTTGATGCCTTTCGGGAGGACTGGTCGAGGTGGGGGGTTGCTGTACCTCTTTCTCCCGGTTCAGCTGTTGCTCCAGGTCCTGACTCGCTTGGAGACTTAGCAGGGGAGAGTTGTTCTCTTGGCCCCCATGGTTTCAGGCGCTGCTTGCTTGATGTCCGAACCCGGAGGTTTTTCGCGGCTCCGCCTGTTTCTGCAGATTGGACCGGTGTGTCACATGGCTGGTTTGATCTTCTCTTCAAGTCTTCGCGTATGGTATTTTTGACTCGGGGTTTATCATCACTATGGTGATCACCTCATCTGGGGGCTTCCTCTAGGTGGCAGTATGAAGTTTCCTGGCGGTCCTTCCATTTCTTTCTGCATCTTTGTCGGTGTGTTTCGCTGTCTGCAAGGGCTGTGTGTTCTTTCTCTCTTGGTTGTTCCAGGACCATCATCTTATTGCTGACACTGTCGCCTCGTATCGTGCGGCGCTGGCGGAGCCACTTCAGCTTGCTTTTGGTAATGATGTTACGTCTGCGCCGTTTCGCAAGCTGTCTCGTGTGTTGTTTCACCTCCAGCCTGCTCATGCGCCGCCAGAGCCGTCCTGGTCATTGGACAAGGTGCTCTTCTTTTTCTTTCTTCTTCTTCTCGGTGTGTTGTGGCCCCTTTGGTTCAGGATTGCTTCTCGGAGGCTCTCTTTCTGTTGGCATTGGCCTCTGGGGGTCGGGTTGGTGAGCTTCTTGCTCTCGTCCGGCGCAGGGGTTTCTGCTATTTCGGTCGTGGCGATCAGTTTGTCCGTCTGCAGCCGTCTCCATCTTTTCTGGCGAAGAATGAGACTGCTGCTTTCCGGTGGGGTCGTTGGGTTGATGATGCTTGGTTGGTCAGGCCGGGGGTGCATCATGTTTTGTGTCTGGTTGCGGCCCTTCGCCGTTATTTGTGTGCCACGGCTTCTGTGTCCGGGGGACACGCTTTGAGTTGATCCAGTTTCCCTTCGTCCCTGTTGGTGGGTGCGGGTCTCCCAGGTCGTCCGCAGGATTGTTAAGGTTAGCCAGCCTGCGGTCTATCCCCGGGCTCATGATGTTCACAAGTTTACTGCTCTTGCTGCCATGTTTGGCAATATGTCCTGGGCTGACATTCGGGCTTGGGGTCGAACAGGGTCTTGGCTGCTCGGTATCTTGTGAACGTTCCTGAGCCTAGTCGGGCCTGTGTCACTTTAGGTCGGTGGTTGCAGCCAGCTGTCTCAATTTTGACTTTAGGAGTGAGCAGCGACCGCCTCCCGGGTAAGACCCTATTTTTTCCTCTGTGTGTAGTTAGCTCTGGGGAGCCAAAGGGGCTCCCCCCCCCCCGCAAACCAGCGTTGAATGTAATGAAACGCTATTTTCTGGGTGAGGCCCGGACCCGAACCACAAGAGGTAAAGACTTTTTACTTGAAATTTTGGGCTTCCTGGAGGCTAATTAACAATGTCAAAAGATAAATAACAATTTCAGAATTTTTTTCTTGCACACTATGGGGGGATGTCAGCATTTAACAGGTGCTCCATTTAAGAGTTAAATAGGGGATTGCAGATATGGAAAAGAATAATATGTAGTGTATGTTATGATTCTTCTTTTCCAGGCTGGCATTCCTTCAGGAGCAGGAGTTCCTAATCCCTTCTTTGCCAATGGGATGCCCCAGGGTCTGCCCACATCTATACAGCTTTCTGCAGCTAACCCATTTGCTCAGGTAATGGTTTTTGCTTTAATGCTTTTCTTATTTTCCTGGAAAACTTGATGGAATTACAGTGCTGTCTAAGCTTGTTTATCCTGATTATATGGGAAGGACCCCTGACCAAATAAGTCAAGAGACATCTGAATAGGCAGAATTCCTACCAGGGAAGTCCAAAACTGATCATATTCTCAATTTTATTATACCACAACCATCATAATTCAAATTTCAACACATTATAAATCCCAAATAAGATTTACAACAGAAGCTTCAGCTTACCTTGTAAGTTTGTCTTCTTTGGTTGGTCTTGAAATGTGTAGTTCTTGAAAATTTACATAACCTGATCTCTGTTCATCCACATTTCTGTTTGGATATGGCAAAGATTTGCCAGAATATTATCTGGGCACAATTTTGGCAGGAAAACCAAAATATTCGGTTCAGCGGGCTTCGGAGCTCAGTATATGACAAGGTCATCAAAATGTATTATTAAAAAAAAGGTCGAGTAAAGGGCCTAAAAAATATTAATAGTGTCGCATGAAATGTTTAATGCACAAAATGAAAATCAAGCAGGACCAATGGGAATGACTCTGAACTAGTCCAGAGGGCCTAATGTGAAGCAAAGGATCATAGTGAAGAGGCGTCATGCTGGAGAAGAGTGAAAAGAAAGGTTCCACAGGGCTCCCTCCTAGGACTTACTTGTTCCCCAAGTTATTGCTATACCTCCCATGGTGCACAGAAGCGTGTTCCTTGGTGGAATTCGGACCGTGCTTAGGATGTACAGTATGCATCCTGGAAAAGACACCTGGATCTTTCTCTCTCATTTGGAGGGGTAAGTGCAGTAGTTTGTAGGACCATCTGTATTGCTAAGTGTGAGAGTTGGAGATCGCGTGTCTCCACCATTAATTACTGTTGATGCCATTCTCCATCATATCTGGAAAACAATCCAATTTTTTCCAGACATGTTGCATGTCCATCAACATCTGTTCATTGTTGCAAACCCACTATTGGTCATAAATCAACCAGGTTTACACTTTTCACCCATTAGCTCTGGTGCTTATTTTCCTATTTCTTTCCTCACTAGTAATGTGAAACTAGACTTCTTGAATCTCGCCCCTTGGACGTTCACGCTCGTCCTGGCTTACCCTATAATGATTTATTCACCCTTTCTGAACTCCAGGCTGCCTTGTCTGCAATTTTATGGTCACGGGCTTGGACGTTATTCACTCTTTGAGTTGTTCTGTCATCTCCTTGCATTCCTTGCTGTCTTTGCTGCATATTTATAATCTTATTTAGGGTTGACCAAGGTTGACTTCTGTCCCCAAAGAGTGGCTTGAGGTAGTTGTTCTTCCCATTAGAAAAACTGGTACTTGAGGGACTTCTAATGATTTTTATCCCATTTCCTGACAAGTTGTCTGCAAAATCTTTGAGTGTATGATTAATATATGTCTTATGTTTCTTGGAACATCATTGCTACATCTTTCCCTCCTAATTTGGTTTTGTACTTGCATACTGCCTTTGCTGCAAATTCCTTCACTGTTGCAGTTCTTTTTGACTCGGCAAAGGCTAATGGCATCACCTGGAGATAAAATATTTTAGCCCAACTTTTGGCCTTCGTGACACACTCCCAATTTTTCTTCAAAACTTCCTCTCTCGGCGTTCATTTGAAATGAGAGTTGGTGCTGCCTTTTTTTTTTATAACAGTATGAAGGTGTTTCCCAAGGTAGTATTCTGAGCATTACTCTCTTTCTAGTTGCCCTCAACCATCTCTTTATCCACAGGCATTTTCTTGGCCCTTTGTGTTGATGATCTTGCTCTCTGCTGTCGTGGTAATGACTCCTCTTCCCTCCAATGCCAGCTCCAGCTCATGATCGATAATGTCATTCTGGGCCGGCCAATCACTGCTTCAAGTTCACTATGACTAAGACTTGTGTTATGACTTCTACTTGGAGGCATGTCATTCCTTGCCCACCAGTGTCACTCTGGTAATCCTCCTTATGTACAGGGATTCTCCTAACTCTTGGGGTTGATCTGTGATGCTCATTTATCGCTCACCTCAAAGTTGAATATTCAATTAAGGCCCTCGCTTTAAAATCTTGTCATACTTCCTGGAGAGTTGATATGTACGTACACACTATTTGCATTCCTTCTTTGTTCTGTCTGAATTTGATTATAACAGACCCACACATTCCTTTGCCTCTCTCTTGACTCTTCATCGTCTTGATGCTCTGCACCATTCTGAATTAAGCCTCAACTCTGGTGGCGTTCATTCGTCCCCTGCCCAGGACTTTTATGTTGAAACTGACGTCCTATCTTTAGAGAATCGGTGTTATCATTACTGCCTTCACTTCCTCATATGGTTCTGCAACAGGCCCACTCACTCTTGTGCAGTGCTTTGACCACTGCTGCTCAGGAGGTACAGTATCTGTTTCCTCTCACTGCCTTCCTTCTCCTGCATGGGTGGCTTATTTGCAAGATTCCTCTCGGTTCACATTGTCAATATCACTCATTGTGTTGTTCCTACTTTGCCCCTAAGGAGGGTCCAACTTTGTGAAATTTTGCAAGATTTTGACCCACATGGTGAAGGCTTATACTCCCTCTACTGTTCTGAAAGGCGTTTTCCTTTAACATATCTCTCATGCTCAATTGCTCCATTCACAGTTGGATCTAAGTCTGCAGATGGTGTTGGCCCCTCGATTGTTTTTCCACTCATACTATATGTGCTGCATCCTCCCTAAGACTAGCATTTTCACAGGGAACTTTATGCAATTTTATATGCTCTTCTTCAGCTGCTTTCTCTGTGTCAGCATTCCCTTGTCATTGTGGTAGTCTCAGTGCTCTCATGGTTCTTAGTCTTTTAAACCTATGCATCCTGTGGTGATCATAGTCAAATGCTGTCTCATGCAGATATATCGATATAAAAGTCAAATTTTGCTGGGGTTCCCAGCTATGTTGGAGTTACAAATGAACTTACAGGTTTGCACAATCACCATGGAGGCCATTTATGCTTGCATTATTTCCCAGAAAGGGACACCTTATTTGGATTTCTATCCAGTCATTCATTTTGCAATCTCTGACCATTGGCAGGGTTGTTGGGCTGGCATTACAGGTAATTAACTGCATGGTCTTGAAAGTTATATTTCCCTTTGGCCTTCCTCCTATCACTTTAATGGGTGATGGGGAAACAGCTTTGGCTAAGTTGCATGTCGGTCAAATCTGCTTAACTTATGGCAACTTAATGGAACATCGTCCCGTCTCCTTTTTGTCTAAACGCTGCATTGTCACACTTAGTTGTGCACCACTTTGTAGAATGTCCCAATTTTTGGGGTACTTTCCTAATGTCCATAGAGGTAATTTCTCTCTCGGTACAAACCTTGGTGAATCCTATACTTTTGATATAGTTTCCCTTGTGTTCTTTTATTCTCGTATTGGCATCTTGAGTGATATTTAGTGCCTTTTTTGAATGTCCAACAACAGATGACTTTTCTAAGTAGTCTTCTAGGCTTGGCACCTTCTTCGATAATTAATTACTCCTGAGGTATGTAAATGGCCTACCAGAGGGAGTGAGCTCATACATGTAACTGTTTACAGATGATGCAAAGCTGATGAAAAGAATAAGAACTGGGAAGACTGTAGTGTGTGTGTGTCTTCACAAATTATTAGATTTCAACCTCAAGAAACGAGGAGTAAAGGAAGATAGACCATATGGAATATGCCACTTCTGCAATTGGAAGGAGAAAAAGACTTGGGAATGGATATAATTCCTTCACTAAGACCAGAGGCACACAACCATTACTACATCAGCAGCACATAGATAATGCCAAACATGACTGGCATTTTAAAATCTAAACAAGAAGTCTGTAGAGACAAACCTATATCACGTGTGTGAGTAATAGAATAGCAACAGCATGGAATCCACACCTTGAGACACAAAGCTATCTTCAATTTCACTTGAATACACTCACTCCACCAGTCTTACTATCATCCATTTGTTTAAACTTCTCAGAAAATCTCTGGATTCTCACCTCAGTTTTGCTGTTTATCAACTTTTGCCTTACACATCTTGCATAGTAAGTACAATCATTTATTTTTACTGTATTTTCAGATGCAGTCCCAAATGGCAGGTCTCAACATAGGTGGCCAGCCTCCAGTAATGGGACAGGTGCAAAACTTAGGAGTGACAACAATGGTGGGAGGGATGAGCGTTGGCAGCATCCCTACCGTTCCCATCGGTGGCAGCATGCAACAGCTGATGCCTGGTGCAGTCAGCGGTGGCACCCTTGGGACCGGTAACACCACACTAGCCACTAAACTGTGGCAATAACTGTAATGTTACTTAGGAAAGTGTCTTGATCACCTTAGCCTAATGTTGTGGTGCTACACTTGAATTTTTGTTGTTGGTTAGGCATTGTAGCAGGTGAGTGATAGGCAGAGTTGGGACCAGAAAGGGTTATAGATTAGTGCAGTGCCAGTCAACCCCACCAGAATTAAGCTGCAGCATTCTAATATTTGATGCATGTTGGGTGAGTGGTGCTGTTCTGTATGGTAACTAATTCACTTTGAGTTTTGTTACCATTTATGTTAAGTCTCCCAAAACAGAATCTTGTAGTCTCCTTCCCTTTTATCCATTTTGATAAGGTTCACTTGCACACTGTGACCCATTGGTAAGATAGAGTATTACACAGAATAGTGTGATTTCACACTAGAAAGAGAGTATGTTAGTTTGTTGCTAATAAATCTTTTGCAATGTATTTGAATGGGGGATCTTTTTTTTTTATATAATGTTTGTGTTGCTGATGGGAGGATTATATGAATCGTGTGTATATGCAAGCTGGCCAGTCTAATGTCTAATTCAGTATTTAGAATTGTATAATTTAATACAAAATCAGAGTTTGTCACCAGTTAATATATTGTCCATAATTTATTTTTCAACTATGTTAATATCTTTTTAAGAGACTGAAATAGGGAGACAGAATATTCATATTTTCCCATCTTTGTTGTAATATTGTGCATCTGCAGGTCTTCAGTTCAGTCTGAAGACCTGCACAGAAACACACTTCATCCTGCTAAATAAAATTAATTGAAAGTGATAATTCAAAATGGATAAAAGGATGAAGCATTATATATCACAAATATTTTCAAGGATGCTTGGATCAAGTCATCTCTCTGGATATTCCCTATAGATTATGAAGCCTTAAGGAGGAATTAGATGAGAGGGACATTTTGTATTGTTAACAGTATTTCATGATTAGAATTCACTTTTTCTCCCACATACAATATGTTAAGGAAATTCACTCCATGCATTCTCCATGCTCCCTCCAAATAGTGGATTATAACAGGGTATTATATATTTTGTCCCTTATGTTTCCACTCGGGATTCACAGTTGATTGTTCGTACGGTTTTGTTGGTGCAATGAAAGTTGGTATCATTGTTTTGTTTCGTGTATACTTGTTTTTAGCTTAGTTACTTTGTTGTTCTCCAGATACAAAAGGTCTCTCGGTTTGTCAGATGTATATTCTTAGCTTGATTTTTGCCCAGTGATATGTTTGAGACTGGACACTTGTAAATACCTGTATTGTAATAGCAATAAGCATATGAAACTTGTGGAAAGTATAGGGAAAGTGTGGTTCTTAGTTCACTAAGCAATATATGAAGTTCAGCCATTATTATTTTTAGCTGTAAAATATCATTACCTGCATGCATAAAATATATAATATATAAACATTGTACAGTATATATTTTGTGTATTTCATTGTGCTTTAGAGAGCATGGAAAATTGTATGAAAATTCACGGGTTGCATAGATGTGTTGGCAGATAGGTAAATTATTTTGTATCGCAGTGTGCCTGGCGGTATAGTTTGGAAAGTGCATGGATCTTGCATATAATGCTTCAATGTGTAATGTTTCCAGATCTGTTTAATTGCATGGGTATTTTGAATAATATTTTGCACCCATTCCTGCAGTTCTATTAAAATATAAATCTCTGGTACAAAAGAATTGAAGTAAATTCTAGTCATGTGATAAAAAGTCATGAGTTGAACTGATAGAAGATTAATTTAAATGTTAAAAGACAAAAATGATAGTTTAAGCACTAACTCAAATCGGGTTGTAAGGTTCACACTGTAGATTGGAGTATAGAATATTATTAATGTTTGAACTTTTACCCAGATTGCTCATATATTTGTTTAGTAAATTGATTAACATTATAAAAATACTCAAAAAGTCTTTTCTTGAAACTGAGCATTTGTAAACACATTACTCATGTATACGCTCTGATTAAAGCTCGTTGCAACTCACCAATTGATCGTCACTTTAACCAATATTTTTGGCGCTTGCTCTTTCTTATATTTCCATTCTTTCACATTTACAAGGAAAGTTGACTAACATTTTAGTGGAACAGCAGAGACACTTAAGCATTTTGGTACCTTTATACAAGTATTTATACATTATGTATGCATATGTATGGTATATCAGGGCTCAAAATTTTTATGTATGCATATGTATATTAAAGCTTGACTTTTTTTTTTATGGTGAACTTTTTACTCACATGAAACTTTTTACCATGTCTTTACTTATTTTTTTTTGCCATATTCAATAAAAATTTAGATGCAAAACAAATATTGTTACCTTTGTGTATTATTTACTTGTTCTGTATCTGTCTTTTCTGAAAAGACCCCTCAGTAGCTCCCTGAGCTAACTCACAGCAAGCAGAGGAAGCTGGAATTTACAAAAAATGCAGCTAGAGCTTTCGTGTAGGAGAAGACAAAGGCATGGGGTTGAAGGGTGCCAGATGCTTTTTTTTTCTTCTTCTTCTTCTTCTAGGGATATTCAAGCACGGGCCCTAAGCCTCTGGCTGGCCCACTAAATGTTGATTGTTTCTGTTTTACTTAGGCTGAGTATGAGTATTTATAACTCATATGGTTGCTTCAGTAAGATTTTGCTCCATGTGTTTAACAACTACTGCTCTGTTGAATTTAAGTTGAAATCTTAATGGGTTTGTAACTCTGCACTGTGTATGCTGAACGGCAACAAAAATGCAGCAAAGTGGAGGGACACTCCAGATGTGGTTGTGGCTCCCTATAGATGAGGGTAGGATTAGGAACTCCAGTACATTTCCCTAAGGCTTGGCTGGATCAGCATTTAGCTCAGAAAGCTACTAAAGGCCCCTCCAGAAATTTGCTTCATTACAATAGGTGGTCGATTTTTAGATTAATATTAGCAAGAAAATGCATTGAATGATAAGTCAGTTCCAAAGCAAGCTTCAAAAGCTTTAATCCTTAATAGCATTTATCCCTAGATAAACTTGGTTCAGTGAATTAAATGTTATTTGTAAAATGGCAAAACCTAGGAGCTCAAGATGTGTTGTGCAAAGCATTTTTTATAAATTTGTACCAGCTATTACCAACAGTAAATAATACAATAACAATAATACTTAGGTTTGCGCACACAATTTACATAGACTGATTTTGAAACTTTAATATTTTCTCGTATGTCATTCAATGTGTAACTAAATTTCAAATTTGGCCAGTCATGTGAATATAAAATGGAAGCTAGCTTGATCTTGCAGTGTCATGTCACTGTAAATATTGCAGAAGTGTATGAGTGGATTTGTCAAGCCTTTGTGTGTGTGTGTGTGTTTGTATTTGTGCTATATACTGTACTTTATATAATTTGTAAATATATATATATTATATATAATATATATTTTATATAATATATATATATGTAATATATAATATATATATATGTAATATATATTATTTATAGTATATATTTAAATATAAATATTGAGAGCAAATCTAGTTTAAACTATCTGTTAACAATGTAAACTATAAATCTACTAGTGGCTTTGTGATAGAAATTTAATTTTGTTAATTTCTCTGAACTTGACATTGTTTATGCTTTCCCTAGTTTTTCTTCGCTTCCTGAACTCCCATTTTTAATTTATTCTATTTTCTTTATACTGTGTATATGAACAAAGTTACTATAAATAATTGCCGACATACTTAATGACCCTTAAATGATAAATATTTATACTAAAATGAATTTTTTGAGGTTAACAAGATCGTTACTGGTATAGCTCATATTCATTAAACCATTGCTTCAGTAGGTGGATAAAAAATGGCTTCAAATTTTATCTGCATGGGGAGAAATTTTCCACTACATTACCTGAATTTTAAAAACTTGGTAGTTTGCTGTAGTATATAATGCACTATAAATTAACCCATTTTAGATTTTCATAATATTACAAATATAAATTTTAATCATTACACGTTTTATAGCAGTGGAAATAGCGGTAGTTAACAAAAATGTTGGGCAGAAAAATTATTAAGGCTACCAAGAAAATCTATAATGGATCAGTGAATGCTCCATTGCTCCATTTCAGACTTCAGCACTAAGGCCTTGTTCCAGTATTTTCCTTACAAAGATTTAATTTTTTGGAGAGTGATCTAAATATTTTCTTGGTATTGTGCTCCAAAAAAGTTGGTTAGCGAGTTCAGTTATTTCCGGAAGTGAAGCAGCATTAGCTGTGAGACTAAACAATTGAACTACAGTACATTCCTTGAGGGTCATGTAAATTTTAATAATGCCTAACGATGTGATGATAAATATATCGTGTGGAAGAAGGCAACTGGTTACTTCAACACCTGTGCTTCGTCTGGCAAGCTTGGCTAATACCTTTCGCCTATTGCATAATTTTCCCGCGTTGCAGTCCTTTTGCATTCTTGCTTATTTCTCCGCTGAACTTTTCTGCATGAAGTACAAGCCGTACTTAATAAGGTTACAGTATGTGAGAAGAATCAGTTGGTGGATCTTTAATGTTACATTAAAGTAAACTCAGTGTTTTGCTGCCATGAAAGTAATATGTATTTCCAAACAAATCTTAATTTAAAAAATCTTATTCTCCTTACTTCCTGTATCAAAAGTACATATAATTTTTAACATCAGTAGTGTTAAAATACACTGAGCTGTTTGAAACATTCATTATCATTTCTAATTAGGTTCAATTTATTAATAGACTATTACCTGCCATGGTGTGAAGGTTAATTTAAATAAAATTGATAGGAAATGTAATTAGATTTTATTCGTACAATATACTGTATTGTACAAGGTTGAGAACTCTGTGTTCATTGTTATATTTTTGGATAATTCAAGGAATAAACCATTTGGTACTTCTCTAGTATTCTATTAATATGTCTTTAGTTCATGAACATTTTGCATTATTGTTTAGTTATTATTTTCAAGAATATTGCTAAATACTGTAAGACTTTTGCTCCACTAGGAAGTGTTCCATTAATTGCTCTGTTTCTTGTGCATTTTTTCATGAGCTGTTAAAAATCACTGATCTTCATATTTGCTATAACAGAAAACTTATTTTATACCAAAGATTTCACAAGGTGAATAATAAACTGTAAAGAGCAGTTATATTGTGTACATATCCATAGGTTCAAAGTGATTATTATATACCAGTATAAGGACTTTCAAAGAGTGTTATGAACATATATGTAGTTGGGTTGAATGCTATGAAAGTATATGTTAGTAGTAGTGTGTGGCGAGTCAATGATGTAATGAGGTGCTTAATATTCATGTAAGCATATGCCAGGGATGTGTGATGTCATCTTGCGTGTTAGAAATATATGTGAATGGAGTCACAAGGAGTCATTGTAAGTGTTAGAAAAAGGTGTAAACTCTAGTGACTGGGCCTAAGTAATTACTTAAGTGTAGTTACAGGATGAGATCTATGCTCGTGGTGTCCATCTTCCCAGCACTTTGTCGTATAACAAAACTACTGACAATTTTGGCCTCCACCACCACCACCTCACTTAGCTTGTTCCAACCGTCTACCACTCTGTTTGCAAAAGAAAACCTTTAATGTTTTTTTGGCATCTTTGTTTCCTTAGCTTGAATCTGTGTCCTCTTGTTCAGGAATTCCTCTCTTATCAATTTGGTCGATTCCTGTTAGTATTTTGTAAGTGGTGATCATATCACCTCTTTCCTCTATCTTCTAGTTTTGGCATGTTAAACGCCTCTACGTAGTCTCATTGTAACTCTTGTTTCTCAGTTCCAAAAGTCATTTTGTAGCATGCCTTTGCACCTTTTCCAGTTTCTTTGTGCTGCTTCAGAGTTGAGCACCATACAACTGCTGCATATTCCAATTTTGGTTACCTTGAGAGGGTTCCAGGGCTTAGCATACCCTGCGGCCTGGTCCTCGACCAGGCCTCCTCATTGCTGGACTAGTCAACCAGGCTGTTGGATGCGGCTGTTCACAGCTTCATGTAGGAGTCACAGCCTGGTTGATCAGGTATCCTTTGGAGGTGCTTATCAAGTTCTCTCTTGAACACTTTGAGGGGTCGGCAAGTTATGCCCCTTATGTGTAGTGGAAGTGTGTTGAACAGTCTCGGGCCTCTGATGTTGATAGAGTTCTCTCTCAGAATACCTGTTGCACCTCTGCTTTTCAACGGGGGTATTCTGCACATCCTGCCATGCCTTCTGGTCTCATGTGGTGTTATTTCTGTGTGCAGGTTTGGAACCAGCCCCTCTTCTATTTTCTATGTGTAAATTATTATGTATATCTCTTGCCTGCGCTCGAGAATACAGATTTACGCATTTTAGTCGGTCCCAATAGTTTAGATATTTTACTCAGTGGATTCTAGCAGTAAGGATCTCTGCACACACTCCAGGTTAGCAATTTCTCTATCTTTGAAGGGGCCGTCATTGCGCAACAGTGTTTCACTCTAGAGAGCACTAGCGTCTTGAAAAGTATCATCGGTATAGCATCTCTAGTGTGAAAGGTTCTTGTTATCCAACCTGTCATTTTTCTTGCAGCTGTGACGGCTACTTTATTGTGTTCTTTAAAGGTAAGGTCTTCCAACATGAATCCCAAATCCTTTACACTGCCATTTTGTTCTATGTTATGATTTGACTGCATTTTGTATGTGCTTTCCATTTTTATTTTTTTTTTTCCGTAGTGCATGAACTGGAACTTATCTTCGTTACACACCATATTATTTTCTGTTGCCCATAGAAAGACCTGATTTACATTTGATTGGAGGTTTGCCGCGTCTGTTGTCATAAAAAATCCTAATGTCATCGGCAAAGGAAGATACAGTACTATAGATTGTGTCCTTGTCTATGTCTGATATGAGGATGAGAAAAAATACTGGAGCAAGCACAGTACCCTGAGGGACTGAGCTCTTCACAGTTGATGGACCGGATTTTATTTTGTTGACTATTACACATTGGGTTCTGTTAGTCAGGAAATTGTAGATCCATCTGCCTATTTTTCTGGTAATTCCCTTTGAATGTATTTTGTGTGCAATAACACCATGGTCACATTTGTCAAAGGCTTTGGTGAAAAATGTAAATTACATGAGCATTTTGTTTGACTTCTACGGCATCTAATGCCATGTCATAGTGGTCCAGCAACTGCGATAGGCAAGAGCACCCTGTTCTGAAACTATGTTGTCCAGGATTATGGAGATGCTGTGATTCCATGTATTTTGTAATCTTATTTCATGGCGCATTTTCAAAGATTTCTCACAAAAGTCATGAACAGTTTCTTTAGTACTTTACTATCCCAGTCCGTGTATACTTGTATCTACAAAATCGAGCTATTAGCTCTTGGACCCTGCCTTTCTAACCAAATTTTTTTCCTTTATTATGTCTACTACATATATTTCTCTTAACATGTGGCATGCACACATCCCCCAGGAAGCAGCCCGTAGCAGCCGTCTAACTTTCAGGTACCTATTTACTGCTAGGTGAACAGCAGCACCAGGGTGAAAGAAACTACCCATTTATTTCTGCCTCTGCCGGGGATCAAACCCGGGCCTTAGGACTACGATGAGGGGATCCACAATGAGGTCTACCTACCTTGCAGGTAGATCAATGGGGTGGCATACCTCTCAAACTGGTCTTAAGGTGGATACAGTGATCTAAAAGCCTACGTATCGGTATTTAAGTTCCCAAAGGATGTTCTGACTTGCTAGCATAGAGTATGCAACTGACATTATTTACATGAACCTTTGGAGTCAGGTTTGGGTTATGTCCACTCCCAGTTCTTTTTCTCTAGTCATTATAGGGAGATAGTTTCTCTTCATCATGTATTGGCTTTTCAGTCTCCTGGCTCTTGATCCCATTTCCATCGTCTTACACTTAAGGTGAACTCGCGGCTGAACTTAAGGTTGAACTCTAGGAGCCATTTCTGGGACTAGCTCTGCAGCTTCTTTAAGTCATCTTGGAGAAGCTTCATCTGTCTCAACCTTTCTCATTAGTTTCAAATATTTGGAAACATTGACAAATATAATTCAACTCCTGCAGTTAAGTCATTTATATAAATAAAAATTAGTATTGGTCAATGCACCGACACTTTTGGTACCTCGCTTGAATGACTGCTAGTTGGACTTCTCGCCCCTCGCTATCACACTGACTCCTCTGTTAGGTAATAACCTTACCTGTTAATGTGTTTCCACTTACTTTCGCTTGCCTCTTTAAGTTTGTATAGTAACCTCCTGTCTGGTACTGTATCAAAGGCTTTTTGGCAGTCCAGAAATGCGCAATTTGCCCAGCCTTCTCTATCTTGCCTTATTTTCATTACCTTGTCGTAAAACTCCAGAAGGTTCGTTAGGCATAATTTCCCAGGTCCAAAGTCGTGTTGATGTTTGTGTGTGTGAGAGCCAGCCAGCCAGCAGGTGGTTAATTTAGTATAATCTTGAGTTAGATTATTTTTTAACTACATCTAGTGAGCCAAGGATAAATCTATTGGCCAAGTTAACAATAGGATCTGAAACCTGTATCGGCATGAACATTATGATGTCATAGTGACGTCACAACCCGTGTTCCTCATGTATAAAATAATGTTTTATCTTATTTTCGTTATGGAAGGTTTGGATAGGTTTAAAAAGAGTTATCATGTGATGTATAGGGGTAATAAATTTGTCTGTTTCGAGACACTACTACAAGTTTTAGCATGTGCTTCCTGATGTTTGAAATGTCAAGTTTTAGGATATATCACTGATAATAGAATAATTATCATAATGCAGTGTCAACATTGCTATATCTTAAGTGTTATAGATACAAGAACTAATTGATGAGAATCAGTACAGGCTGTGCTGAATTACCTAACTGGGTCCAATGCCAGGCGCCTTAATCTCAAGATAACATATAGCACACCAGAAGATCAGTAACAAGTAACTATATTATGTGAGCATTTAACATAAATATAGTATATCAGAGGAAAAACGAAAGACATGTAAATACAGTAAGCAGACATTTGTTCAAAACCCTTGAGCAAAAAGATATTCAAGTTTGTTGTGCCATGGAATGGCTTTACTGTTATCTTAAATATGCTTATTTTATTTACAAGACTATTAAGAACTTGTCAATGAGTTATCCTGTTTTAAATTGACTAATATTTTACACGTGAACTAATAACTGTTCAACTCATATGATTTAATGTTTGAATTCAAAATGAGACATATTAAAAAAAATCTGACGTTAACAAGCGGAAGAATATAAATAATTGGGGATATCTTGAGATAATTTCGGGGCTTAGCGTCCCCGCGGCCCGGTCCTCGACCAGGCCTCCTTTTTGTTACACATCCCCAGGAAGTAGCCCGTAACAGCTGTCTAACTCCCAGGTACCTATTTACTGCTAAGTGAACAGAGGCATCAGGGTGAAAGGAACAGTACATTTGTTTCTACCTGGTCAAGCAGTTCACTGGTCAGTTCGTAAGTGTGCATAGTTTCCAACAACGTATCGTTCCCGTGATGATGATTGATGATTGATAAAGATTAAGTCACCCAAGAGGTGGCACGGGCATGAATAGCCCGTAAGTGGTGGCCTTTTTGAGCCATTACCAGTATCAAGAGCTGATACTGGAGATCTGTGGAGGCGCTACTGCACCCTGCGTGACGGGATATTTCTCCCGTGTGTTACTCCTGATTGATCGTTCCCGTGTCTGGTGTTGTTGAGTTAGGGGCGATCTTGTCTGGTGTGGTGCCGTAGGCAATGTTTAAGTATTTACAAAAGATACAATGGGTTTGTGAGATTACATAATATTCATATTTTTTTTACATTCTTGGAAAGTCACGTATAACGTTTTGGTTGTTCAGTCAGCTTAAGGCTAGCATTGGCGGGGTTACTGTGCAAACAGTAAATTAATTCACCAAGACAAGCTCAGTCGATTAAGGCAGTGTCTGGGATGCTCCCGGACGCAGGTTCGAATCCTCGTCACGGCTCTTGTGGATTTGTTCATTTAATTCACCAAGAACTTTGTAAAAATATGATTAAGGCGGGAATCTTAAAAATCTTAAAAAGTAGGGTAAGATATATATATGTTATATATTTAAGGTATTGAATTTGAAGGATTTTTCAGATGTAAAGTTTATAAACAATTGGTTTACTGACCCTTATTTATAATATGGTAAATTGCTTTTAGCCTGAGTGCTCTGCTCTGTTTATGATTTCTTATCAAGGATATAAAAAGAATTATGAAAATTAACATTAATTTATGATTATTAGACAGCCAATGAACTATACTGGGATTAATATTTTTTGAATCTGCATAATTTTTTATTTTTCTATAAATTATAAATACATGTACAATATTATAATACCACATAGGCTACTAAAACTTAAATCAAAGTGAAATTTATAAACATTTAAACATTATTAAAAGGCTATAAATCTATGTTACGTAATGTTATATAGTATTTTAACAAAGTTGTTGTGCGACCCCATTTATTCTAAGCTGAATATATTTTGGATGGCTACAATACATCAAGTCCATATTTAACGTTTGCATCACTCGTATGTTCAAATGATGCTTTATATAAACACCTTTTTCATATATATATATATATATATATATATATATATATATATATATATATATATATATATATATATATATATATATATATATATATATATATATATATATATATATATATATATATATATATATATATATATTATATTTATTTATATATTTATTTATATATTTATTTCGAGGAGGTTCTAGATTGCAACACATCTTCATCAAACATATACTGTACTCTTAGATGTTTGGAACATAAATTAATGGAAGTTCTTAGAGACGTTAGCTAATAAAGTTTGAAGAAACAAAGAGTAAAAATCTATTATTACAATAAACAAAAACGATTTAATATACAATTATCTATTTGTTATAAAAATCTTCTATAATACAACATTAATTGCTTCTGATTATTTACCATAAAACGCCAATCCACTATTTGCATATCTCCGCACACTGCACAATGACGATAGCCCATTTTAATGCCATTTTAGTATATCGATACAGTATTCCCTCAGTTATTCAGTACGTGCCTCTTCAGTTTAGTAATACAGTATACATAAACCAACCGAAGCTTTTTTTCATCAGTCTCCCGTCCCTTCACCTTCATTTTACTCTCCTTCTCGCTCTTCCATCTCCTATTGACCCCCTCCCCCCCCCCTCCCTCACACTCTTGGATATGCATGCCTATTCAAGAATCGTGTAAGGCAATATCTTTAAGCACAGGACGGTCAAGTGAAGCTTTTGATGAGAGTTCTGCACAGATGACTGCAGCTGTGAATGACACCCAGCAAGCATCGGGTATCTGTCACCTGCATTTATTCTTGGGGAAGAAAGATTATAAGATACTTGTAGTCTATCTTCCCGAAGAATAAGTACAGGTGAAGACAGACTACAAGATACTTGCAGAAACTGACTGCTCTGGTACAAATCACATACATTTGCCAAGTTACTTCTCTTTTTTATTATTATTACCTCCCATCCTTGAATTATTACACCATTCATTTACAATATTTTCACCTTAAATTAACTATTCCCCAACTCGTCCTCAAACCAAGTCCATTCCATCCAGCGGTGGACCTCAAAGACGCATTCATCAATTTTAGCATTCTGTTCATTCAAAAGAGAACCTTTTTTAAATATAGTTAATGACTGGCATTATGAATGCAGCCGGGGACGACGCAAACACCTACTGGGCACAAACTCGGCTGGGAGTGGTCCCACCCGCTCAGTCCAGCCTGCTGCTGAGTAAGTATCAAAAGAAGGCACCAAACCGGGAACGCTATGTAGCACCATCAAGTGTGTGGACTGATCATAGGGCGCTGAATATCATTAAGGATAAGTAAAAAAAAATGCATAATCTGGTAAACAAAAACTGTCAGTATTTGGCTTTTTGCTTGTGCTGGAGGATGGGTTGTCTCATTTGTAAGAGGTGAGAATATTCTTGGCAGAGATGTCCCTAGACAGTTGAATTCACACACGACTTTATAAATTAGCGATTTTTCACATTACTGTAAGTAGAAATGCATGTGTATATATGTATATGTACTTACCTAGTTGTGCTTGCGGGGTTGAACTTTGGCTCTTCGGTCCCGCCTCTCAACTGTCAATCAACTGGTGTACAGATTCCTAAGCCTACTGGGCTCTATCATATCTACATTTGAAACTGTGTATTGAGTCAGCCTCCACCACATCACTACCTAGTGCATTCCATTTGTTAACTACTCTGACATAGAACAAATTCTTTCCAATGTCTCTGTGGCTCATTTGGGTACTTAATTTCCACCTGTGTCCTCTTGTTCGTGTTCCACGCGTGCTAAATAGTTCGTCTTTGTCTACCCTGTCAATTCCGCTGAGAATTTTGTAGGTGGTTATCATGTCTTCCCTTACTCTTCTGTCTTCCAGGGACGTGAGGTTTAGCTCCCTTAGCCTTTCCTCGTAGCTCATAACCTCTAAGTTCTGGGACTAGTTTGGTGGCATGGTGAACAAATGTGCATATATAATATATATATATATATATATATATATATATATATATATATATATATATATATATATATATATATATATGTGTGTGTGTGTGTGTGTGTGTGTGTGTGTGTGTGTGTGTGTGTGTGTGTGTGTGTGTGTGTGTGTGTGTGTGTGTGTGTGTGTGTGTGTGTGTGTGTGTGTGTACTCACCTAGTTGTGTCTGCAGGATCGAGCATTGACTCTTGGATCCCGCCTTTCGAGCATCGGTTGTTTACAGCAATGACTCCTGTCCCATTTCCCTATCATACCTGGTTTTAAAATTATGAATAGTATTTGCTTCCACAACCTGTTCCTGAAGTGCATTCCATTTTCCCACTACTCTCACGCTAAAAGAAAACTTCCTAACATCTCTGTGACTCATCTGAGTTTCAAGCTTCCATCCATGTCCCCTCGTTCTGTTACCTCGTTCCTCGTTCTGTGTGTGTGTGTGTGTGTGTGTGTGTGTGTGTGTGTGTGTGTGTGTGTGTGTGTGTGTGTGTGTGTGTGTGTGTGTGTGTGTGTGTGTGTGTGTGTGTGTGTTTATAAAGGAAGGATAGGATTAAGACAATTTATTTTCAGTTATCTACTATAGCTCTTAAGTCAGGATGTCTAATTACCAAAGGAAAAATTGGAATTAACGTTCTTATGAAATGATTCATCATCTGAACCATTTGATTCACTTCCTTTGCCGAAGTTGTAATCCGGTACACCATCAGCCAGGTCGTGATCCTCTGAGAGAAAAACAATTGGAACAGTTTAGTGAGGCTGCTGGCAACATCTCGGAAGACATTAAAATACCAATTTCACAACCGATAAAATTTTGCGTCAGATTAGTCAATTAATTCATAGTATTGCGTTATAAAGACATTTTGAATCCATAATATACGATTCAGATACATAAGGGTATCGGTAAATATATCAAATAAGTAACAGGAAACTTTGTGTAAACTGAGCAGTGAATTATAGCCTCACCTCCACTCTCCTGCAGCTGAAGAAGGGGATTGGTCCTTGAACCTCCACTCAGCGCTGAGGGCGCCGACACCTGGTCAATTGAGCGACCAAAAGCACCATTCTCAAAGCCAGAGTACACATCCATATGTTGTTTATTCTTAAATTCAGGATTGTCTTCAATACCTACCAATACAGAATCGCCACTACCAATGCTGTAATAATAATTAAACAAAAATGGTGTAGAACGTATATATAATGATTAGACAAAGCAATTATAGCTACAGTGCTTATTAATTATTTTAATTATCTGGACACAGGATAATGGATTGGTTTCTCAGAAAAGATTTTTGGAACCACCTTATTTTTACTTAAAATGTAAACATTTCTTTAAGGTGAACAATTGAAAAATTTAACGCCAAGCATTTCATAAGCAATATAAAAGATTTCAGCTTTCGTATTATTCATTTGAATTATACCGATCAGTAAGTGTGAATTTCTATATCAGGGTTTTTATATAGTCTAGTTTTAAAATTAAGCTTTTCTGTACATTTCTTCTCTTGAATAAATACATTTTGAAGAAAACTTAACGAAGCCGTCAATGTCAAGATATGACTTCAGTTTAAAAGTCATCTAAATATAATTCTCAGGAATAATGTCGGGACCTTTGACAAGCCGCCGGGTTCTTGTCCCTGTCGAGACCACTGAGAATTGTGGCTCTGAGGTAAATTAAACTTTTAAATCTCTCGAGAGGGTGAGGGAAGTCAATTGTAACTCATATATTACAGACAGAGACTATCATTGCCTACAGCCTTTGAAATAGGTGATGGAAATTTGGACGTCGTCCCTCGAAGTGCTCTAGCGAGATGTCCCAATTTTTCCCTTGTGTGGAGACCCTGGTCATTATAAGAGAGCATTCTCTTCTGACAAAGCTCGCTGCATCAGCTGCAGTGAGGCCCACCCTGCCTTCTCCTGCACATGCAAACTCTATAATGTTTAACAAGCCATCCTCAACTTAAAAGCATCGCGATCGTATCTTTCCCCGAGGCAAGACGCCAGGTCCGCTATCTTACCTCTTTCTCTGACATGACTTATGCTTGTGCACTCGCACTTCTCTTCCCAGCTCTTCTTCCCTTCCTCAGTGCCACAACCGTTTCCTAGCCTAAAACTCCCAGCACCTCCACCAGCTCCCTTTCTCCCACTCCTCTGCGATCTGAAGTGAAGGTGCCCCTCGTGGAACACCGACTGGCGTCCCCACCCTTCCTTCCTTCCTTCCCAGTCTTCTACCCGTAGTCTTTCTGTCACTTATCCGCCTCCTCCCCCGTCTCTATCCACTGTGACCTTCACCCTTCGACCCCATCTTTCTTCTCATCCCTCCCCCTCTGTTTTTTGCCCCTCCCCGACAACTGTCCGTCCAGACCGATATGCATCCTCCTCCCAGGCGTCTTCGTGTTGTCTGCTCTCGTTCTCCTTCCCCGTCTGAGTCAGTAGGCCTCAGTGTCTGGCACGCCTGTGTCTTCCAGTCGGTAATGTAAACTCCTCTCCCTCCATCTCCCCAGCTGGTAAGAAGGCTTCATTCCATCTCCCACTTTCCACCTCTGGCTGTCTCTGCAACTTCTCCCATCTCAGTGCCGGCCGGTCGGCTGCTCGCTATGGACATTCCCGTTGCCCTTGATTCTCTTTCTGGTGCTGTCTTTGGTCTTGTGAACACTGCCGTTTCTTTCCTTCCTCAATTTCATTCCCTCGACCGCCCCTCTCCGGTGCCTCCTCTCTCATTGGACCTTGTCAGTTCACCTATCCCCCCCCCCACCTCCACATCACCGGGGGAGGGGGGGGGAGGCAGGTTTCACTGAACCCATCTTTCCGTAATATACTGTGTTCTTCTTTGCTTTAATTTTTCTCTTTTTTTACTGTTAATTCTGTAAAAATTTTACATTTACTAATAATGACTATTCTTCAATGCGCGGATTTATGCCAATTTCCACGAACTCCAACTTCTGATCTCACAGTTTTCACCGCTTTTACCTGATATACCTGACGGTCACTAACTCTAGTGGCCTCGCCGAGGAGAGGAAGGACGCCTTTACCCCTTACTGAATCTCAGCCCTAAGATTTTCACTCTCACCTTCAGCTCTCCCTATAACGATGTATTCTGTCTGCTTGCACTCCAGTCTGCCCTGACTCTCCGCAGGTTTAGGGCTGGGGCTCAGACGGCATTCATTAAGAGATTGATAAAAATTAAGCCACCCCAGAGGTGGCACCTCTGGGGTGCCCCCCGCCCCACCAAGCCCTCATCTACTCCTGCAAGCCCTCACGTACCGCCCCAAGTCACCATCTACCTTAAATCATAATTTCTTACCTGCTTGAATCATTTCTTAAGTCAGAATCAGCCATGTTGTACATGGGATTTGCACCCTCGCCGGTGAATTTGTTGCTCCCAGGAATTGCCGCCAATTCTGTGCCAACTCTGTTGAGCTCTGATGACTGAGAGCCGAACGTGTTCGTTGACAACACTTTCACCCGAAGCTTCAAACTGAGGAGAAATAATTGATGTTAATCTATACATATAAGAGAGAATGCTTGTCTATCTCTCCAGATATGGAGGTCAGACGCTTGGGGCCAGCCAGCCTCACCCAAATTTGCAGGGGGAATGGTCTGGGGTGCGGGATGGGCATAAACTGGTTGGGGTAGGCATAAATTAAATGCCCTAAGAAATATTATCAATTATAAACACACCCATGCGAGTTTCAAAGCATCAAGCATGAAATATACGATGTGATTTCTGTGGAGTTTTTAATGATATTAATAATATATTTGTTGAGAGAGCCATACAGCTGTTTCAGTACTTCTAAATAATAAACTTTGTGAAGGAAGGGGGGGGGGGGGGGGGAGAAGAAAAGATGGACTATGGGATGGGGGCGGCGAGGGAGGGGGGGGGTTCAAGGAGGATATGGGGTGAAGAGTAGGGAAGAAGTGGGAAGGAAGAGACCAGGGTAAAAATGGGGAGGAAGAGGGGGGGGGGGAGAACTAGGGGATGAGGCGAAGGGAGAGACGGGATGAAGGAAGGGAAAGAATGGCAAGAGACCCGGGTGCAGTCGGGTACCCCTTTCTATCCATATTTATGAGAGAGTCTGCCTGCTTGTATGTACAAAACGAGAGGCCAGACGCTTCGGGCTACCCTCACGCACACCTTATAGTGGGAATAGTCTGGGGTACAGGACGATCATAGGCTGGTCGGGGTCTCTAAGAATTAAACACGGTACAGTGTTCCAGAGTCACAGCCAGATCCCCCCCCCCCCTCACAACAATGTGTGGCACCGCTCGCCTGCTACACGGCGTCACTGCCTCCGTTGGTGGCACGGGGACTCTGCTAACGAGGCTCAGGGGAAACTTTAGAAACAGATGTGCTTAGTCACTCAGAAAGAATTACGGAATTCAAAAAGTAACACACATGCTTCGTGTGATATGTGTAGACGTCAAGGAGTGCTCAGCCTTACACTTTTGAATGTGTTGATGACTAGATTAATAGTTGATATTCATACTTACGAGAAGTCGTAACCGGCTACAAGCTCCCCTTAACTCTCTCAATTATAACCGGTTATCGACTTACGATAAGTTGTAACCGGTTATAAGCTCCCCTTAACTCTCTTCTCTACTTATGATGGGCCGTAACCGCTTATAAACTCCCCTTAACTCCCTCCCCATTAGAAATATTAAACGAGACCTTATAATTTCTACAGAAAAAAAGTAGGAACTTTACTCGCATCGTTGCCATACGCCGCCACCATTACAAAGACCAACCCGAAACTGTGAGCAACTACATATATTGACTTTACATAACATAGTTTACCTACTATGTAACCCCCTTTTATCACATTCTTAGTATACTGTATGATGAAAACAGATATAATATTGCTATTTTAGTAAGACATCTTCTAAGTTTTAGTTCGCATTTTGTGTAATAATATGTGAAGCCTCGTTAATAAGCGCAGCAGACTCAGCAGGCCTGTGTGAGAGGCGGTAGGCCTACCTTCTGGTCCTGATGCAGTAGACTGTAATGAGCAGTAAGCAGAGGGACCCAAGCACCAGGCTCACCACGCCAAGCAGCACCTGCACAAATACACTATCATCAGTAACAAATGAAAATATAAATACAGAACTAAATTAGTTGAAAGTACAGCAATAGGGTGTATGTTAAATAGATTGAATTCCACGATCAATTACAGAGGACTGGCACAGCTTTGTTCCGATTAGCTCGGACACACTAGGCTCATAGGACAGATGTACACTGAAGTTCCTAAAAAAAAAAACTGGGATATAACTATTTAGTGTAACTGAAGACCACAGAGTGACAAGTTTCCTGTACCAGCGCCTTAAGCAATGCAGTTCAGAGAGGGAATGCTTGCTACATGGCACCCTTAGGTGTCATGCAGGTTTAAAGATGTGATACATTTATTTTCTTTTGATTTGTAATTAGAGTGATTTATGTTATGAGCAACGCAATGTGTAATCTATCACAGGAAATTAAATAAATATAAAATGCATGAGTGGCAGAAGAAATTATTCATTCATATTCACAAAAAAAACAATTTGGAGTATGTTGATCCAGAGAACTTCTTCAAAAGGTCAGATGTAACACAAACAAGGAGCAACGGTTGCAAGCTCAACAAGCCACAGTGTAGGACTGAGAACAAGAGATGCTTTTTCACCCACCGGGTTACGCACCTTCTGGTTATTGTGTAGCGCCTGCAGATAAAATACCTGAAATCCTTGCACTGTATCCATATTTCGCTTCTAGTAGATAAACGTCGTATGAAACTAAGAAACAAGTAGTGTAGTGTGAAGACTAATAATAGCAAACAGCATCATCAGCAAACAATGAGAGGAATGATTCCATACCCTCTGCGAGATCATTTACATATGTCAGAAACAGTATAGGTCCAAGGACTGAACCCTGCGGGACTCCACTGGTGACGCCTCGACAATCCGAGACCTCACCCTTCACAGTGACTCGTTGTCTTCTGTTGCTTAGGTACTCCCTTATCCAGCGGAGTACCTTCCCTTTCACTCCCGCCTGCATCTCCAGCTTGTGTAATAGTCTCTTGTGTGGTACTGTGTCAAAGGCTTTCTGGCAATCCAAAAATATGCAGTCTGCCCAACCCTCTCTTTCTTGCCTGATTTGTGTTGCCTGGTCATAGAATTAAATTAATTCTGTGAGGAATGATTTGCCCTCCCTGAACTCGTGCTGTTATTGTGTTACAAAGTTCTTTCACTCCAGATGTTCCACTAGTTTTTTCGCAAAATCATCTCCATCATCTTGCATGGTATGCAAGTTAGGGACACAGGCCTGTAGTTCAGTACCTCCTGACTATGACCCTTCTTGTATATTGGGACTATATTGGCCATCTTCCAAATTTTTGTCAGTTCACCTGTTACCCATGATTTGTTGTACACCATGGATAGTGGCAGGCACAGAGATTCTGTTCCTTCTTTTAGTATCCATGGTGAGATTCCATCCGGGCCTATAGCCTTTGTCACATCCAATTCTACCAGATGCTTCCTCACCTCCCCACTGGTAATCACAAACTCCTTTAGTGGTATCTGGTTAGATTTTCCCTCTCTTATCTCTGGGGACGTCTCCTTGCTATACTGTGAAGACCTCCTGGATTTCGTATTAAGTTCTTTGCACGCCTCCTTGTCGTGTGTAGTGACTCTGTCTGCCCCTATCCTCAATTTCATTACCTGTTCCTTCACTGTTGTTTTTCTCTTGATGTGGCTGTGCAGCAATTTAGGTTGAGTCTTCGTCTTGCTCGCTATGTCATTTTCATATTGTCGCTCTGCCTTTCTTCTCACCCTGACGTATTCATTTCTGGCGCTCTGGTATCTTTCGCTGCTCTCTAGTGTCCTGTTATTTCTATAGTTTCTCCACGCTCTTGAACTTAGTTGCTTTGTTAGCTTACATCTCTGATTAAACCATGGGTTTCTCATCTCTATGTAATTTTTTTTCCTTTTGGACTGGAACGAACTTATCTGCTGCCTCCTATCACTTCTGCGTGATGTAGTCCATCATGGCTTAGGCCGTCTTTCCTCTGAGTTCTGTTTCCCAAGCTATATCTGTTAGAAATTTACTTATCTCCTCATAGTTTCCCTTCCTAATGCCGGTCTTTTGTTTTCTGGGTCTTTCCTCGAGTACCGTAATCCTGCTTCGACCAGATACTCAAACATCAATACACTGTGATCACTCATTCTCACGGGAACTTCGAAATCGATTTTCCATATGTCTGAGTCGTTCAAAGTGAATACTAGATCATCTCGCTGGTTCATCATTGCCTGTTATTCTTGTGGGTTCCCTGACATGCTGACTTAAAAAGTTTCTTGTCGCCACCTCCAATAGTTTAGCTCTCCACGTTTCCTCACCTTCATGCGGTTCCTTGTTTTCCCAGTCTATCCTTCTGTGATTGAAGTCCTCCATAATGTGCAGATGGGATCTGTTTCTACAGGCAGCAGTGACTGCTCTTTCAACTATAGTGTTAACTGCCATGTTGTCTCTGTCATACTCTTCTCTGGGTCTTCTGTCATTTGGTGGTGGGTTATATATCACTGCTACTACTACTCTTGGTCCTCCCATCGTCGCGCGCGCGCGCGTGTGTGTGTGTGTGTATATACTTTCCTGAGTTGAACTTTAGCAGACATTTTCTAGACCATTCCTTCAGTTTGTCCATGTCTTCCTGTAGTCTCTGTCTATCTTCATCTGTCTTGATTCTTCTCATACGTTTTGCATCATCAGCAAACATTGAGAGGAATGAGTCTATACCTTCCGGAAGATCGTTTACATATACTAGAAACAGGATGGGTCCAAGTACAGAGCCCTGTGGGACTCCGCTGGTGACATCTCGCCACTCTGATGTCTCCCCCTTCACAATTACTTGTTGTTTCCTGTTGCTTAAATACTCCTTTATCCGCTGGAGCACCTTACCTTTTACTCCTGCCTGTTGCTCCAACATTTTTAACAGCCTTTTATGGGATACTGTGTCAAAGGCTTTCTGGGAGTCGAAGAAAATGCAGTCTGCCCACCCTTCTCTTTCTTGCCTAATTTTTGTTGCCTGGTCATAAAATTCTATTAAACCTGTGAGGCACGATTTACCATCTCTGAGTTGGTGGTGTGTTACAAAGCTATTTCTCTCCAGATGCTCTACGAGCCTTTTCCTCGCGATCTTCTCCATCACCTTGCATGGTATACAAGTTAGGGAAACTGGCCTGTAGTTCAATGCCTCTTGTGCTGCCTGTGACCCTTTTTGTATATTGGAACTACATTAGCTGTCTTCCAACTTTCTGGTAGGTCTCTTGTTTCCAGTGACCTGTTATACACCATAGAGAGTGACACATTTAGTGCTTCTGCACCTTCCTTTAGTATCCATGGTAAGATTCTGTCAGGCCCAACAGCCTTTAACACATCCAGCTCCAACAGATTCCTTTTGACCTCATCACTGGTGAGGTTAAATTCCTCCAAGGTTGCTTGGTTTGCCTCCTCCTCATTTAGTGCAGGGGCTTCTCCTTGTTCTTTTGTGAAGACTTCCTGGAATCTCTTGTTGAGTTCTTCACACACCTCCTTGTCATTCTCTGTGTATCTGTTCTCCCCTTTTCTCAGTTTCATCACTTGCTCCTTCACTGCTGTTTTCCAAGTGATGCGGCTGTGGAGCAGTGTTGGTTGGGTCTCGGCTTTTCTCGCGTTGTCATTTCATACTGTCTCTCTGCTTCCCTCCTCACTCTGAGGTACTCATTCCTGGCCCTCTGGTATCTCTCCCTGCTCTCTGGTGTTCTGTTATTTCTGTAGTTTCTCCATGTTCTTTTATTCCGTTGCTTCGCTACCTTACATTCCTGGTTGAACCTTGGATTCTTCTGTTGCTTTTCGGTTTTCTTTTTTTGGACGGGGATAAACCTGTCTGCAGCTTCCTGGCACTTCTGGGTGACATAATCCTTCATATCCTGTACAGGCTTGTCTCTAAGTTCTGTTTCCCATAGTATTTCCCGTAGGAAGTTCCTCATCTCGTCATATTTTCCTCTTCGGTAATTTAGTCTTCCGATCCCATCCTTGGATAGGTTATCCCTACCTCCACCAAGTACTCAAATGTCAATACACTGTGGTCACTCATTCCTATGGGGGCTTCAACTTTGACATCCCTTATTTCTGACTCATTCAAGGTGAATATCAGGTCAAGTCTAGCTGGTTTGTCATTATCTATCATTCTTGTGGGTTCCCTGACGTGCTGGCTCAGAAAGTTCCTTGTTGCCATTTCCAAGAGCTTAGCTCTCCATGTATCTGCACCACCATGTGGGTCCCCATTCTCCCAGTCTATCTTTCCATGGTTGAAATCGCTCATAATTAAGAGTCTTGAGCCATTCTTACTGTCAACTGAAGCTGCTCTCTCTATATTATTACTGGTTGCCATGTTGTTCATATCAAACTCCTATCTGGGTCTTCTGTCATTTAGTGGAGGGTTGTAAATGACTGCCACTATTATCTTAGGTCCACCCATTGTTATAGTTTCTGTTATCTAATCTCTGAACCCGTCACAGCCCGGAATTTCCATCTCATCAAAACTCCAGTCCTTGCTTATCAGCAGGGCCACGCCTCCACCTCCTCTCCCTTCCCTCTCTTTCCTTAATTCCTTAATATATAGTAGTCCTTTGGAAACACAGCATCTGTTATGACTCCTGACAATTTTGTTTCCGTCCAATTACATCTGGGTTTTCTTCTTGCGCCTCTTCCCGCCAGTTCACTTGCTTTATTGGTAATCCCTTCTATGTTTGAGTACATTACCTTGAAGCTCACTTTCCTATATCCCTTTTCACCTTCCCTTCCCACAAGTGTAGGAAGATTTGTGTGTGTGTGTGTGTGTGTGTGTGTGTGTGTGTGTGTGTGTGTGTGTGTGTGTGTGTGTGTGTGTGTGTGTGTGTGTGTGTGTACTCACCTATTTGTGCTTGCAGGGGTTGAGCTTTGGCTCTTTGGTCCCGCCTCTCAACCGTAGTGTGTGTGTAAAACAAGAACAAGAAGAACAACTTACCTGCAAGACGAGCAGTTGCTGCTCCGCGCCTCCCCCCGTGTTTGTGTCGATGGTTCCTATTGCCTTCAGGTTGAGATGGTCAATATGCAGATCATCCAGCAGCTGCTGGACGACCGCAGCGTCGTTAGAAGCACTGCAGCGCGCACAACCCCATAACACATATTAGTTAAGCGTCAGAGAGAGAGAAACACAATGCAATCATTCGATGAATATAGCCACTTAGTATATATTTTAGATAATTAAGCTAAGGTATATATATATATATATATATATATATATATATATATATATATATATATATATATATATATATATATATATATATATATATATGTCGTACCTAATAGCCAGAACTCACTTCTCAGCCTACTATGCAAGGCCCGATTTGCCTAATAAGCCAAGTTTTCATGAATTAATTGTTTTTCGACTACCTAACCTACCTAACCTAACCTAACCTAACTTTTTCGGCTACCTAACCAAACCTAACCTATAAAGATAGGTTAGGTTAGGTTAGGTAGGGTTGGTTAGGTTCGGTCATATATCTACGTTAATTTTAACTCCAATAAAAAAAAATGACCTCATACATAATGAAATGGGTAGCTTTATCATTTCATAAGAAAAAAATTAGAAAAAATATATTAATTCAGGAAAACTTCGCTTATTAGGCAAATCGGGCCTTGAATAGTAGGCCAAAAAGTGAGTTCTGGCTACTAGGTACGACATATATATATATATATATATATATATATATATATATATATATAGGCATTTATAGCGGCGTATATACTCACTCAAGGATTTCCTTGACAGGCACAGGTGTGTGGGTCTCGTCATTGATGAAGTGCATGAGGACGGTGGACTCATCATCAATAGGCTCCCCCGAGTCAGTTGTACTCTGTGCTATGCTGTCAATCAAGCACTGATACCCGTAAGCCATTGTGAATGCATTTTGAACCTGCAGAGACACACAATAATCTTATAGTATATAGAGTCCAAGGTTTGTAGCGAGGAAGTGGTCTTGTTAAGCCGCGGGCTGCGCCTGGGTGGGTGAATTTTCATGGGTGAATCGGAATCATGAAAATAATAAAACTAACAGTCTGCCTTTCCTGTTATGTGTTAATAACAAAAATAAAACTCAACACAGCTACAGGGAGGGCAGGAAGTGCTGTTATTGCTCATCAGCCCGATGGCAGCACAATTCAAAGTAATATAAGAATTAGTAACTGGGCGTCCACAATGCAAGCCGAGTTGGTAGCAATACTGGTAGCACTCGAAATTATTGACAACACTGAAGTAGACAGCTTAATTATTTCCGACTCCCTTTCCTCACTACGAGCAATAAACAGTTTGCAATCAAGTAATAACGTGCTTGTCTTGGAAGCTAGACGTAGATATATAAGAATACTTAGCAAGAGGGTAAATATAAAAATGTTGTGGATTCCTTCTCACATTGGCCTGTAGGAACATGACAAAGTTGACGCCCTTGCTAAGGTTGCAGTAAATAAAGACAGCATTGACCGGAATCTTGAGTTATCAAATAGGTCCCTTAAAAGTGTCATTAGACGAGAACTCCTGGATGAATTTGAAGAAAGTAGAACAGTGCAAACTGGAACTAGCAGGTCCATTGTTCATCACAATGAAATGTGTGAAGTAAAACATGTGTATGGGGCAAGTAACAAAGTCAGTAGACTAACAGATGTTGTCACAGCTCGTATAAGACTTGGCTAAAAGTATGTCTGGCAGTTCTGCTTGTATAGGGATCTAGATGAAGTAAAGTGTAAAGAGTGTGGACAAAGACAGGGACACACACACACACTTGAACACTATATCTTGGATTGTAGCAAAAATGAGCCATTTAGAGATACGTCTAAGCTCATGCTGTATGATATGGCAACCTATCTTATTACCATGGATAAAATACCTGAAATCCTTGCACTGTATCCATATTTCGCTTCCAGTAGATAAACGACATATGAGATTAAGAAACAAGTAGTGTATTGTGAAGACTAATAATAAACAGCAGCTCCCCAAAGACTCTGTAATATCTCCACTGCTCAAACTATTATGTATTAGCGATAAGACCTACCATTAATGTATAATGACTTACTGTAAATATATAGCTCTTGAAATAGAACATTCTCTGTAACTAGCTGACATTGTAACTATAAGGTGTGAAGGATAGATGAAATTGTTTATGTAATAATCTAAGTTGAGGTCTGATAAAGACCTTTTGTGCCCTCTGTAATGCTTTTTGCGCTACCGCTCACAGGATGGGTATGGGGTGCACAATAAACTAGCCGCCTCCGGCGGCAACAATCAATGGCATTAACCGAACTCTTGTTAATGTGGCGTACCTTTGTAGGGGGACAGGAAGCCTGAGTCGTGTCGCTGTCTATATAAGGCCTATATAGGCCAATGACTGACGCTTTCCAGGATGTACCGTACCTGATGATGTCTAGCAGGTAGACTGTACCGTACCTGATGATGTCTAGCAGGCAGACTGTACCGTACCTGATGATGTCTAGCAGGTAGACTGTACCGTACCTGATGATGTCTAGCAGGTTGACTGTACCGTACCTGATGATGTCTAGCAGGCAGACTGTACCGTACCTGATGATGTCTAGCAGGCAGACTGTACCGTACCTGATGATGTCTAGCAGGCAGACTGTACCGTACCTGATGATGTCTAGCAGGTTGACTGTACCGTACCTGATGATGTCTAGCAGGTTGACTGTACCGTACCTGATGATGTCTAGCAGGCAGACTGTACCGTACCTGATGATGTCTAGCAGGCAGACTGTACCGTACCTGATGATGTCTAGCAGGTTGACTGTACCGTACCTGATGATGTCTAGCAGGTAGACTGTACCGTACCTGATGATGTCTAGCAGGCAGACTGTACCGTACCTGATGATGTCTAGCAGGCAGACTGTACCGTACCTGATGATGTCTAGCAGGTTGACTGTACCGTACCTGATGATGTCTAGCAGGCAGACTGTACCGTACCAGATGATGTCTAGCAGGTAGACTGTACCGTACCTGATGATGTCTAGCAGGTTGACTGTACCGTACCTGATGATGTCTAGCAGGTTGACTGTACCGTACCTGATGATGTCTAGCAGGTTGACTGTACCGTACCTGATGATGTCTAGCAGGTACTGTACCGTACCTGATGATGTCTAGCAGGTAGACTGTACCGTACCTGATGATGTCTAGCAGGTTGACTGTACCGTACCTGATGATGTCTAGCAGGTTGACTGTACCGTACCTGATGATGTCTAGCAGGTTGACTGTACCGTACCTGATGATGTCTAGCAGGTTGACTGTACCGTACCTGATGATGTCTAGCAGGTTGACTGTACCGTACCTGATGATGTCTAGCAGGCAGACTGTACCGTACCTGATGATGTCTAGCAGGCAGACTGTACCGTACCTGATGATGTCTAGCAGGTAGACTGTACCGTACCTGATGATGTCTAGCAGGTAGACTGTACCGTACCTGATGATGTCTAGCAGGTTGACTGTACCGTACCTGATGATGTCTAGCAGGCCGACTGTACCGTACCTGATGATGTCTAGCAGGTAGACTGCACCGTACCTGATGTCTAGCAGGTAGACTGTACCGTACCTGATGATGTCTATCAGGTAGACTGTACCGTACCTGATGATGTCTAGCAGGTTGACTGTACCGTACCTGATGATGTCTAGCAGGCAGACTGTACCGTACCTGATGATGTCTAGCAGGTTGACTGTACCGTACCTGATGATGTCTAGCAGGCAGACTGTACCGTACCAGATGATGTCTAGCAGGTTGACTGTACCGTACCTGATGATGTCTAGCAGGCAGACTGTACCGTACCAGATGATGTCTAGCAGGCAGACTGTACCGTACCTGATGATGTCTAGCAGGTAGACTGTACCGAACCTGATGATGTCTAGCAGGTAGACTGTACCGTACCTGATGATGTCTAGCAGGCAGACTGTACCGTACCTGATGATGTCTAGCAGGTTGACTGTACCGTACCTGATGATGTCTAGCAGGCAGACTGTACCGTACCAGATGATGTCTAGCAGGTTGACTGTACCGTACCTGATGATGTCTAGCAGGCAGACTGTACCGTACCTGATGATGTCTAGCAGGTTGACTGTACCGTACCTGATGATGTCTAGCAGGTAGACTGTACCGTACCTGATGATGTCTAGCAGGTAGACTGTACCGTACCTGATGATGTCTAGCAGGTAGACTGTACCGTACCTGATGATGTCTAGCAGGTTGACTGTACCGTACCTGATGATGTCTAGCAGGTTGACTGTACCGTACCTGATGATGTCTAGCAGGTTGACTGTACCGTACCTGATGATGTCTAGCAGGTTGACTGTACCGTACCTGATGATGTCTAGCAGGTTGACTGTACCGTACCTGATGATGTCTAGCAGGTTGACTGTACCGTACCTGATGATGTCTAGCAGGCAGACTGTACCGTACCTGATGATGTCTAGCAGGTTGACTGTACCGTACCTGATGATGTCTAGCAGGCAGACTGTACCGTACCAGATGATGTCTAGCAGGCAGACTGTACCGTACCTGATGATGTCTAGCAGGTAGACTGTACCGAACCTGATGATGTCTAGCAGGTTGACTGTACCGTACCTGATGATGTCTAGCAGGTTGACTGTACCGTACCTGATGATGTCTAGCAGGTTGACTGTACCGTACCTGATGATGTCTAGCAGGCACACTGTACCGTACCTGATGATGTCTAGCAGATTGACTGTACCGTACCTGATGATGTCTAGCAGACAGACTGTACCGTACCTGAACATGTCTAGCAGGTTGACTGTACCGTACCTGATGATGTCTAGCAGGTTGACTGTACCGTACCTGATGATGTCTAGCAGGCAGACTGTACCGTACCTGAACATGTCTAGCAGGTTGACTGTACCGTACCTGATGATGTCTAGCAGACAGACTGTACCGTACCTGATGATGTCTAGCAGACAGACTGTACCGTACCTGATGATGTCTAGCAGGCAGACTGTACCGTACCTGATGATGTCTAGCAGGTTGACTGTACCGTACCTGATGATGTCTAGTAGACAGACTGTACTGTACCTGATGATGTCTAGCAGGTTGACTGTACCGTACCTGATGATGTCTAGCAGGCAGACTGTACCGTACCTGATGATGTCTAGCAGGCAGACTGTACCGTACCTGATGATGTCTAGCAGGCAGACTGTACCGTACCTGATGATGTCTAGCAGGCAGACTGTACCGTACCTGATGATGTCTAGCAGACAGACTGTACCGTACCTGAACATATCTAGCAGACAGACTGTACCGTACCTGAACATATCTAGCAGGTTGACTGTACCGTACCTGATGATGTCTAGCAGACAGACTGTACCGTACCTGATGATGTCTAGCAGGCAGACTGTACCGTACCTGATGATGTCTAGCAGGCAGACTGTACCGTACCTGAACATATCTAGCAGACAGACTGTACCGTACCTGAACATATCTAGCAGACAGACTGTACCGTACCTGAACATATCTAGCATGTTGACTGTACCGTACCTGATGATGTCTAGCAGACAGACTGTACCGTACCTGAACATGTCTACCAGACAGACTGTACCGTACCTGCGTCAACAACAGTGATGGTGAAGGTACAGTAGCCTGAGCTACTGCCAATAGGTAGAAACTGCAGTGTTATAACGGCAGTGTTGTTCTCTGCGTCTGCCACACTGGGGGAAAATAATTCACTATTATACACAAGGGTATATTCACACCTCTAGTTGATTAGTCTACAAAGAGGTGTATAGGCACGCCTAGTTCATTAGTATACACGGAGGTGTATGCACACATTAAGCTCATTAGTATACACCCAACAATGACACCCCCAGGAAGAGCTTCGAGGGGCGACTCAAGTAAAACAGGTTACTAAACAATTGGAAAGTGTAAAGAGGAAGAAAACGAACCAAGCTGTACGGGGAAGGGAATTATCAGGAGAATACGCCAAGCCATTACGACTATATAGCACTGGGAAGGGGTCAGGATAAGGATTTGGGATGGGACGGAGGGAAAGGAATGGTGCCCAATCACTTGGACTGTCGGGGATTGAACGCCGACCTGCATGACGCAAGACCGTCGCTCTACCGCCCAGCCCAAGTGGTTGGACTTGAGAAACAAACAATCAAGGAAGTCTGGATGGAAGTCTAAGACAGAAATGGGCACAAGAAACCTACATTAGACAAGCAATTTGGAAAGAAGTAGTTACCAGTAGTTAGGAAAGAAGTAGTTACCAGCGGTTAGGAAAGAAGTAGTTACCAGCAGTTAGGAAAGAAGTAGTTACCAGCAGTTAGGAAAGAAGTAGTTACCAACAGTTAGGAAAGAAGTAGTTACCAGTAGTTAGGAAAGAAGTAGTTACCAGCGGTTAGGAAAGAAGTAGTTACCAGTAGTTAGGAAAGAAGTAGTTACCAGCGGTTAGGAAAGAAGTAGTTACCAGCGGTTAGGAAAGAAGTAGTTACCAGTAGTTAGGAAAGAAGTAGTTACCAGTAGTTAGGAAAGAAGTAGTTACCAGCGGTTAGGAAAGAAGTAGTTACCGGCAGTAAATTAGCACCAAACACTGTCGATAGAAGTAAGTGCACAATAATTTTAGGGTGAGTGGGGCAGGAACTACCATCTAGGGTGGACAGAGCAGCAGAAGAGACAGCAATTAATTGAGAAAATAAGCATAGGAAAAGGTCACAAATCAAAGAAAAAATGTCAGAAATCGTAAAATGAGAAACAAATGTGAGAGAGATAAGAATCACCCCCCCCCCCCCACCTTAAGGTTGACATTTAATGGGGTGAGAGATATGACAAATGTGCTTAGGAATGCCAGGGAAAAAATACAAAAATATGAGGAAAGGGAAACAATGGTATAAATTACCATTCACACTTGCGTGGAAATAAACACAGTCAGTCAAGGTGAATGGAATGTTTATGAATCAAGGTGAATGGAATGTTTATGAATCAAGGTGAATGGAATGTTTATGAATCAAGGTGAATGGAATGTTTATGAATCAAGGTGAATGGAATGTTTATGAATCAAGGTGAATGGAATGTTTATGAATCAAGGTGAATGGAATGTTTATGAATCAAGGTGAATGGAATGTTTATGAATCAAGGTGAATGGGATGTTTATGAATCAAGGTGAATGGGATGTTTATGAATCAAGGTGAATGGAATGTTTATGAATCAAGGTGAATGGAATGTTTATGAATGAATCTACACTTCCAGGGAAGTGTGGATGGGAGTTTATATGACGTGGACATGGGTGAGTAGTTCCTCTGAGCTTCAGCAGTAGTAGTAGTCAGGGAGAGATGAAAATTCAAGTCTGGCAGCAGGAAGCTGCTTCTAGAAAGCAGCTTCCTTCAACTTCAATTTTCCTTTTTTAGACTACTCATAGCACAGTCGATAGAGCTTTGACCTCACACGCCTGGGGTCCACAGTTCGAGAAACATATATATATATATTATATATATATATATATATATATATATATATATATGTCGTACCTAGTAGCCAGAACGCACTTCTCAGCCTACTATTCAAGGCCTGATTTGCCTAATAAGCCAAGTTTTCCTGAATTATTATATTTTCTCTAATTTTTTTCTTATGAAATGATAAAGCTACCCATTTCATTACGTATGAGGTCAATTTTTTTTTATTGGAGTTAAAATTTACGTAGATATATGACAGAACCTAACCAACCCTACCTAACCTATCTTTATAGGTTAGGTTAGGTTAGGTAGCCGAAAAAGTTAGGTTAGGTTAGGTAGGTTAGGTAGTCGAAAAACAATTCATGAAAACTTGGCTTATTAGGCAAATCAGGCCTTGAATAGTAGGCTGAGAAGTGCGTTCTGGCTACTAGGTACGACATATATATATATATATATATATATATATATATATATATATATATATATATATATATATATATATATATATATATATATATATATATATATATATATATATAACTTGTGACGGTAACGCGTTGGTGTTCGGCTGTTTAAGGCTAGGGGTATGGCCTCGTCACATAGTTATAAAAAAAAATAGAAAAAACTGGAACTTCGTCTGTGGTAAGGTAAGGAGAAGACACACAAAACACAAGTAAACTTTAACAATGAAATTTTAATTACGTTAAATAAATCAAAACATGAAAAAATGGACAAACAAATTCTTATAATAAAATCAATCAATCAAAATAATAAGAATAATTAAATGACACAATGAAAAGTTACGTTAAGGCAAAATAACAAGAAGTGCAATACAAAAGTAAATGGGAGGTGCTGGAATATTGGCTTTAAGCTATCACCTCTCTCAGTACACGCTAGCGTCTAGCCGGGAGGAGTGGTGACAACGAGAGCACTGAACATTCTGAGGTCTGAGGTTGGGGCGACCCCAGACATCAAGTAGTATGGGGGGGCGAGTGCAGGTGCAGCCAGACCGGCGACCAATCAGCGGAGCCGGTAGCGATCAACATGTAGTTTGGTGGTTTGAGTCCGAACAGGTGGCTGGCTGCATACGTTTTGCTCACCCTGGCAAGCCTTGCTGGTGTTGTTGTCGTTGTTGGACATGTCTTCCATAGTCGTTTTATACAATTTCAACGACGTGATTATGGAGGGAAGAGCAGGCTCAATCTCTTGAAGGAGATTATCGTCACAATATATATATATATATATATATATATATATATATATATATATATATATATATATATATATATATATATATATATATATATATATATATATATATATATATATATATATATATATATATATATATATATATATATATATAAAATACAATAATATAATAAGCGATGTACAGTAATACAGTTTAAGAGGCTCAAACCGTCAGTAGTTACCATTGTTTTAGTTGGCCAGCCAGAGGCTTAGGGCCCGTGCAATAAAAATAAAAAATAAGTAGTGTCCAAGCGTTATACGACAAAGAGTACTGGGAAGACGGGACACCACGAGCATTGATCTCATCCTGTAACTACACTTAGGTAATTATACGTCTAGTACATTAATATACACACATGGGTGTATACATACATATAGGTGAGTACATACGTCTAGTACATTAGTATACACACAGGGGTGTATGCTATAAATCTTTTTTTTTTTACATATAAAAAACAATAGATGGTTTCTAATATTACACAAAACAGTCACATTAAATGTTCATGTTACTGTTCTTGTTATATTGTCCATGTTCCTATTCTTGTTAGTGTTTTTGTTGATGTGAATAGGCTTACCTAAAAGGATTTTCTGGTGTAATGTTGGTGTCGTACCACTGGAAGTCTCCGATCGTCCTGTAGTGTAGGGTTTCGTTCAAGTCTTTGTCACTCGCCTGTAATCACACCAAGGGCATCAGGTTCTGTAACCAGTTACTGTAGGACCTGTAACGGCACTTTATTTTGTAATTCAATTGATGTATAATATATTACGTCTGGAGAAAATGGTGGTGGTTTACGAGGTGGAGCGATGCTTGTCTATGGCAGCTTTGCTGGTGAGTGTGAGTGGTTAGTGAAGGGTGAGCATGTTGTATACACTGACCTTCCAAGGGTGAGCATGTTGTATACACTGACCTTCCAAGGGTGAGCATGTTGTATACACTGACCTTCCAAGGGTGAGCATGTTGTATACACTGACCTTCCAAGGGTGAGCATGTTGTATACACTGACCTTCCAAGGGTGAGCATGTTGTATACACTGACCTTCCAAGGGTGAGCATGTTGCATACACTGACCTTCCAAGGGTGAGCATGTTGTATACACTGACCTTCCAAGGGTGAGAATGTTGTATACACTGACCTTCCAAGGGTGAGCATGTTGTATACACTGACCTTCCAAGGGTGAGCATGTTGTATACACTGACCTTCCAAGGGTGAGCATGTTGTATACACTGACCTTCCAAGGGTGAGCATGTTTCATACACTGACCTTCCAAGGGTGAGCATGTTGTATACACTGACCTTCCAAGGGTGACCTCACACGCCTCGTGTGAATTTATTACAAATTTCACACCAAGATGAGCCAATGGAAGACGAAGAGTGTTTGAGTAACGTGAGTGACACAACTTACCTGTTAAAGTGCTCGGGTCTTAACCCAGCCAACACACAACGTTGCCACGACGTTACTGTTTCTGTTGTTACGTTGAGGCAACTTTTAAACAACGTAATATAGTTTAAAAAAAACGTAGCTGATTCGTTGTGTGTGTAATGGGGAGGCGAGATATACACCTGGGACCAGATTCACGAAGCAGTTACGCAAGCACTTACGAACGTGTACATCTTTCCTCAATCTTTGACGGCTTTGGTTACATTAATTAAACAGTTTACAAGCATGAAAACTTCCCAATCAACTGTTGTTATTGTTATAAACAGCCTCCTGGTGCTTCGGAGCTCATTAACTGCTTAATAATTGTAAACAAAGCCGCCAAAGATTGATAAAAGATGTACAGGTTCGTAAGTGCTTGCGTAACTGCTTTGTGAATCTGACCCTTGGATACTCCAATAACTCTTCACGTTGTGGCCTCAACATTCACAACGGACAAAATATGATGTACTAGACATGATAGTGGGTCTCACAAACTGCCACATTTTCTATGCATGGATCTATTGGTCACGTTTGGCTAAGTTAGGTTAGGTTAGGGTGGTTTTAGTACACCATTTTGTGTCCGTTGTGGCAACTGGAGATAGTACGATATATATATATATATATATATATATATATATATATATATATATATATATATATATATATATATATATATATATATATATATATTCAAGGTCGTCTACCTTCAGAAGACCATAGAGACAACATATCACTGTTGTTATTACGTTAGGAAAGTGGGACAAGTTTGCCGTACAAGTGTTGTGGAGCTTACCTGTATGGTGGCGATGGTCTTGCCGCTGTTGTCACTGGGGGAGAAGCTGGCGAAGATGACCTTGTCCCCTTGGAACACCGGTGAGTTGTCGTTCACGTCTTGTACCACGATTGTTACCTGGGAGAGAAGTGCTGGTTAGCTGTGTATCTCTCTCTCTGAGAGAGCTCTCTCTCTCTCTCTCTCTCTCTCTCTCTCTCTCTCTCTCTCTCTCTCTCTCTCTCTCTCTCTCTCTCTCTCTCTCTCTCTCTCTCTCTCTCTCTCTCTCTCTCTCTCTCTCTCTCTCTCTCTCTCTCTCTCTCTCTCTCTCTCTCTCTCTCTCTCCTCTCTCTCTCTCTCTCTCTCTCTCTCTCTCTCTCTCTCTCTCTCTCTCTCTCTCTCTCTCTCTCTCTCTCTCTCTCTCTCTCTCTCTCTCTCTCTCTCTCTCTCTCTCTCTCTCTCTCTCTCTCTCTCTCTCTCTCTCTCTCTCTCTCTCTCCCTCTCCCTCTCCCTCTCCCTCTCTCTCTCTCTCTCTCTCTCTCTCTCTCTCTCTCTCTCTCTCTCTCTCTCTCTCTCTCTCTCTCTCTCTCTCTCTCTCTCTCTCTCAGATCCTGATCCTGGAAGCCTGATCTCTTGGAGAGCAACGATATCCATCTGCAGTTTGCTCAGCTCCCTGTCGTTGACTGCTGTTTTTCGGTCGTCGTTGATTTCTTGCAGGTTGTCAGAGAAACCTGCTGTCAGTGTCCTGACGTTCCATGTTCCCAACTTTAAGGCAGTTGATATTTTCTTTTGGATTTGGTATTGTTTGGTGCAACAATACGTGTCACCAACACGTTCTTCAGCACAAAGCCTCAACACCGAGTCTCATGGAGACACCCCACATCGAAGCACTGGCACCAGCTTGACCTGATTCTTACCAGGCGTGCAGGTCTACCCAGCGTCAAGTAGCTACTAGAGTGCTGTCTGTGACACCGACCACTCCTTGGTAGGTAGCAGGGTCAAGATGCAAACAAAGATTCATCACTCGAAAAAGGATGGGCAGACCTCGCATTAACACCAGCAAGACCCGCAATCGGGACAAGGTGGAAGATTTTGAACGTGTGCTCGAGGAAGCTCTCCCTGGCTTGGCCGGGGTCACCGCCTGTAACAGATGGGAGCACTTCAGAGACGCTGTGTTCAACGCTGTCATGTCCACATTCGGCAAGAAGACCAACAGGTCGGTAGTCTGGTTCGAGGCTCACTCGGAAGAAATGGCACCTGTCATCGAAGAGAAGAGAAACGCCTTGGCAGCCTACAAAGCCTGCCCAAGTCAGCGCAACTTACAGATCTTTCAGGCCGTCCGCTGCAAAATGCAGCAGAGCGCCACGCGATGTGCCAACAACTATTGGCTTCAGCTCTGCTCCCAGATACAGACTGCAGCGGATACAGGCAATGTAAAGGGAATGTATGACGGCATCAAGCAGGCCCTTGGCCCATTCAAGAAGAAGCCTTCCCCCCCCCCCCCCCCCCCCCCCCGCCCTGAAATCTGCCACAGGCGAGGTGATTCAGGACCAGACACTGCAGCTGAAGCGCTGGGTCAAGCATTACTCCGAACTATATGCCAGGGAGAATGTGGTCACCGAAGACGCCCTGAGCGCCATTGAGTACCTGCCTGTATTAATGGAGCTTTGACAGCGAACCGACCTTTGAAGAACTCAGCGAGGCCCTAGACTCCCTTGCTTCTGGCAAAGCTCCTGGAAAAGACGGCATTCCTGCTGAGACCTTGAAGTGCTGCAGTTGTAGCCTGCTCATGTAGCTGCATGAAATCCGGTGCCTCTGCTGGGAAGAAGAGGTTCCACAGGACATGAGGGACGCCAACATCGTCACGCTGTATAAGAATAAAGGTGACAGGGGCGACTGTAACAATTACCGTGGCATCTAACTCCTAAGTATTATCGGAAAACCGTTTGCTCGAGTCACATTGAAGAGGCTCCACGTACTTACAGAGAGAGTATATCCAGAATCACAGTGCGGTTTCCGAGCTAACAGGTCCACCATCGACATGGTCTTTTCCCTCCGACAAGTATAGGGGAAATGCAGGAAACAGAAGCAGCCACTCTTCGTAGCCTTCATAGATCTGACGAAGGCCTTCGACCTCGTCAGCAGGGAAGGCCTGTTCAAGATCCTCCCCAAGATTGGATGCCCACCCAGGCTCCTCAGCATCATCAGATCCTACTACGAGAACATGAAGGGCACCGTGGTTTTTGACGGCTTAACAACAGATGCATTCGATATTCGAAGTGGAGCAAAGCAGGGCTGCGTCTTGGCTCAAACACTATTCGGGATTTACTTCGCAGTTATGCTGCAGCACGAATTCGGATCTGCCATGGAAGACATCTACCTCCGGACCAGGTCGGATGGAAAGTCCTTTAACCTCGTCAGGCTTAAAGCCAAGACAAAGGTTCGGCTGAGGTGTCTGCGCGACTTTCTTTTTGCCGACGACGCAGCAGTCACCGCCCACTCAGCCGAAGACCTCCAACGGTTCATGACCCGCTTCAGCGAGGGCCTGTCAGGCTTTCGGACTCACCATCAGCCCGAAAAAAACACAAGTCATGGGACAAGGAGTGGACTCCTTCACGTGACATCGGCATCTCCGATTACAAACTGGAAATCGTTCACGACTTCGTGTACCTGGGCTCCACAATCTCTGACTCCCTCTCTCTTGATACGGAGCTAAACAAACGCATCGGTAAGGCATCTACTACCATGTCCAGACTGACAAAGAGAGTGTGGGCCAACAATAAGCTGACTGAGTGCACAGAGATTCAGGTTCACAGAGCCTGAGTCCTGAGCACTCTCCTACATGGCAGTGAGTCTTGAACACTCTGCGTCCGTCAGGAAAGACAGCGGAATGCCTACCACATGCGCTGCCTCTGACACATCTTGGACATCACCTGGCAGGACAAGGTGACAAACAACAGCGTCCTGGGGAGAGCTAGAATCACTAGCATGTACACAATGCTGAAGCAGAGATCAATGTGCTGGCTCGGGCACGTGGTGCAAATGGGCGACGGCAGGATCCCCAAGGATCTCCTGTATGGAGAGCTGACACAGGGAAAGCGTCCAACAGGCAAGCCCCAGCTACGGTGCAAAGACGTATGCAAGAGGGACCTGAAAGTCATGGACGTCGATCTTGTTACGTGGGAGACACTGGCCACAGACCGTTCAGCCTGGGGGCAAAGAGGCCTCTCCAAGTTCGAGGAGGCACTTGCCAAGAAATCGGAGACAAAGAGACAGAGAAGGAAAGCCGGTAGCCAGGAAGACAGACCAGAATCAGACTTCGTCTGTGCTCTGTGTGGGATGGACTGCCACTCTGGGATTGGCCTCATCAGTCACACCAGACGCTGCACCAGGATTGACAACCAGGGCGTAACTCCATAGTCTCCCGAGACTGCAGGAAGCCTACAATGCTTGAGGAACACACACATACTCATTTGATTAACAAAATATTTACTCATATGCTCAAACCTGTACAGTGATAAGATCTTTACACTGTGAGAAAGTACTCAAGTTGTACTATGGGATCGAACTCGCGTCTCTGAACTTTCCAGGTCATATTATGGGATCGAACCTGCGTCCACGAACTCCCGAGACACACGCACAAGGACGCGGGTTAGATCCTCTGGTAAGGCCTCAATGTTTTCTGATCGCTACACCTCGTCCTTATGAGTTCATTGCGGTTCTTTACAACGTCTCCGGACCCGAGACCACAACTCTGAACATCACAACCACACAAAGTTGTCCTGTGATCACAAGTACACATCTTCAATATTATGATAATACTGTATATTGTTTTATTATTGTTAACATTATATGAAATATATTTATATCCATAGTTTTTACCTCAGTGATGTAAAACAACTTGTCCTCTGACAAAGAACGTCGCTTTTCGACCGTATGCGTTACCTAAGGCCAAAAATTATCGTACTAGAAAATAGACTACTACTAGAAGGGGCTGGCGAAAGTGACGTACTGTCCCGTTTTCTGTTTTGGGTCCACTGGTAGGCTAGGAGAGACTACTTTAAACTAACCGTTTTCATGACGTAACGGCAACCTTAGGGGGACGGACCGGATGTTTACGCTTTTGTAATTGTGTATTACATGAACAATGTTTAATGTTACTTTCACCAGTAAGACCTATAACTAGGAGTGGGACTCTCCTAGTTATAATTCCCCATAGACCAAATACTGACGACCTTCTTCAAGATGCAATCCACAACAGTTGAATAATTCTGGGGTGCCTGTTTTATTGCTAGGAGAACAGAGGCATCCGGAGACAAGTAAAGTGACCAACCGTTTCTGTCCCACCTGCTGGGGGGGGGGGATCTAAGACGAGATCCTTAATTGTGAGTCGAGGACGAAGACCACTATACTACAGAATATCTTCATACATCACAATACAACACTAGGAACACACAGTGTGTCGTTCATACATCACAATACAACACTAGGAACACACAGTGTGTCGTTCATACATCACAATACAACACTAGGAACACACAGTGTGTCGTTCATACATCACAATACAACACTAGGAACACACAGTGTGTCGTTCATACATCACAATACAACACTAGGAACACACAGTGTGTCGTTCATACATCACAATACAACACTAGGAACACACAGTGTGTCGTTCATACATCACAATACAACACTAGGAACACACAGTGTGTCGTTCATACATCACAATACAACACTAGGAACACACAGTGTGTCGTTCATACATCACAATACAACACTAGGAACACACAGTGTGTCGTTCATACATCACAATACAACACTAGGAACACACAGTGTGTCGTTCATACATCACAATACAACACTAGGAACACACAGTGTGTCGTTCATACATCACAATACAACACCACTTACGTAAAGAGTGTCATTTGCGTTTGTGGCATCATCTCGTGTCAGCCTCGCGGCGTCTCTATTAAATGTTGAGATTTGTAGTGAATAATTAGGTTTCGTCTCGCGATCAAGGCCTTGGTCTCTGTTTCTCAGCTGCAGTTCCGTCAAGGAGCTGCTCACCAGACTAAAGACTGTTGAGTCCCCGTTGCCTTCTGCAAGAAACAAACGAAATATTGTAGAGAAAAATCAACAAAAATATAAATAAATCCTGGAATTTTTAGGGTAACTTACATACACCCCCCCCCCCCCCCCACTCTCCCTCCAAGACGTTCCTTACAAGGAATCCATGTGAACATCTCAGAAAACAACTGAAGCAAACTCTTTCCCTCGTCTGTACGTGTCTCAGGCTGTTAGTAATTAAGAAATTGGCTCATGGAAGGCGGCCCTTGTTTCTACTCGTACAAACTTACTCATATATATGTGTGACCAACGCTTGAAACACTCCAGTGATCCCACATCAACGTAAATGATAACCCACGACTGGGTTTACCGTCAGTGAACGCACCTATTATTTGGTAATAGACTCTGTCGTAGTCGTCAGACGTCTTGTTGACCACGTTGGTGTTGTCCAGGTCGATGGCCTCCCAGAACGTTGCCTGCACGTTCGGATCGTTCTCTGGAAACATACACATTAATTACACATTAATTAATTAATTATACATTAATTACACATTAATTTCAATTACGAAAGGGAACGCGTGTAAATATACTCAAAAACATGGCTAAGTTATACTTTTGGGAGCAGGTTTTCTCTAATACACTTGTCATTAAACACAAGAGCATTGTGACTATTATTAATTTGATTTTGGATGTTTTCCATTTTATGCAAATATCTCCTACCATCTGGAGGGCGAAGAAACACTTGATCACTTAATCTTTCCATTTGTATTGTTCGATGTTTCGTCAGCAACGTGACATCTTCAGGAGTACACTGTAGAACTGACACAACTATACTAAACTTACAAAGTTGCTGCTGTTGTTTTAGATTTAGCGACTCTGAACTAAAATGTTCGTGTAGCACGGGCTTGGGTGAGCCCGTAAAGCTGGCGGTCACCTAGAAGCCGGGGTCAGGCAACACTCACCTCACCCTACCCTTCGCCGCTCCCTACGATTAAGGGGGTTAGGTGAATCGTAGAGTGAGGTGTCCCCACACTTATAAATGTCTAGATTTCTCCCTGTAAGGCACACTGGAGACATCTCTCGTCACGCAGGGTGCAGTCGCACCTCCACAGATCTCCAGTATCATCTACTGATACTGGTAATGGCTCAAAAGGGCCACCACTAACGGGCTATTCATGCCCGTGCCACCTCTTGGGTGGCTTAATCTTTATCAATCAATCAACCTGTAAGGCAGATTCATTCAGCACCGCTCCTGTGCCAGGTAAGTCCACAACGGGCTCAACATTGCCCGTGCTACTTGCCCCGCTCCTGTGCCAGGTAAGTTACGGGCTCACCATAGCCCGTGCTACTTGGAACTTGTTCCGAGTAGCTGAATCTATAACAACAACAACAACCCTGTAAGGGAGAAATTATCGACTTCAAAGTGGCTGGAAAAATGGAACTCCGCAGGGAGAAATACTAAGCCCCTTCCTCTTCAACTGTCTCATGGAACAATTCATGAAGCTCAAGTTACCAAAAGTCAAACTGCTTAACTGTGCAGACGACTTTGTGGTCATCATCAATGGCAAAGGCGCAAGGAACCATGCGCAAAAATGCCTAGATATTATCAGCAGGGAAGCAGAACGCATAGCAGTGAAAATAAACAGTAATAAAACCAAAGCAATGGCCGTTAAAATGAGAACTCAAGACATCAGACTCACAATACAAGGACATGAAATTGAGTGGGTTACCTCTTTTCAATACCTAGGAGTCATAATTGACAGCCAGTTGAAATTCACTCAAGAAATTGAATATCTTCGGCAACGTTGTAAAGCCAGAAACTCAGCTTTGCGCTCTCTGACCAGTCTTAGAGATGGTGGATCTCTACCAGTACTCAAAATGTACTACGTTCAAGCAGTTAGGTCACTCATTGACTATGCTGCTCCTGCTCTTACATCCCTCAGTGATAACCAACGGGAGAAACTGGAAGTGTCTCAAAATGATGCTCTCAGAACAATGCTGGGAGCACCTATATGGACGCGTCGAGAGAATCTAAGAATGGAAACCAACTTACCAGCTTTAGAAAACAGGATCAAACAAAGGATAGCCACCATAACAGCAAAACTTGTTGGAACCACCGCCAGACTGTCAATCAAAGACAGCATACAGAGATCGCTTAAGAAAAAAATTCAATATAGAACAAGTACATGGATGGATAATCTGGTCAAGATTCTTGAGAAAGTGGACTTGAAATGGACCATTAAAAACAAAGGGGAAGATAGACCATATCAACACTTTCGGCAGCCTCCTTCATGGGAAGAATCGAGTCTAAAGATAATCATCGAAGGAAAATCTAAAAAACCAGTTAAACCAGTTAAAAATCAGCATGTGACTCGCAGAGGCTCAAAGCAGTCATACAACAACAAATGGAAACCATCTGAAGACCTACAACCACTCACATCTTCACAGACGGATCAGTTGATCAAGAAAGAGGTTCTGTTGGGGCAGCAGTTTACACTAACAACCATGAAGCTTACTGGAGCATGAATAGTGGGTGCTCAACATTGCAAACAGAATTATATACCCTGAAGGAAGCCATAAACTATACAATTGAGAATAATTTACATGATGTCATCATTCATACTGACTCTAAATCTTCGCTCCAGGCATTGTGGTCAAGCCAGCACAGAGATAATATACAACTCATCACAGAAATCCTGCATAAAGGAAAAGAAGCATACAGTTTAGGGCTGTCAATCACCCTAAATTGGATACCAAGTCACATTGGCATAGATGGTAATGAACAGGCAAACTCACTAGCAAAAACTGCCACTGTTCTACCTGTTGTACAGGTTCAAATACCTCCAAGTTTTTCACAGATTAAGGAGTAAATCAAGAAGAAAATACTCCCAACTATCAAAAGTCGCCACAGAGCCAGAGTAGCGGAAGGAAGATCCACTGCGATATGGTACGAACAAGCCACTGGGTACTACTCTTTCAAGCCTGACAAAAAAATATCCAGAGACATTGCAGTAGCCATACACAGACTCAGACTTGGTTACAAGTGCTGCTGGGAGGTAATAAACCCAATAGTTAAAGAGTGTCATATCTGTGGAACAGAAACAGAGGCGCCACTATTGCACTACTTACTGGAATGTGAAGCTACTGGAGCCCTGCGCATCAAACTAAACATTAATCCAACAACAGCAGCTGCATTAGATGCACATTCCACAGCCACTACAATGATTAGAAAAGCCGTTGAGGAATGGGACTCACTAGTGAGCATTCTACATATATATCTGCCACCAAGATAATGTTATTAAAACAAGGCTAAAACCAGAGTGTAACAAACTAGGTGTGTTGTAGGAATTATTCAGCATGGATTCTCAAAGACTATGGGGGTGGAAAGTCGGGAGTCAAGCGGTTGTGCCCTGACTCGAAGCACGGGGCATCTCTCCTAGGATTAGCGGTTTAGATCACAAAATGGCCGGCGCCTTTGTCTTAAGCAACATATAATGAATTATTTTACAGAAATCAGTAATTTAGAGAAATTCAAGTTTTCATTCAAATTGTATTCAATAGTATTCCTGTTTAAAGTATCAAGAGTTTCCTCAATTGTCGGAATACTGAGTAAGTCACCATCAGTGACGTCACTAGCTAAGGAGTAGCCTCGGACGCAGAGCAATTTTGGCAACCCAGGGGTCACGGGTTACCAAAGCCTTCCACATTTAGTAATTCTCAAAGGTCAAATAGCCATATTGTAATTGGAAATAGCCTTTCCCTAATTGAAGGTAATTGCCTGTGCAATTACCTTCAGTTTAAAAGAGTTCAAGCATCTGCGTTGTTCAGTGCAACAGAGATTAGTTGTTCAACTTAAATCCTTGCTAGTAAACTTGGTAAACCTGGCGTAGGAATACCCCCTAGCTCTGACCAGCTGTGAGGAAGGCAGAGTGAGGGAGATGCAGTGTGGGCCGGTCAACAACTGAGGGAGGTCATCCACTCTCCCTACATAGATCAGTAGAACAACAACTGGTCGCAGTACAAGGTATAGTTGGCTACAGTTTTGTATTGGGAAATAGTTCATCTCATGCCTCGTAGGGAGTGATTTTATTTAGTTTTTGTTTAGATTTTGCATTAAATAAATATTTAGTTTGTAATTGCATTTTATTATTTCCATGTTTTCATGTTTACTTGTCCTTGTCACGTGGTCTCCACGAGTCTGAGTTTAGTTGAGCCGTAAGCCTAACAAAGTTTAAGAGTTCAGTTATCCTTTGGGTTGCTATAATTTCCCACACTTAACGTAGATTCTTCCCTCCTTTTCAAAGTAATTGGGGATTAAGCCCCGAGGTGTTAATAAGTGATTAATCGGTCCAGACCCCGATTAATTAACGCTTCCTGTTATTGGTCTGGTGGCGGCAGCAGAAGGAGATTCTTATGTTTGCTAGGAGTCTACTACCACGTCGCAAGGCTGTAGAATCTTGGCAGCTCGAACGGCTAGGACCACGTGGCGTGGAATTCGGCTAAGAGTAACTCTGAGGTCCCTTGATGTATAAGCGGAGTCAATAGGATACAGATAGGGGTGAAGGGGATTGAAGAGAAGATCAGAGACGATAAGCCCCCTCTCCCCCGTGTTACAAGTTCACTAAAACAGAAGCGAAAAAGAAACAGGGAAAAAGGAGGAATCCCTACCTCCATTTAAAATTTTGACCCAAATATCACAGTAACAAGGTTATCGCTAATAACTGAACTCAATTACGGGGCTCACCATAGCCCGTGCTACATGGACAGTTTGCTCTGAGTACCTAAATCTAAAACAACAGCAACAACCCTGTAAGGTCCTCCTGGAATGTGAAGCAACCAACTAACTTAGAAGAGCTTTAAGAGTCCCTGAATCTTGTAGCAACCGCCCTAAAGCCATCAACACTGCCACTCTTCTGGTCAAAAAAGGTGTCCAGCAGCTGGACACCCTCATCAATACTGTCAAACAGTATCCTCCCTCGCGATAGCAGCCACATAGTAAGGACTGACGATTGCGCGCTCAAAACGCAGTATATCCTCTCACGACCAAAGACCACATTCACTCCAAGAAATCTACCACTTATTCATGCCCGTGCCACCTCTCGGGTGGCTTAATCTTCATCAGTCAAGCACTCTGGTAAGATCAGTATAGCCGTGGCAGTTCAACATTGTACTCCTGAAGATGTCACATTGTTGACGAAACGTCGAACAATACAAATGGAAAGATTAAGTGATCTGGTGTTTCTTTACTCACAGTTAATCAATCGATATATATATATATATATATATATATATATATATATATATATATATATATATATATATATATATATATATATATATATATATATTATACTCAGATACACACGTGTGTAAATCATCAAGAAATTATCATCTGATGAAGTATAAAAATTAAACATGAAATACTTGAGCGCTTTCGTGTCTGTTTCAACACATCCTCATTATCATATTTATAATAAATGAAAATTACATATGAACATATTGTATTTACCAGTTTTTACATTCAACACTTGGAAGTAATCAGCTTAGTATAACTTACCAATCATATAGAGAGTCTGCGCACACTAGCCGCGGGTGAGTATAACTTACCAATCATATAGAGAGTCTGCGCACACTGGCCGCGGGGTGAGTATAACTTACCAATCATATAGAGAGTCTGCGCACACTGGCCGCGGGGTGAGTATAACTTACCAATCATATAGAGAGTCTGCGCACACTGGCCGCGGGTGAGTATAACTTACCAATCATATAGAGAGTCTGCGCACACTAGCCGCGGGGTGAGTATAACTTACCAATCATATAGAGAGTCTGCGCACACTAGCCGCGGGGTGAGTATAACTTACCAATCATATAGAGAGTCTGCGCACACTAGCCGCGGGGTGAGTATAACTTACCAATCATATAGAGAGTCTGCGCACACTGGCCGCGGGTGAGTATAACTTACCAATCATATAGAGAGTCTGCGCACACTGGCCGCGGGTGAGTATAACTTACCAATCATATAGAGAGTCTGCGCACACTAGCCGCGGGTGAGTATAACTTACCAATCATATAGAGAGTCTGCGCACACTGACCGCGGGTGAGTATAACTTACCAATCATATAGAGAGTCTGCGCACACTGGCCGCGGGTGAGTATAACTTACCAATCATATAGAGAGTCTGCGCACACTAGCCGCGGGTGAATATAACTTACCAATCATATAGAGAGTCTGCGCACACTAGCCGCGGGTGAGTATAACTTACCAATCATATAGAGAGTCTGCGCACGCTGGTCGAAATAAGGCGGGAACTCGAACTTGTTAGTGACAATGACCCTGACGAGCGACGAGCTCTGTAGTGGCGGCGTCCCTTTGTCCACCACGTGCAGGGACAGCTGCATGTAGGGGAATATTGTGATAGGAAAACCATGCAAATTCATTTAGCATTATGTTAAAGCATTAGTTTAAAAGTGCTTTTAAAAGTAAAAAGTTTAAAAAATCCACTATACATGGGGGGGGGGGATAATCTGGATATTCATTACAGCTCATCCAATCAGATCACTTGGAGGGATTAGGAGCGATGTGCATGCCTTACAGAGTCGGGGTTCGATCCCCGATGGTTCAGGCGGTTAAGCACCGTTAATTTCTCTTATCATAAATATTTGTCCTTGTCCACTGCACCTCATCCACTACACCTCATCCACTGCACCTCATCCACTGCACCTCATCCACTACACCTCATCCACTGCACCTCATCCACTGCACCTCATCCACTACACCTCATCCACTACACCTCATCCACTGCACCTCATCCACTACACCTCATCCACTACACCTCATCCACTGCACCTCAGCCACTACACCTCATTCACTACACCTCATCCACTGCACCTCATCCACTACACCTCATCCACTACACCTCATCCACTACACTTCATCCACTTCTCCTCATCCACTACAGATCATCACCACCACAGTATAGTGAACACAGACACACATCACCACCACAGTATAGTGAACACAGACACACATCACCACTACAGTATAGTGAACACAGACACACATCACCACCACAGTATAGTGAACACAGACACACATCACCACTACAGTATAGTGAACACAGACACACATCACCACCACAGTATAGTGAACACAGACACATCACCCCCACAGTATTGTGAACAGAGACACACATCACCCCCACAGTATAGTGAACAGAGACACACATCACCACCACAGTATAGTGAACAGACACACATCACCACCACAGTATAGTGAACAGAGACACACATCACCGCCACAGTATTGTGAACACAGACACACATCACCACCACAGTATAGTGAACAGAGACACATCACCGCCACAGTATAGTGAACAGAGACACACATCACCCCCACAGTATAGTGAACAGAGACACACATCACCACCACAGTATAGTGAACAGACACACATCACCACCACAGTATAGTGAACAGAGACACACATCACCGCCACAGTATAGTGAACAGAGACACACATCACCACCACAGTATAGTGAACAGAGACACACATCACCGCCACAGTATAGTGAACAGAGACACACATCACCCCCACAGTATAGTGAACAGAGACACACATCACCGCCACAGTATAGTGAACAGAGACACACATCACCCCCACAGTATAGTGAACAGAGACACACATCACCGCCACAGTATAGTGAACAGAGACACACATCACCACCACAGTATAGTGAACACAGACACACACATCACCACCACAGTACACTGTAACACAAGAGGAAACCTCACCGTGTACGCTGAACCTTTCTCCTTGTCAATAGGCTCCGTCACCTGCAGGGTGTAGTAGCCACCTTTGTCATACAAGATGAACGACTTCATCTGTCCAACACCTGGAACAACAGCAAGGAAACTTAGTGACCAGTGTCTGCACTCCTCAAGAACTTACACAACCACTTTCTAAACCAGTACATCTTTCGTATTTCGTGGCGTCATAGTTTCCAATTTATTAAACGGTTTACTAGCTTTTAAATATCATAACCCAAGGTTATAATTGGTTATAAACAACCTCGTAAGGGTTCACAGCGCCTCCACCACATCACTTCCTAATGCATTCCATTTGTCAACCACTCTGACACTAAAAAAGTTCTTTCTAATATCTCTGTGGCTCATTTGGGCACTCAATTTCCACCTGTGCCCCTTGTGTTAAATAGCCTGTCTTTATCTACCCTATCAATTCCTTGAGAATCTTGAATGTGGTGATCATGTCCCCCCTAACTCTTCTGTCTTCCAGCGAAGTGAGGTTTAATTCCTGTAGTCTCACCTCGTAGCTCATACCTCTCAGCTCGGGTACTAGTCTGGTGGCAAACCTTTGAACCTTTTCCACTTTAGTCTTATCCTTGACTAGATATGGACTTCATGCAGGGGCTGCATACTCCAGGATTGGCCTGACATATGTGGTATACAAAGTTCTGAATAATTCCTTACACAAGTTTCTGAATGCCGTTCTTATGTTGGCCAGCCTAGCATATGCCGCTGATGTTATCCTCTTGATATGGGCTGCAGGGGACAGGTCTGGCGTGATATCAACCCCCAAGTCTTTTTCTCTCTTTGACTCTTGAAGAATTTCATCTCCCAGATGATACCTAGTATCTGGCCTCCTGCTCCCTACACCTATCTTCATTACATTACATTTGCTTGGGTTAAACTCTAACAACTATTTGTTCGACCATTCCCGCAGCTTGTCTAGGTCTTCTTGAAGCCTCAAGCATTCCTCATCGGTCCTAATCCTTCTCATAATTACCATCGTCAGCAAACAATGAGAGAAATGAATCTATACCCTCCGGGAGATCATTTACATATATCAGAAACAAGATAGGACCAACTACAGAGCCCTGTGGGACTCCACTGGTGACTTCACGCCAATCTGAGGTCTCACCCCTCACTGTAACTCTGTTTCCTATTGCTTAGTTACTCCCTTATCCACTGGAGCACCTTACCAGCTACACCTGCCTGTCTCTCCAGCTTATGTACCAGCCTCTTATGCGGTACTGTGTCAAAGGCTTTCCTTTGACACACACATACACTGTGTGTGTGTGTGTGTGTGTGTGTGTGTGTGTGTGTGTGTGTGTGTGTGTGTGTGTGTGTGTGTGTGTGTGTGTGTGTGTGTATGTGTGTACTCACCTAGTTGTGCTTACGGGGTTGAGCTCTGGCTCTTTGGTCCCTCCTCTCAACCGTCAATCAACAGATGTACAGGTTCCTGAGCCTATTGGGCTCTATCATATCTACACTTGAAACTATGTATGGAGTCAGCCTCCACCACATCATTTCCTAATGCATTCCATTTGTCAACCACTCTGACACTAAAAAAGTTCTTTCTAATATCTTTGTGGCTCATATGGGCACTCAGTTTCCACCTGTGTCCCCTAGTGCGTCTGCCCCTTGTGTTAAATAGCCTGTCTTTATCAACCCTGTCGATTCCCTTGAGAATCTTGAATGTGGTGATCATGTCCCCCCTAACTCTTCTGTCTTCCAACGAAGTGAGGTTTAATTCCCGTAGTCTCTCCTCGTAGCTCATACCTCTCAGCTCGGGTACTAGTCTGGTGGCAAACCTTTGAACCTTTTCCAGTTTAGTTTTATGCTTGACTAGATATGGACTCCACACTGGAGCCGCATACTCCAGGATTGGTCTGACATATGTGGTATATAATGTTCTGAAAGATTCCTTACACAAGTTTCTAAAGGCCGTTCTTATGTTAGCCAACCTGGCATATGCTGCTGATGTTATCCTCTTGATATGAGCTTCAGGGGACAGGTCTGGCGTGATATCAACCCCAGGTCTTTCTCTCTCTCTGACTCTTGAAGTATTTCATCTCCCAAATGGTACCTTGTATCTGGTCTCCTGCTTCCTACCCCTATCTTCATTACATTACATTTGCTTGGGTTAAACTCTAACAGCCATTTGTTCAACCATTCCTGCAGCTTGTCCAGGTCTTCTTGAAGCCTCTGTGTGTGTGCGTGCGTGTGTGCTTTCAAACGTACGTGTGGGTGCGTGCGTGTGTTACGGGGGTCCAGTAAAATGTCAACTTCTACCCAAAATGAGCCACTTTGATATTTTAAATGTATCTGATATACTGAACAAGAATTTGGTAATATTTTACCTCTGTACACCTGAAGAATTGAGCAGAGAGGGGTACCTACCTGTCAGCCTCCCGCTCACACAACCAGGTGAATAATTACGATGCTGGATGACGAAGTGCTCCGTCGTCGCCTCCCACGTGGTGATTCTCTAATCCAGTAGACTGATGATGGCGGTTCTTCTCTATCTAACACAAATCTCTGGAGTCAGTCACTGTATCGGTGTGTCTGTTGTGTTACAGTTCACCAATTCACTGTACCACTGATCACTTGACCCAATATGTAAACAAAGCCTCGTGGGCCCTCCCACGTGGCCTGTCTGGTGAATTCACTGTTTAACACCAAGTTCTAGTGATAGCACTGTATTTTTTCTTTCCTATTGTCGGCGGTTATACGCTTTGTGATACCCCCTAGATCTGTGATCTGTCACTGTAGCCTTAATTAACCCAATAATATTGGCGTTTATTGTAGCGCGCGACCCCAGCGACCCTCCCTGCGCGGCTGGCTGAACTAATCCTCCTGTGTGTGTGTGTGTGTGTGTGTGTGTGTGTGTGTGTGTGTGTGTGTGTGTGTGTGTGTGTGTGTGTGTGTGTGTGTGTGTGTGTGTGTGTGTGTGTGTGTGTGTGTGTGTGTGTGTTAGAGAGAGTCACTAACCTCTACAAAGAAACATGTAGTAGATATAATACATGAAAATAAATTGGTTAAAAAGGCGGGGTCCAAGAGCTAATAGCTCGATTCTGCAGACACAAATAGTAAATAAAAATAGTAAATACACACACTACAAATACCGGTAGACCATAAAACTACAACTTATGGTCACGTCATAAACACTCGCATTCATGACATATGTTTTATATTTTTTATTTTTATATACGAGAGTTGATACATTCTTGTACAGCCACCAGCACGTGTAGCGTTTCGGGCAGGTCCTTAATCCTATGTTCCCCGGAATACGACCCGACAAATCGTTCCATTTTACTGATTAGTAAACAGATGCAACAGTTAAAGATTGACTCCTCCCAGGCCGGGATACGAACCCAGGACAAAGGATAGGATATACGAACCCAGGCAAAGGTCATTGTAGGATACGAACCTACAATGACGTGCTAAAATAATACGCCTTAATAATACTTTCATCGGCAAATTATACAAAATGAGAAGCCAAAACCATTGTCATACCATCAGTGGTTCCTTCAGCTTGTGTTTTATTGAAGTCAATGTCCACCGTCACCTCCTTGTTGAGGCCCTCGTCGGCGTCGTCAACGTAGATCTTGAAGATCTTGACCTCGCCGCTGTCAGTGGTGCAGGAGATGTCTTGCCCGCTCACGTACGCGCCCTGGTCGACCACGGCGGGAAGAACACGCCGCAGTAATGGCGGGAACATTGAAACATTAGCCAGAGTGAACAGGTGACCACAATAATCATCTCTTGTTCTTCCTCTCTCTACGTCTAGCTCTTCCCCTTCCCCCTTCCTCTCTCTAGGCCTCCACCACCCCTTCCCCTTCCTCTCTCTAGGCCTCCACCACCCCTATTAAAGAGCCCACTAAATAGGAGAACATTACCCTATTATATATAAGAGTCAGTAAGACCCCAAGGAACATAACTGCGCATTCCGATGATTCCTAAAAGTTAAATTAGGTCTTCACATTAACTTTATTACTTGAAGACAGATTCCGTCTAATAGGGAGAATGAACACATTAAGAGGGACAGTAGACAGACAGATATATAGGGATAGTAGACAGACAGATAAACAATGATAAAGTATGGACAGATAAACATTGATAAAAAGATGGACAGATGCGCAGAGACAGTATACAGACAGATGTATAGGGACAGTAAATAGACAAATGTAGAAGAAAGGTAAACAGACAGATGCACAGAGATAGCAAACAAACATGCACAAGGACAGTAGACAGACATATGAACAGGGTCAGTAGACAGACAAATGAACAGAGACAGTGAACAGACAGGTGCAGAGAGACAGTAGACAGGCAGATGCAGAGAGACAGTAGACAAACAGATGCACAGAGGAACATATACAGTTCCAGCATGTATACCTTTAAGAATAAAATCAACGAATTTTGACATAGCGGAAGTTACACGTCTTTGGAACACCTTGATCAATGAACCAAGAGCCACTAGCTCGCCCTCACCTCTTGCATCCGGACGGTCGGAACGTCGTCAACGACGCAGTCCTCGAATCTGAACGTCGGTGTGTTATCGTTCGCGTCCTCTATGTTCAGCCGTATGGTCTGCGTCGTCCCATTAAGGGTTGGGACGCCGTGGTCCTTTGCCTGTGATTGGTGGGGAGAGACGGAGCAGAAACAATTACGCTTCTAATATATTAATTTGGGTAGCAAAACACATGTATGTTTTGATAATACTGCCCTGCGGACGGTACGACGTTTCGGTCCGTCCTAGACCATTCTCGAGTCGATTGTGGTCCAGGACGGTTGAGAATGGTCCAGGACGGACAGAAACATCGTCGGCCCTTCACTTTCTAGTGTGTGGTCTGGTCTACAAGACTAATACACAATACGGAAATACATGCTGGTGTAATACAGTGTAACATGCAGCACAGGCTCGGGTAATACAGCAGCAATACGCCATAGAAGCTTGGGGGTACTGGGTAGAACACTGACCCACGTCCAGTAATACTCACCAGACTAAACACAGTGGAGTGAGGCGGAACAGGAGGCAGAAAGTACCAAGGGTAATTCTTATATACCATATATGCTATAATGCGCACTGCATAAATGGAAATAAATTGGATAAGTGTAGCGTCAGGAAAGACCTGGGTAAATACTGACTTGGAAATTGGGTTGATGATTTACGGAGCAAACTATCAGGAAAAGTATTAGACCTGTGATTGCTGGATTGTTTCAAGCGTAAGTTAGACATATAAAAAGATGTGTCTAAGTGGATATGAATAAGAGCTATCTCGATAGAGCCAATAGGCCTCCTGCAGTTTCCTTATCTATTTATACACTCTGCAATGTTCCTAATTTAAACTGTGTGTGCCATGTAGAAGTGTTTGGGCATCGTCGCTGTAGTAGTATAAGAAGACAACAATATGAACCTTACCATAATTTCAATATCATAGAGTCCTTTCAACTCCGTCAAGTTCTTCGTTGCACGCAATCTGTGTAAGAAAATTATATTGAATAAATTCAACCAATCACTTCTATATACAATATAAAGCAATCGGTAAAGAGGTATCGAAGGTTTCCCTCACATGATAAACATATGAAAAAAACAGTTTTCCAAAAAAAGGTAAGTTTTCCCCGTCACAGACGTGACATCTATATAGTATGTATATATATATATATAAACCCGCTCGGATGCGAATGGAACGTTGTGTGAAAATTTCAAAGCAATTGATGAAGAACTTTCGGAGATTAGCGACTTTGAGCAAACAAACATTTACATTTTTATTTACATAGATATCTTTTCACACACACACACACACACACACACACACACACACACACACACACACACACACACACACACACACACACACACACACACACACACACACACACACACACACGTTTATGTGTGTGTGTGTGTGTGCCCACCTATTTGTGCTTGCGGGGGTTGAGCTCTGGCTCTTTGGTCCCGCCTCTCAACTGTCAATCACCTGGTGTGCAGGTTCCTGAGCCTATTGGGCTCTATCATATCAACACTTGAAACTGTGTATGGAGTCAGCCTCCACCACATCACTTCCTAATGCATTCCATTTGTCAACCACTCTGACACTAAAAAAAGTTCTTTCTAATATCTCTGTGTCTCATTTGGGCACTCAATTTCCACCTGTGTCCCCTAGTGCGTGTGCCCCTTGTGTTAAATAGTCTGTCTTTATCTACCATATCAATTCCTTTGAGAATCTTGTATGTGGTGATTATGTCCACTCTATCTCTTCTGTCTTCCAGCGACGTAAGGTTTAATTCCCGTAGTCTCTCCTCGTAGTACTTTTCAGCTCTGGTACTAGTCTGGTGGCAAACCTTTGAACCTTTTCCAGTTTGATCTTATCATTGACTAGATATGGACTTCATGCTGGAGCTGCATTTTCCAGGATTGGTCTGACATATGTGGTATACAAAGTTCTGAATGATTCCTTACACAAGTTTCTAAATGCCGTTCTTATGTTGGCCAACCTGGCATATGCCGCTGATGTTATCCTATTGATATGGGCTTCAGGAGATAGGTCTGGCGTGATATCAACCCACAAGTCTTTCTCTCTCTCTGACTCTTGAAGAGTTTCATCTTCCAAATGATACCTTATATCTGACCTCCTGCTCCCTACACCCATCTTCATTACATTGCATTTGCTTGGGTTAAACTCTAACAACCATTTGTTCGACCATTCCTTCAGTTTGTCTAGGTCTTCTTGAAGCCTCAAGCAGTCCTTTTCTGTCTTAATCCTTCTCATAATTATGGCGTCGTCAGCTAACACTGAGAGAAATGAGTCTATACCCTCCGGGAGATCATTTACGTATATCAGAAACAGGATAGGACCGAGTACAGAGCCCTGTGGGACTCCACTGAGGACTTCACGCCAATCTGAGGTCTCACCCCTCACTGTAACTCTCTGCTTCCTATTGCTTAGTTACTCCCTTATCCACTGGAGCACATTACCAGTTACTCCTGCCTGCCTCTCCAGCTTATGTACCAGCCTTTTATGGAGTACTGTGCCAAAGGCTTTCGGACAATCCAAGAAAATGCAGTCCGCCGTGTGTGTGTGTGTGTGTGTGTGTGTGTGTGTGTGTGTGTGTGTGTGTGTGTGTGTGTGTGTGTGTGTGTGTGTGTGTGTGTGTGTGTGTGTGTGTGTGTGTGTGTGTGTGTAAGGAATTTCTCAATTATATATCCTGAAGACAAAATATCGACTTACGTGCAGAAGTACTGGGTAAGACCTTGAGACGTCCTATTCTTGTTAACTGCTTCAAACAAGTTGATATTGTCTCTTCTGCCGTCAATTCCAGTACTTAGCACTTCGTAGGTGAGAAGAGCATTGTTGGTGTTCTCCTGGTCCCCATCGTGGGCGCTGATCTCGTATACAACACCAGCCTTGGTTGATGCCTCTTCACCCTGTGGGGTGTCAAACTCATGTACTAAAAGCGATACAAAACCGTTCCTTATTAACTCTACCCATAGCTCAGTCGATAGTGCTTGGGCCTCACGTGCGAGGGGTCCAGGATTCGAGACTCCTACAGCCCAGGTGAATGAAACTAAAAGCGATATTAACTAGAAAAGCGTTAAAGTGTTATATGGTAATGTGGTAAATATGATAACTTATAAATACGCAAGCCTCACTTATGTGGACTCGATCTTCACACTATGTGCAACACAGCAGCAGCAGCAGCACATATGACTGAAAGAGACTAATGGCTCAATAACCAAAACCATTGACAAGCATCACAAATTATAAACTAAAATATACAAAACTGCATTACAAAACAAATGAAATTCACCCAATATAATAATAATAATAATAATAATAATAATAATAATAATTTTTATTTACAAATATATAGAGGAGAATATGATATAGTGGTTTATTAATTGTTACAGAGTGTGCATATTTAATAAGTCCACAAAGCATTTGGGCAACTCTTTTCCAACGATAGACAATATTCGTCTTAATGATGGGAGAGTTTCGGCCCTCCGTCTCCACCATGGTGACACGAGCACAGCCAACACACACACACACACACACACACACACACACACACACACACACACACACACACACACACACACACACACACACACACACACACACACACACACACACACACACACACACACACACAGTGTCGACACGATTACATCAAACACACACACACACATACCGTGTCAACAACGAGATATAGAACAAGATACCCTTCAGGTGGGCGGGGAAGTGGGTATAGTTGAAGAACAGCCGGTGAAAGGAAGCGTCGAAGTCGGAAAGACAGAGCCATGGGTACACCCAGCTGCATGGCAGATCTGAGGCTCTCAACCACCTGGCTGGCTAGGCAAGGAGGCGGGGTCTTGTGTCGGGGGGCGACGAGGCGAGGACAGCTGTCCTCTTGTGTCGTGGAGTCTTCTTTCTTCTATGGAGCTGGAGTCTTCTTTCTTCTGTGATGCTGAAGTCTTCTGTCTTCTACGTCGATCTTCACGGTGGCGGACATGGCAACCTCCAATTCCAAACAGGCAAAATTTGGTCTCTATCCCCCCTAAAGAGGGGAAAGAAGGCGGCTGCCTTAATTAGGGCGGTGATGAAGGCTATTTTTTCTTTGTTAATTTGGCGTTTTTGGCTCGCTGATGTGTTGCAACTCTCCACTGCTGGTCGGGGTTTGGGCCGTCGGATGTGTCGAGGAATTCAATCGTTGATCTATTGCTAAGGTCGGAGTCTTTATGTTTTGCCAGGCTACATAGGTCCCTCAGGGCAGAGGAGATGAATCCGCGTACTTCTGGCGTTCTGGCAAGTTCCGCGCGGCCATGATCGCGCGGGGTAAATTGGAAGTGGCATAAAGAGATGCCACTTCTGGTGTGAGTGGAGACGGGAGCGGTTTGCATATCAGCTGCACTGGTGGTGATGTTAAGGGTTCTACTGAAACCTCGTCGTCGTCGGATGGGAGTGTGGTTTCTGTCTCTGGGGTAGTGGAGAGGGCTCCCTGATCTGGATCTGTTGTGGCTTTTGCTATTGGCACTGAGCCAGGCGTTATGACTCTGGTATTGCCGGGTCCGTTGGCCGAGGCCGAAGACGTATTGCTTGGCTGATTAGGTGAGGTGCTGGCCTCTGGTGGAGCAGTGTATCTGTTGACCATAACCTCAGATATTTTGATGGTCGGTAGCTTGTCTCTTCGTAGAGTTCGTTGAGTATTTTGTACTGCAATCTGATAACTTCGCCCGAGAAAATTGTTGCTAAATGGATGAGGGCAGCCACAGAACTGTCGATGGTGGGTGGTGTTGTAGGCGAACGTGGCGACGTCTGGGTCGAAGATTGGTTAGTCTGGTTGGGTGGTGTCGTCTGGGTCTGCGATGGACTGCTGCCGCGGTTGTTGCTTGTCCAATAGTTGCGCGGTGCGTCGCTCGTGGGGCCACTTGTCGGGAGGTCCGAGAAGGCTACTGCCTGGATGTTGAATGCTTTCAGTTTTGGAATGGCGGTGGCTTGTCTGGCGTCGATCATCTTCTGAATTTCGGTCTTCCTAGCTGGGGCAGACCGATGAGACGGCGGTGTGGACTTCATTACATAGTGGGCAACGCTGGAATACTGCCCGGCAGTCCATGTAATGGTGGTTTTCTGCACAGATGCTGCATTTCTGCTCGGGGCTTGCGCATTTCTGGGTATAGTGGGTTTATTGATAGTACCTGAAGCTCTGTCGTAGGCGGTAATACCGTTGCCTTTCCATCTGGTAGGGTGTGCAAATCCCACCATAATATCTGAGGCAGTTGTCGGCCTGGAGGGTGGCCTCTGCTGGAGAATTGAGGGTGACCTTCAGGTTGGGTTTCTCGTTTCCATCCTGCTGAATGAGGTGTGCTGAGACGGCGGTCAGAGACTGGTCCTGGGCGTTGATACTGTTGATGATATCAGCTATTGGTCGTTCTGCTATGAGAGAGCTCACTCGATGGAAAAATATGGATCTTACAGCCTGGAATTGCTGGGGGTGGTATAAGGGTCAGGTTTGCTGCCTCTAGAACCGTGAGTGTTGCTGAGTTAAACAGGCCTTGGAGCGTTGCTGCACTGCTGAACAGAATCTGGAGTTCCTTTTCCCCCACGATGACGTCGAAGGGAGCTACCTCTGAGTTCGCCGTCAGAAGGGCCAGAATCTCGGACTTGGAGTAGTTGGTATCGGGTCCTCGAAACCGAACCTTGATCCGATAGAGCATGGTGCTGTTTGACTAGCACCAGGGGCGAAGTCGTTCAGCTGACACCCCCTCAGAGGGTCGCAGTGCCGATGGAAGAACGCTTTCTATCTGGATACCTGCTTGATGGGGTTCTGGGAGTTCTTCTACTCCCCAAGCCCGGCCCGAGGCAAGAGCTGAGTGCTCTGTGCTCTGTAGATAGTGCTCTGATCGCCCAATCACATCACGATCACATCCTACACACACACACACACAATGTCGACACGAGCACAGTCAACACACACCTGACCAATGATGTGGGAATGTAACAGAAACAGCAAAGTATAAAAATCAAAAGTCATACTTACAAAATTAAAAAAAAAAATTGCAATCAACCCTAAGTTGAAAGTTCCTATACATGAAACAAATTGCACGTCGGTTATTACGTTCGTGAGAGATGATAGACATGATAGACGAGGCGCTGGATATCTTACCTTGACCATGAACTCATTAACGACCAGAGGGTCGTCGTTCGGTGTCCACTGGAAGTTTTCGGGGGGGTTGTCGTTGACATCAATGACATTGATGAATATGTGGCACGAGTTGCTTTGCCTCACTGAAAGAGATGCAAGCCACATTGTTACAAGACAGGTCAAAAATGGATGCTTATGGCGTACCTTACAATACGCAACCTAACCCAGCCCTAACCAATCTAACCCAACCCTAAGCTGGGTTAGGTTGCTTAGGGCTGGGTTACGTTGGTTAGGTTGGTTGGTCTAGAATCTAACACCAGCCCTAACCAACCTAACCCAGCCCTAACCAACCTAACCCAGCCCTAAGCAACCTAACCCAGCCCCTAACCAACCTAACTTAGCCCTAAGCAACCTAACCCAGCCCTAAGCAACCTAACCCAGCCCCTAACCAACCTAACCCAGCCCTAACCAACCTAACCCAGCCCTAACCAACCTAACCCAGCCCCTAACCAACCTAACCCAGCCCCTAACCAACCTAACCCAGCCCCTAACCAACCTAACCCAGCCCCTAACCAACCTAATCCAGCCCTAACCAACCTAACCCAGCCCTTAATCAACCTAACCCAGCCCTAACCAACCTAACCCAGCCCCTAACCAACCTAACCCAGCCCTAACCAACCTAACTCAGCCCTAACCAACCTAACCCAGCCCCTAACCAACCTAATCTAGCCCTAACCAACCTAACCCAGCCCCTAATCAACCTAACCCAGCCCTAACCAACCTAACCCAGCCCCCTAACCAACCTAATCTAACGATGTGTAACCTATGATAGCCTAACCTAATCTAACCTAACCCTACATAACATAACTAAACCTAAACTAATCTAACCTAACTTCCCCTAACCTGATCCAAAATAACCTAACCAATTCTAACCTAACATAACTCAACATAACCTAACCCTCCTAACCTAACATCCTAACTTATCGTAACGTAACACAACCAAACCTAACCCAATCTAACCTAACACAACCCTACCTAACTCAACCTAACAAAACTTAATAAAACCCAACCCAACCCAACCTAACCTAACCCAACCCAACCTAACCCAACCCAACCCAACACAACCTATCTAACCTAACGAAAAATAACCGGTGCACGAGGTGTGTGTGATGGGAGGACTAGTTGTGGGTCCCATGGTGGCAGCAAGCCAGCTGTTGTCGTCACCAGTGGCTTGGTAAAGTGTAGCGAGGAGACCACCTGAGAGACCACAGTAAATTCTAGCATTTTGGAGATTGGATTTATATGTAATAAATATGTTGAACTATGTCATCTGTTTAAGGGTTATATATATATATATATATATATATATATATATATATATATATATATATATATATATATATATATATATATATATATATATATGACAATGTCAGAACACGGAGGAAAATGAAACAGGAATTTCCTTAAGTACTTTCGTATATTAAATACATCTTCAGAAGGAATTCCTTCTGAAGATGTATTTAATATACGAAAGTACTTAAGGAAATTCCTGTTTCATTTTCCTCCGTGGTCTGACATTGTCACATTCTTAATCACGTGTTTATTTTCGTGATATACACACACACATATATATATATATATATATATATATATATATATATATATATATATATATATATATATATATATATATGTCGTACCTAGTAGCCAGAACGCACTTCTCAGCCTACTATGCAAGGCCCGATTTGCCTAAAAAGCCAAGTTTTCCTGAATTAATTGTTTTTCGACTACCTAACCTACCTAACCTGACCTAACCTAACTTTTTCGGCTACCTAACCAAACCTAACCTACAAAGATAGGTTAGGTTAGGTTAGGTAGGGTTGGTTAGGTTCGGTCATATATCTACGTTAATTTTAACTCCAATAAAAAAAAATGCCCTCATACATTTTGAAATGGGTAGCTTTATCATTTTATAAGAAAAAAATTAGAGTAAGTATATTAATTCATGAAAACTTGGCTTATTAGGCAAATCGGGCCTTGCATTGTAGGCTGAGAAGTGCGTTCTGGCTACTAGGTACGACATATATATATAAGGAGGCTTTGCTAGGAGGCTTTGGGTAACATTAGGTAGCTTTGGGTGGCTTTGGCCAATTAGATGGTCCTAATTTTGGGGATGTTTAATGGGAAGAATACTTGGAGACCGGCCTCACTAGAGAAGACAATGCTGGCGTCACATACAGGTTGAGTTTGTGTCAGAGATATCAACCCATCCTTCTGATAAGATATCACTTCTTGTAACTTTGTGGATGATCGCACCATTATTGATGTGATGGAGAAAACAGAGTACAGAATATGGCTTTACCTGAGAGCCACTAACACTAGTGGCCTCGACGAGGACAGGAAGCCGGCGGCTTGTCGAAGGTCCCCCCATTTGCCTTCATGATCTTTTCCAGCTGTACTTTAAAAGTAAAAGTTTGTTGGCATTTACGGCTTCGGCGGGTAGGCGGTTCCATGGGTTTATAACCCTGTGAGTGAAAAAGCATCTCCTGTTCTCAGTCCTACATTGTGGCTTGTTGAGCTTGAAACCGTTGCTCCTTGTTTGTGTTACATCGGACCTTTTGAAGAAATTTTCCAGATCAACATCCTCCAAATTGTTCAGTATTTTAAGTTTCAATGAGATCGGCCCTGTCATGCCTGGTTTGCAGTGTTGTTAGCCCTGTGGCCCTCAACCGTTCCTGATACGTGAGTTGACTTAGCTTTGGAATGATTTTTGTTGCCCGGTGTTGCACTTTCTCCAGAGCAGCTATGACCTTCTCAAGGTGTGGTCTCCATGCTTGGGTACAGTAATCCAGACGGAGGCGCACCAGAGATTTATATAATTAAATCACTACCTTCTTTTCCTTAAAGTCAAAGGTACGCTTGATTATTCCAAGAGTTTGATTAGCTTTTTTGACTGCTGTTCCTACCTGCTGTGCAACTTTCATCGAGTGGTGGATTTTGACTCCAAGGTCCTTTTCTTCATCAATCTGCTGTAATGTAATGTTATTAATTTGGTAGTTGTAGCGTGGGTTGTTATGCCCAACATGCAGGGTCTTGCATTTGTCAATATTAAAAAGCATTTGCCAGTCTTCTGACCATTTGTAGAGTTCACGTAGATCTCTTTGTATATACATTAGGCGCGTATTAGATCTAGGATGGCTAGGTTTGATTTTATTTGCAAGATAAAACAGAAAAACTTTTCCGGTTGGTCCAAATTCAATAACAAAATGTCAACATCCTCTTGGTCCATCACGTCCATATATGTACGATCGACACATCGTTACTATTTGTACTTTTATTTTAGGAGGACGGACTGAGAGATGCATATTAAAACAATGTAAATGTTGACGAGGTGAAGGAGAACAATGGTGGCAGCATCAGTAAACAACGAACACGAGACATTTACAATGCTGGATAGAAAGCAGAATATATAAATATACAAAGAATATAAAATGTATTTAAAATAATTATAATTATTTTAATTATAAAGCAGGATACACAAAGCTCTAACACTCACCTTTACAGTCAAGTTCATTCAATTCACATCCATCATAGGCTACAAATAACAGTTCCCAGTCACTATAGGTCTCTCGGTCCACTGCGTAATTACCAGATACAGTCACCTGACCTGAAAGTTTACAAAGCATGTAGCACATGGCTGCCAACTTACCAAATTCATTAATGTCAACCTGGGCTATTTAAGTATGCTAAGGCAGCAATAATCACTGATCTATTGCATGTAAGTTTACCACATTTGAAGGGTGAAATAATAGCGTTTAAGTGATTTCAATCTTCTTGAGAGCATCAATCTGCTTTTCACGACGGTCAAAAGAGAGTTCAAAGTGTTAAAGTTTTCATTTACACCTGTCAAATATAGTGGACTTGCAAGCAATATATATATATATATATATATACCACCCCCATTCTTTTGTATGTACACATATATATTTGTATATATATATATTTGTATAATATACTGTGACGATAATCTCTTTCAAGAGAGATTGAACCTGCTCTTCCCTACATAAAGTTACTTACACATATACAAGAATAAGATGCTACCTTCAAGATACGTCTACCAGTAGCACAAAACGTTTTGACCAGGAGGCAAAACGTACCCTAAACCCCCACTCCACACTCCCTCCATGCCGGTTCGCCCGTCGTCAACCAGCAAACTACCATTCCAGCCTGCCTGCTTCTGATTGGTGACCCGCCGTCTGCACACCTGCACTTCTGCACCTCAGCGCCCTCTACCTAAGTCAATGTCTGGGCTTGAACCAGCCATTGAAGTCAGAATATCCTTGTGCTCTCAAGCTGTGAACAACCAACTGATACACGTCCTGTTTATTGGTGGAGGTTCCCAGCTAGCGCTCTATTCTCAGCACCTGTTTATGTCATTTTGTATTTACATTATTCCTAGAGTAATTTATCCCTCTTCTTAACTTTTATGACTTGTTTGTTTTCACTGCACATAGCCAAGGGATTGTCTTTGTTTTTAAATTTGCTTTCCAGTTAATTAAAGTTTCATTGTTCATACTATGTGTTTTGCGCGTCTTCCCTTACTCTACCACAGACAACAGCCAAGCAGTCTCTTTTTTTTTTTTTTGTAAATGTGACAGGCATTGACACCAGCCATTAGGAGGACTGCCGAACATCTACACTCCTACACTTTCACGTCACAATATGTATGTTAAGGCAGCAATAATCACATATAATATATATATATTATATATTATATATATATATATATATAATATATATATATATATATATATATATATATATATATATATATATAATATATATAATATATATATATAATATATATATATATATATATATATATATATATATATATATATATATATATATATATATATATATATATATATATATATAATGTGTGTGTGTGTGTATGGAGCTATTAGCTCTTGGACCCCGCCTTTCTAACCAATCTATTTTCCTCTTATGTCTACTGTATATATTTTCCAACACACACACACACACACATCCCCAGGAAGCAGCCCGTAGGAACTGTCTAGACGGCGGTCTAGAGTACCTATATATTGCTAGGTGAATGCATTGGGAATGGTCATTCTCAAATCGACTTGAGAATGGTCCAGGACGGACCGAAACGTCGTCGTCCCTTCACATTCTAGTGTGTGGTCTGGTCATCATACTTTAGCCACGTTATTTTGACTCATCGCCTGCAAGTTGTTGTTGTTAAAGATTTAGCTATTCAGGACGGAGTGTCCATATAGCACGGGCTATGGTGAGCCCGTAAAGAAATCGCCTGCAAGATTTGTAATGTTTATAAGCTGCATGATCAGCTAGTTATCTTCCCGGCAACAACAACAACTGGAGAGAGCTCGGACTGGAGACTCCTTCGGCCTTGTCTGGACTACTGTGGTTGAGTCAACATCTCTCCTGTGTGGCTCTGTCTCCTCCTCTTCCTACTCCTCTCTTCCCTTACCCCATACTGGGGTATTTTTTAAGTTATTTTATATTAAGGTACTGTGCTACTAGCTAGGTTTGCGTGTTTGATGTATAAGCATTGTGTAGTGTAAGCCAATATTTTGGCCATTCCTAAATATATTGTGTTGGGACTAGGGTACCACGTGGGGCTTAACTACCCCAGGCTGCTTCAAGCCTTCGAGTTCTTTTCAAGTAGACTTTACCCTAGGTCGTCCCACGTGTAAGCCTTGCATCCTGTCTATGTGGACCAAGGTAGTTAACGTAAGATAGTGTAGTAAAGTAGTTACTGTTATTAATGTATTTGGGGGTTATAAGAGGATTAATAAATAAGTACTGTTAAAGGAGTATCCATTCTTCCTGTGAAAGGGATCAGTGATCATCCGCTAGACTGACGTATTTTCTTTAAGCCACTAATTTAATATTGTTTGATGGTCTTATTGGGGGCCGGGCCAATCTGATCCCCACTGATTTTAGGAACTCTTAGTTTTCCCTTAGGCCCTCTCTAGACCACCCTCCCATAGCAGTAACATTATCTTAACACCCAACATGGAGTCCATATCTAGTCAAGGATAAGACTAAACTGGAAAAGGATCAAAGGTTTGCCACCAGACTAGTACCCGAGATGAGATGTATGAGCTACGAGGAGAGACTACGGGAATTAAACCTCACTTTGTTGGAAGACAGAAGAGTTAGGTGGGACAAGATCACCACATTCAAGATTCTCAAAGGAATTGATAGGGTAGATAAAGACAGGCTATTTGACGCAAGGGGCACACGCACTAGGGGACACAGGTGGAAACTGAGTGGCCAAATGAGTCACAGAGATATTAGAAAGAACTTTTTTTAGTGTCAGAGTGGTTGACAAATGGAATGCATTAGGAAGTGATGTGGTGGAGGCTGACTCCATACACAGTTTCAAGTGTAGATATGATAGAGCCCAATAGGCTCAGGAACCTGTACACCTGTTGATTGACGGTTGAGAGGCGGGACCAAAGAGCCAGAGCTCAACCCCCGCAAGCACAAATATGTGAGTACACACACACACACACACACACACACACACACACACACACACACACACACACACACACACACACACACACACACACACACACACACACACACATACACACACACACATACACATACACACGCACACACACACGAATTTACTCAGTATCGAATTTACTCAGTTTCTATGATCGAGCAACAGAGATATTACAGGAAAGAGATGGTTGGTTGACTGCATCTATCTGGACCTAAAAAAGGCTTTCGACAGAGTTCTCCATAAGAGGTTGTTCTGGAAACTGGAAAATATTGGAGGGGTGACAGGTAAGCTTCTAACATGGATGAAAAATTTTCTGACTGATAGAAAAATGAGGGCAGTGATCAGAGGCAATGTATCGGAATGGAGAAATGTCACAAGTGGAGTACCACAGGGTTCAGTTCTTGCACCAATGATGTTTACTGTCTACATAAATGATCTACCAGTTGGTGTACAGAATTATATGAACATGTTTGCTGATGATGCTAAGATAATAGGAAGGATAAGAAACTTAAATGATTGTCATGCCCTTCAAGATGACCTGGACAAAATAAGTATATGGAGTACCACTTGGCAAATGGAATTTAATGTTAATAAATGCCATGTTATGGAATGTGGAATAGGAAAACATAGACCTCACACAACCTATATATTATGTGAGAAATTTTTAAAGAATTCTGATAAGGAAAGAGATCTAGGGGTGGTTCTAGATCAAAAAAACTATCACCTGAGGATCACATAAAGAATATTGTGCGAGGAGCCTATGCCACACTTTTTAACTTTAGAATTGCTTTTAAATACATGGATGGCGATATACTAAAGAAATTGTTCACGACTTTTGTTAGGCCAAAGCTAGAATATGCAGCGGTTGTGTGGTGCCCATATCTTAAGAAGCACATCAACAAACTGGAAAAGGTGCAAAGACATGCTACTAAGTGGCTCCCAGAACTGAAGGGCAAGAGCTACGAGGAGAGATTAGAGACATTAAATATGCCAAAACTAGAAGACAGAAGAAAAAGAGGTGATATGATCACTACATACAAAATAGTAACAGGAATTGATAAAATCGATAGGGAAGATTTCCTGAGACCTGGAACTTTAAGAACAAGAGGTCATAGATTTAAACTAGCTAAACACAGATGCCGAAGAAATATAAGAAAATTCACTTTCGCAAACAGAGTGGTAGACGGTTGGAACAAGTTAGGTGAGAAGGTGGTGGAGGCCAAGACCGTCAGTAGTTTCAAAGCGTTATATGACAAAGAGTGCTGGGAAGACGGGACACCACGAGCGTAGCTCTCATCCTGTAACTACACTTAGGTAAACACACACACACACACACACACACACACACACACACACACACACACACACACACACACACACACACACACACACACACACACACACACATACACACACACAGTGGAACTAGTGGAGCATCTGGAGCGAAGGAACTTTGTAACACAGCATCAACATGGGTTCAGGGATGGCAGGTCCTGCCTCACAGGGTTACTTGAATTCTACGACCAGGCAACAAAAATAAGGCAAGAAAGAGAAGGGTGGGCAGACTGCATATTTTTGGATTGTCAGAAAGCCTTTGATACAGTGCCACACAAAAGGCTAGTGCGAAAATTGGAGATGCAGGCTGGAGTGAAAGGGAAGGTACTCCGGTGGATAGAGGAGTACCTAAGCAACAGGAGACAACGAGTCAGTGTGAGGGGTGAGGTCTCAGATTGGCGAGACGTTACAAGAGGAGTCCCGCAGGGGTCAGTCCTTGGACCTATACTGTTTCTGGTATATGTAAATGATCTCCCAGAGGGTATAGATTCGTTCTATATTTGTTTGTTTGTTTGTTTGCCGACGATGCAAAAATTATGAGGAGGATTGAAACAGAGGATGATAGTAGGAGGCTACAAGATGACCTAGATAGACTGAGTGAATGGTCCAACAAATGGCTGTTGAAATTCAACCCGAGTAAATGCAAAGTAATGAAACTAGCCAGTGGAAACAGGAGGCCAGACACAGGATACAGAATGAGAGATGAAGTACTTAATGAAACAGACAGAGAGAAAGATCTAGGTGAGGATATCACACCAAACCTGTCTCCTGAAGCCCACATAAAGAGAATAACGTCAGAGGCATATGCGAGGCTGGCTAACATCAGAACGGCGTTCAGGAACCTGTGTAAGGAATCATTCAGAATCTTGTACACCACATATGTAAGACCAATCCTGGAGTATGCGGCCCCAGCATGGAGCCCGTTCCTTGTCAAGCACAAGACGAAGCTGGAAAAAGTCCAAAGGTATGCTACTAGACTAGTCCCAGAACTAAGAGGCATGAGTTATGAGGAAAGGCTGCGGGAAATGCACCTTACGACACTGGAAGACAGAAGAGTATGGGGGGACATGATCACAACCTACAAAATCATCAGAGGAATCGACCGGGTAAACAAGGATGAACTATTCAACACTGGAGGGACGCGAACAAGGGGACACAGGTGGAAACTGAATACCCAAATGAGCCACAGAGACATTAGAAAGAACTTTTTCAGTGTCAGAGTAGTTAGTAAATGGAATGCACTAGGCAGTGATGTGGTGGAGGCTGACTCCATACACAGTTTCAAATGTAGATATGACAGAGCCCAGTAGGCTCAGGAATCTGTACACCAGTTGATTGACAGTTGAGAGGCGGGACCAAAGAGCCAGAGCTCAACTCCCGCAAACACAACTAGGTGAGTACAACTAGGTGAGTATACACACACACACACACACACACACACACACACACACACACACACACACACACACACACACACACGAGAGCGCCTGAGGGAACTGTGCCTTACGACACTAGAAAGAAGAAGGGAGAGGGGGGGACATGATAGGAACGTATAAGATACTCAGAGGAATTGACAGAGTGGACATAGACGAAATGTTCACACGGAATAGTAACAGAACGAGAGGACATGGATGGAAGCTTGAAACTCAGATGAGTCACAGAGATGTTAGGAAGTTTTCTTTTAGCGTGAGAGTAGTGGGAAAATGGAATGCACTTCAGGAACAGGTTGTGGAAGCAAATACTATTCATAATTTTAAAACCAGGTATGATAGGGAAATGGGACAGGAGTCATTGCTGTAAACAACCGATGCTCGAAAGGCGGGATCCAAGAGTCAATGCTCGATCCTGCAGACACAACTAGGTGAGTACAACTAGGTGAGTACACACACACACACACAAGACCTGAAGGTGTTGCCACACTCCACAATTCATGACCATTCATTCACACGCACAAAATATAATGAGTCGCGGTTTACGACATAATGGCTATCTTGAGGTTATCTTGAGGTGATTTCGGGGCTTAGCGTCCCCGCGGCCCGGTCCTCGACCAGGCCTCCTTTTTGTTACAGACCCCCAGGAAGCAGCCCGTAGCATCTGTCCAACTCCCAGGTATCCATTTTTAATACTAGGTGAACAGGCTCATCAGGATGAAAGAAACTGCCTATTTGTTTCCGCCTCCACCGGGGATCGAACCCGGAACCTCAGGACTACGAATCCGAAGCTCTGTTCACTCAGCTGCCAGGCCCCTGAGAGCTGTTAGACTTGATGACCTTATCTGCCTCACAATATCTGGTAATTAATATCAAATAATCGGACATATTTACCTGTTACACTGTCGAGCTCGAAGGGCAGGTGAAGATTCTTCTCATCTGGCAGCTGTTGGTTCAGAAACAGGTACTTCACCTCCTTGTGAGCTCCTGCCAAGACATGAACATTGTGACAAGATCTGATCATTTGTGGAAAATGGAATATGACGCCAATAACAATGGTGCCCAACCCCTTGGACGGTCGGGGATGGAACGCCGACCTCCATGAAGCGAGACCGTCGCTCTACCGTCCAGCCCAAGTGGGTGGGCACCAGTTGAGTGGAAGTCCCCGAATACCATGACTACCATAATATGGTAGTACCATGACTACCATAATATGGTAGTACCATGACTACCATAATATGGTAGTACCATGACTACCATAATATGGTACTACCATGACTACCATAATATGGTAGTACCATGACTACCATAATATGGTACTACCATGACTACCATAATATGGTAGTACCATGACTACCATAACATAACCCTTGTATTATGATGTTCCCCCACCACCACCACCACACACCTCTTGTACTATGATGTTCCCACACCACCACCACACACCTCTTGTACTATGATGTTCCCCCACCACCACCACACACCTCTTGTACTATGATGTTCCCACACCACCACCACACACCTCTTGTACTATGATGTTCCCCCCACACCACCACACACCTCTTGTACTATGATGTTCCCACCACCACCCACCACACACCTCTTGTACTATGATGTTCCCCCACCACCACCACACACCTCCTGTACTATGATGTTCCCCCACCACCACCACACAAACCTGTTGTACTATGATGTTCACCCACCACCAACCACACACCTCTTGTACTATGATGTTCCCCCACCACCACCACACACCTCTTGTACTATGATGTTCCCACCACCACCACCACACACCTCTTTGTACTATGATGTTCCCACACCACCACCCCAACACCCTCTTTTTATTATGATGATCCCCCACCACTACCACCCACACCAACTCTTGTACTATGATGTTCCCAACCACACCACAACACACCTCTTGTACTATGATGTTCCCCCACCACCACAACACACCTCTTGTACTATGATGTTCCCACACCACCACAACACACCTCTTGTACTGTGATGTTCCCCCACCACCACAACACACCGGTCACCATGCACAGCAACCCACCTTCCTGGTCAGCATCCGTGGCAGCAATACTCGTCACAAAATATCCAGGCAAGCTATTTTCCGGCACATCTATGGTGATGTTGCATACTCCTGGGCTCATTACTGGAGTTTCGTCATTCATATCAATAATTGTTACTGTAATCTGCAAGGGAACGTAACCCGATTAATGCATTGTTGCCTGAGAAAATGTGTATTCGAGTACGTTTATTGAGACAAGAAAATACATCTCAAACGAATGGAGTAGCTTAGGCTATTTCTAAATGTCTATTATCTATTGTATTAT